AAATTTTCACAAATGCCTAGGGTGCCTAAATGGTTTTCTTGGCTTCACTGGAGATGGATGGTAATTATAGATTTGCTTTGTTTATGTCACCGTATTCCTATTATGTTAATATGTGTGTGCAAATTAGTTAGTAGTTTAAAACCTATACATACTTAAGGTACTCTACAAGAAGATATGTCAAAGAAATAATCAATCCTCCCATGTTTCCTTCCATATGCTACATCTATAGCTTTTCTTCTTCCTTCCTAATTACAACCCTTAAATAGAATTCGTGCCTCATATCGAATTTACCAAGTATCATAATTCCTCCAGGTGGTAAAGATACCTCGAGACAAGTGCTGGGCATAGAAGCCACAGGGCATAAATCTGCAAAGAAGTAAAAAGCTAACCTTTTCAAACAATATGGCTTCTCTCTCACTTACCAACTTTACATTTCCCTGTATGGCCCCGGAAGATGACTGGTTAGCCAGAGACGGGTAAGATTCCTCAAGGGAGGAACAACCTAAGACAGGCACAGTCGCAGTGGGGCCATCAGGTGAGATATTGGGGAACAACAGTGGTGAAGCTTAGAACCTCATTCCCCCCCTGTTTTGAGAGGAAGCCTCTGCATCCGTGGATGTTTTATTGCCCTTGTCTAGATTGGATTAGCACATAGTCTACAGGCACACACCTATTATCTACAATTGCTCTCTTACAACACTAAACTATGTTTTCTACCTTTATCTTGCATCTACTTACCACTTCAGCAGTTTATTAAAAATAAAAATAATAATAATAATAAAGGGAGAAATGTGGGATCCACATATAAATCAAGTATAAAAATCAAACAAATATTCATATTTGACCTGATTGTTTATAGTTCATAATGTGTGATCAGAACCAAAAGTGTCTGTGATGACTGCCCTTGTACTGTTCACCATGTAAGAACTTATTCACTATGTAAGAATTCGTTCACTATGTAAGAACTTGTTCGTTATGCTTCAGAAGATTGGAGACTGATGAGAACTAGGCTTGAGATGGATTAATGATTGTGCATTGAGCATTGACCCCCCTATACAGAATTTTATTGTTGTTTACAACCATTTGATCAATAAATATGAGAGATGCCCTCTCAAAAAAATATATATATATATTTAATTAATTGATACATTTATAACCCTATAGAGTTAGCAATATTACGATGAAAAGCTAATAAATAATAGGGCTTTGTGTTTGTTTAGTGGCGGAGAATTCTGGCTCTGTCAGCTAATCTATAGCTGCTTTGTTCAGAAACATACTACAGAGAATGTCTGTCAATGTAAATGGCCAGTTGGAGCTCCAAGAAAATATTTGAATATTTACTTTCTGATTTGTGCTTTGTTGGTTGTTGTGATTCTTCCTTATTGGTTAAGTAGCCATACTAATGCTTAAGGATTGACTGACATACGCCATCTTGGTCTCCTTTATCTCCTTTGGAGACTCTTTAATTCCTACCTTTACTTGGGAAACCATGTTCTGTGCGACATTCGGCTCCAGTTCGGAGGGCCTCCTCTTCATATTCTGCAGTTGCTGATCGGCATCCTGGAGGTAAATCCAAAGCTCAGCCTTCAGATGCTTGATCTCTTCCCAGCCCTGAGTTAAGCTCTGTGCCTGGGCAAGCCTCTGTTCAATCTTGAGAGAACACAAGGCAAAAGTCAGCACTTTAGATAGAAACATTTATGTGAAATGAATCAGAGACGCAATTACTCAGCATGTCCCTCCACACAGGCCAACACACACGCACATGCATGCATGTGCACATGTGCACACACACATACACACATCCTCACTCATTCTATAATAAATTTTTTAAAAATCCTTCTTTGCTTCAAGAAAAGCAGATTTCCTTTTCATATTTAGGTTTTCTAGAGATGTTAAATTTCTAGAATTTATGCCATATTATTTCAATCTAGAAGTTTTGATTAGGTCAATAGCAATCCTACTGGTTTTCGCATTGGGCATTTTAGTAGGCACACCTGTTGGAGTCATTTATTTGGTCTAGGGAGTCAGTCACCAGAACAGACTATACTGTTCTGCACTGCACATTTGTTGATACTTCTTATAAAATACAGAGTTATTCATCTTGTGGATATATTTTTAGATTTGCTTAACTGGTCTTAGAAATTTAGAAATAGTTTATTTCAATAAATCATCCATGTAAAAAAGAAATTTAAAGACAGATTTGCTTTGCTAATATAAAGGTGAAAAACCTACATTATTTTAATTATTTTAATAGCTACCTTATTTATTATTTCATTATTTTAATCTCTTCATTATTGTAGTTCCTTGGATCATTTTACTATTCTGTGAATGTTTAGTCAATTAAATACCAAAACCGACTCTTACGAATTTTTTTTTAAATACCTGAACGGTTGCACTAAAGAATTTAAGTCAGCAGTGGCAAACACGTGGTCTCTCTGCTTGTCATCTGTCTGCTGCAGACAAGTACAGAAGATTAACTCATCACAGCCCTTTTTCAACTGGGCCAAAGTGTGGCTACTGCCACACTCAGCTACTGCCATTGATTAGAAGGGTTATGATGGAAGGCGTGCTCTTTGCCATCCCTAATATAAAGCGAGGATCAGGAATCCCATTCATATTAAGTTTAACGTAAAGAAAAAGAGGGAAAGGACCAAAAAAAAATTTAGTAGAAAATTGGAAAAGAGGAAGAGAGAATGGTAACTAAGGAGAAAAGAGAAGAGGAAAAATTGACAGATTAGCAGTTCTATGGGAGAATATGTTTCAGGTCCAATTCTGTGGTCATTATCAGTGTGTGCCTATGTTTCTTTGACTTAGTTGAAATTCAAGTATCTGTTTATTATAATGGCTGTAGAGGCATCACAGCAAGAATAATCCAAGGAGACATTTTCTTTCACCTCTAACATTCAAGCAAGAGAATACAATAAAACAGACAGATCCGATGTGATTTTTTAACTTCTTACCATCTGCTCTGTTTGTTGAATGTCTTTTGCTGTGTTTTTTACTGAAGAATTTGACAAATCACACATGGAGCAAAGGAGATCTAAGTAGGTCCTTGCCTGTTCCTGCAAAGCTCTGAAGTGTTTGACCTGAAAAAAAAAAAACAACCCACACTTGTCAGAGTGAAAGAGATGCATGCTACATTCAGATAGCAAATATTTGTGCCATTTGTAGTATTTTGTTGGAAGTTCAAAATGATCTTGCTCGCTCAGTTTTTCACCATCATTGTAAATGACATACATGAGTGACTCAGAAAGAATTCAAAACACCCTGGCAGGGATCCATTTGTCCACCAGCTTCTTTTCATTCTAATTACTCTGTGTGGTCCAGGAAAGGCGACCAACCAAGGAACTTCTACAGTCTTTCTAGATTTTCTGCTCTCACACCATCTGAGGTTGTAAGTGGTGGAATTCTCCAGTCACACACCCAAACCAGCCAACCACTTAGGGCCTGCTAAGTTTTACATGAATGCAGTACTTGCAGGGGATGAATTAACTGGATACATTCTCTGTGTGGACTAAATGAACAAGCACATTATTTTAATATCAGTTTAGATTAAGAAAATGGAATTATTTATGTAATATAGTTACTTCATAACTGGCAGCAATAACCTTTGCAAGTAAATTTAAATTTATTTTTCAACAGGATTAACACTGCATAGAAAAACTGCTTGGTACAAAAGTTTTTAAAAATATTCTCATATTCTATTATATCTCAGCAGCAAAATTATAAGCATGTGGATGTCAAATTTATATGCAATAGGTTCCTTTCACATGATAATTAATATTTCATTCATTATTCATTCAATATTTACTAAGCACCTTGTTTTGTGCCAAAAACTTTTCTGAAGAAGCCAATATTGCTTTTCTGTTTATAAATCATGTACACTGGGTATAATAATTGAATTTCTTCATAACTTACAATATAAACATTCTTACAATCATCATTTTACATATTAGGACACCGAGGCTCAGAGCAATTGAGTAATTTACCCATGGTCACACCAGGTGTGGGTGTGAGAGTTGCTTTCTTGGTTACAGGGCCACACTCTATTCTACCAGGCTGAGCATCTATCTTACTGCTTAGAACATGAGCTCAACTGGAGTCAAGATCACACTTTATTTATACTTATATCACCAGGAGCAGGCACAGTTAGGTACATAATCAGCACTTAATACATTTTCATTTATAGTCTGAATGAATCACAGTGTAACATAAACTTTCAGGAGTCTACTACCTGCTTAACAGCTTCTGCTCTGCTAAGCGGTGGGTTCGGGCTTGGCTTTAAATCTGGCTGGACTGCAGAAAGCCAGGCCTGGCACTGCTGCAGAGTGTCCTGTCGGCTAACATGCTTCTGAAGTTCATGTTCCAAACTCTGGTATACCTGAGACAAAAAAATCATGGTATGGTTGTGAGAGCTGTTTTATATTTTTATAAAGATCACTGAAATCCAATGAAACATGTTGTCAAGTCCATTGAATGGATTTTTCCTGCAGGACTACCCCACATTATTCACATATAATGATTTGGTATAAATTTCAAAATGTTGCAAAGCTCAATGGCCATCTCCAGTTTATCATTGCTCCACCCACATGTTACAATGTAATATCCTCATTAGGGGAAGAGAATATGGGTGGGGTTAATGTAACTGTAGAAATGTGTTAGAATGCAAAAATCTTTGAAGAAAATTGTCAAACATAAATCAGAGTATTAAAGCTTTCACAGCCCATGGTACAAATACTGCAATTGTTGTTTAAGCTAGGAACTAAAAGCAAAAAATAAAACACCATCTCATGAAAAGATAGCTAATATTCATTTAACTGAAATGCTTCTGCTTTAATGATAGGGTCAAATTGGACCTGAATTTAACAGGGGAGGGGAGAGTTTGATAGAGATTCTATGCAATCCCTATCAAAATACCAGCAGCATTTTTCAATGAACTAGAACAAATAGTTCTTAAATTCATGTGGAACCACAAAAAACCCCAAACTGCCAAAGTAAAGCTGAGAAAGAACAAAATTAGGGGTATTATGCTTCCTAACTTCAAGCTCTACTACAAAGCTACAGTACTTGAAACACTGTGGTACTGGCACAAGAACAGATACATAAGATCAGTAGAATGGAATAGAGAGCCCAGATATAAACCCATGACAAAGTTTATAAACCCAGATATTAATACATGACAAAGGAGCCATGAATATACAGTGAGGGAAAAACAGCCTCTTCAATAACTAGTGCTGGGAAAACTGGACAGCTACGTGCAAGAAATGAAACTGGATCACTGTCTAACTCCATACACAAAAGTAAGCTCAAAATGGATGAAAGACCTGAGTGTAAGACATGAAACCATAAAATTCTTAGAAGAAAACAGGCAAAAATCTCTTGAATAGAAGTATGAGAAACTTTTTCCTAGACACATCTCCTCAGGCAAGGGAAACAAAAACAAAAATGAACAAGGGGGACTACATCAAACTAAAAGCTCTGTACAGCAAAGGACACCATCAGCAGAACAAAATGGTGATCTACACTATGGGAGAATATATTGGTAAACAATTTATCTGATAATGGGTTAATATTCAAACTGTATAAAGAACTCATATGCCTAAATACCAAAAGAACAAATAACCCAATTAAAAAATGGGTGGAGGATCTCAAAAGACATTTCTCCAAGGAAGAAATAGAGATAGCCAACAGGCACATGAAAAGATCTCCACATTGCTTATCATCAGGGAAATGCAAATCAAAACCACAATGAGATATCACCTCACACCAGTTAGAATGGCCACTATCCAAAAGATAAAAAATAATAAATGTTGGTGAAGACGTGGAGAAAAGGGAACCCTCCTACACTGTTGGTGGGAATGTCAGTTGGTCCAGCTAATCTGAAAAGCACCATGGAGGTTTCTCAAAAAGCTAAAAACAGAAATACAATACAACCCATTAATTCCACCTCTAGGACTTTATCCATAGAAAATGAAATCCCTGATTAGAAAAAATATGTGCACCCCTATGTTTATTGCTGCATTATTTACAATAACCAAGATATGGAAGCAACCAAAGTTTCCATCAATAGATGAAAGGATAAAGATGTGGTACATATGTACAATGGAGTATTACTCAGCCATAAAAAAAGAAAGAAAGCCTGCCATTTGCAACAACATGGATGGTTCTAGAGGGTATTATGCTAAGTGAAATAAAGTCAGGAGAGAAAGACAAATGCCATAATTTCACCTATTTGTGGAATCAAAAAACAAAACGAAACAAAATCAACAAAATAGCAGTAGACTCAGAGACACTGAGAAGTGACTGGTGGTTACCATGGAGGAGGGGTTGGAGTAGTTGAGTGGGGAGTGTGAGGTGGACAAAGGGGCACAAAATTTTCAAACATAATTAAGTTGGTCACAGGGATAAGTTGTACAGCGTGGAGAATATAGCCAGTGACTCTGTAATATCTTTTTATGTTGGCAAATAGTAAATGCACTAGTTGGGGGAAGGTTTTAATAATGTGGGTAACTATTGAATGACTATGTTCTATACTTGAAACTAATATAAGATGGTATATCAGCTATACTTCAATTTAAAAAAATTCACTTATTTTACTTAATTTTTGTTAAAAGTATGATTCTTACCTCTCTTAGACTTATTTCTAAACATTAAGTATTCCATTTTACTGAAAGTGTACCCATTAGAGTGTAACACAAAATTGGCACTTATTCCTTTATTCAATTTCTATATGAACATATAAAACTACTGAATTAGAGTAGAACCTAGGCTGCATAGTCAAAAAGAATATAATTATGAAAATTACAGAATGTTTGTTTTAGTGTCATAAGATAAATGGCAATTTAGAAAGAAGTATTGATGGTGTACAAATAAAAACAAAAAATTTATAATCATAGAATAAAGGGATGGGCAAAATGAAGTGTCTGAAATTCAGTGCTTTAACACATCAATCAAATGAATGATGTTAGTTCTGTGAGTAACATAGAGAGTATGAAATCTATCCTCCTATTTCCTGTCTGGACATATATTAAAACTGTCTCAAAGACTGAAGTATCAAAGCTATTTTTTAAAACCAATGAGCAGCCTTTCTCCTTAATTCGTGGGTCATTCTAAAACATTGCAGTGGTACTCACCCTCTGAGCTGTACTGCAGATGGCTGAGTAAAACTTTTTCCTAGACACATCTCCTCAGGCAAGGGAAACAAAAACAAAAATGAACAAGGGGGACTACATCAAACTAAAAGCTCTGTACAGCAAAGGACACCATCAGCAGAACAAAATGGTGATCTACACTATGGGAGAATATATTGGTAAACAATTTATCTGATAATGGGTTAATATTCAAACTGTATAAAGAACTCATATGCCTAAATACCAAAAGAACAAATAACCCAATTAAAAAATGGGTGGAGGATCTCAAAAGACATTTCTCCAAGGAAGAAATAGAGATAGCCAACAGGCACATGAAAAGATCTCCACATTGCTTATCATCAGGGAAATGCAAATCAAAACCACAATGAGATATCACCTCACACCAGTTAGAATGGCCACTATCCAAAAGATAAAAAATAATAAATGTTGGTGAAGACGTGGAGAAAAGGGAACCCTCCTACACTGTTGGTGGGAATGTCAGTTGGTCCAGCTAATCTGAAAAGCACCATGGAGGTTTCTCAAAAAGCTAAAAACAGAAATACAATACAACCCATTAATTCCACCTCTAGGACTTTATCCATAGAAAATGAAATCCCTGATTAGAAAAAATATGTGCACCCCTATGTTTATTGCTGCATTATTTACAATAACCAAGATATGGAAGCAACCAAAGTTTCCATCAATAGATGAAAGGATAAAGATGTGGTACATATGTACAATGGAGTATTACTCAGCCATAAAAAAAGAAAGAAAGCCTGCCATTTGCAACAACATGGATGGTTCTAGAGGGTATTATGCTAAGTGAAATAAAGTCAGGAGAGAAAGACAAATGCCATAATTTCACCTATTTGTGGAATCAAAAAACAAAACGAAACAAAATCAACAAAATAGCAGTAGACTCAGAGACACTGAGAAGTGACTGGTGGTTACCATGGAGGAGGGGTTGGAGTAGTTGAGTGGGGAGTGTGAGGTGGACAAAGGGGCACAAAATTTTCAAACATAATTAAGTTGGTCACAGGGATAAGTTGTACAGCGTGGAGAATATAGCCAGTGACTCTGTAATATCTTTTTATGTTGGCAAATAGTAAATGCACTAGTTGGGGGAAGGTTTTAATAATGTGGGTAACTATTGAATGACTATGTTCTATACTTGAAACTAATATAAGATGGTATATCAGCTATACTTCAATTTAAAAAAATTCACTTATTTTACTTAATTTTTGTTAAAAGTATGATTCTTACCTCTCTTAGACTTATTTCTAAACATTAAGTATTCCATTTTACTGAAAGTGTACCCATTAGAGTGTAACACAAAATTGGCACTTATTCCTTTATTCAATTTCTATATGAACATATAAAACTACTGAATTAGAGTAGAACCTAGGCTGCATAGTCAAAAAGAATATAATTATGAAAATTACAGAATGTTTGTTTTAGTGTCATAAGATAAATGGCAATTTAGAAAGAAGTATTGATGGTGTACAAATAAAAACAAAAAATTTATAATCATAGAATAAAGGGATGGGCAAAATGAAGTGTCTGAAATTCAGTGCTTTAACACATCAATCAAATGAATGATGTTAGTTCTGTGAGTAACATAGAGAGTATGAAATCTATCCTCCTATTTCCTGTCTGGACATATATTAAAACTGTCTCAAAGACTGAAGTATCAAAGCTATTTTTTAAAACCAATGAGCAGCCTTTCTCCTTAATTCGTGGGTCATTCTAAAACATTGCAGTGGTACTCACCCTCTGAGCTGTACTGCAGATGGCTGAGTAACTATCCATTGTGCCCTGCAGATGGGCATGCACGTTTTGTTTAAGTTTTGCTTGAAGGTGGTCTGCACACTGGCTGATCAAATTGTCACCTTGACTTTTAAGGTTGTTCAAACGGTCTTCAAAACCAGCAATTTCCTCCATCATTGCCTACAAAAATGAAAGAAATACATTTTCAGTTTTTAAATAACCTATTTATCAAACAGAACATCTGATAATTATACTGTTTTATGACGTTCTGGAAGAGCTTCACAATTTGTCTTATATGTCATATTAACAAATGAAAAAAATGCATGTTTTCAGGGATACTCTAAAGGGAAGAGCTAATGAGTTTAATGGAATAAATTACATAGAGAGGATAAAGTAAACTTTAAGAGTAGAGTGAATTCATGGTTGATCTCAATTAGATACTTGCTCTATGGTATTATTACCAGCAAAAAGCATGTTCACGTATTTTTCAGCTCTACAAATAAAAATTTTGGTGTAATTTGTATCTAAAATAATCTTATTATTACTATTTAATCTAATGTACTAATATCTAATTTACCTAATTACAATATCTGGTTTATGTAATGATGTAGTTCTAAGTATTAATTTATATAATGTCTAATTTACATCTAATAATATTTATAATGAAAACATTTACCACTTCCCACTTAAAAGCATCAGAAACTATATTTAAGCCTTGGTAAGTGTATATTATTACCATTATCTTACAGATGAGGAGACTGAAGCACAGAGAGGTTACATAACATGCTCAGAGTTGCACAACTCAGAAGTGGCAGAGGCCCAGGCTTTGGACCAGCTCTGTGGGACTTCGGCTCACACATACCACCATCCCCACATGTGTTCACTAGTGATTCACTAGTGATCTATGAGCATTCTCGTAGATCACTTCAAGAAAAGGACCAACTTTTTCAAATCAGGTTCTAATTTCCTTAGGGCTATGCAGTCCTAATGACAAGGGACACACTCCAACAGCAGGTTTTATGGGGTGAAACATCAGTGTATCTAAGGAAACTCTGAAGTTCCTCAGCAGCCCAGGCCCACCACTTTTCCCAACGGTGCTGGGTTAGAGGTTACAGTCACTGCACTGAGAAGGATGGTTTTGTCTTTGAGTTGGTGTAGAGTCACTGCATCATGAGGTTAGTGAGGGTATTTCCTCCGTGCCTAACATACTGCACGATGTAGCTCCTTTTTTGCTCCTATTTGCAAAATAAAGTTTTCTTCTACAGATAGGAATCCTGAAGACCAGAGAGGGTAATTGGCATTCCTAAAACACACTACTAGATAATGACCATGTCACGACCAACTTCAGGTTCCCATGAAGGTCACCAAAATTGCTCCATAAAATTGTGACCATATGACTATCTATCATCTGGCATATGTAAAAAAAATATATATATATATTAATAAGGATAAGAACACCTTGTATCTGTACCCTACTTAGTGGTATAAACATTGCTGTCACATACGTCATCTTCTCTGATGACCTCACAGCTCTGTGACCGGTTGGCATCACCACCCTTACAGGTGAGCAAAAGGGAGAAGCTCAGAGAGGCTCATTCCCCCACCCAGGAAGGACAGTCTGCCAGAACCCAGACTTGCTTATTATTGTTCCTGTATCCCATTTCTGACTGCACTTTTCTAAAATAAAGATAATCTCTTTCTTTGATAAATTACTCCCTAAAAATTAAATTCTGTAATAAAAAAACTACTGGCTGAGAAAAATGTTACGATGTGTTCAGCAGTTGAAAGCCAGGATTCAACTGTTGTTACTTTACTTAAATATTGAACCCAACTGTTCTCAATTCTCAGACATTCTCAAGAGTTGGGTCTGACTCCTCAAGTGCAGTCATTATGACTGAGAGAGGTGTGCACGCACACATGTACACACGTGCAAAGGCATGGCGGGTAGACCACCCTGTCTTCTTCAGCAAGCTAGCGACCTCAGCCATACCTTGTGGTGGGCAAGCTGCTGGGTGATCGTCTCTAGACTGCTTGTCTCCACGAGGTCGGGCGCCACCAGCCTGCCTGACATCTGCAGTAGCCACTTTTCTACTTCTTGGAGCTCACTGTTGTAATCTTCATGGTCTTTGACTTTTGCCTGGAGACTGCAGACATGCTCCTGTGAAGTTAGGCACCCATGAGAGGTGACTTTCAAGACAAAAATCTACTCAAAACTGTTTCATATTTTGAAAAACCCAGTGCAGCTCATAGGATAGGTACAGTTTTATATATCGGAAAATTACCAGGAACAGAGAAAACAGAGAGAGTCATTACGCCACTTAAAATGCCCATCTGAGTAAAAGGAAAAATACTCATACCAACCCTTTAAAAACTTCCTGGCAGATGAAAAGGAGGCAGGACCCCCTTTCTGGGAAATCAACACAGTTTTATTGGATTTCTGATCTCTCCTTACCTTTCCTGCCCCACAGAGGTCCTGGTAATCACTTTGAAGTTTATCTATTTTGTCCTTTAAAGCGATATCCTGCACCAATTCCAAAAGAGCTTCACCTTTCTCTCTCACTGATTTTACTGATGGTTCATAGGACAGTACCATTTGTTGAAGTGACTTGAATTAGGAAAGAAAAAAAAAAGCCAACTCATCTATGTGATCAAGATGAATGTATACCTATACCTGGGGCATGTATGAAATGATACAGGATTCTATCTCAAAGATCTCATACATATTTTAGAAGTGAATAATTAAAATATTAAAGAAAGAGGGTGATTTTTAATGGCTAATACAGTTTTTCAATACAGACTAAAAGAAACACATCAACTAGACCTTCTTATGGAAGGTGGAATGAGAAATATGAAAAAGAATGATATTTGGCTAAATTTAACATAGTTCATATTTCTGGCATCCACCTCATGCCATTCAGCAGAGAGGAAAAAAAAAAACCTCAACACAAAATGATAGGAGTGGGGCACTATCTTTGATTTGAGTTCATTTGTGCTGGATGGTTGTGATTCTTATGTGGCACCTTCAAAGACAGACTATCAAGCTTGGCACAGGACCCAAGGATAGGAATCGACATACTGGCTGGAGGGGACCAAAGTTTTTGATAGAAAAAGCTTTGAGATGAGGTATCAACTGCAATTCTTAAAGACTATCGCTCAATCCTTCAGGTCAAATTTTGAGCAAAAATTATTCCACATATAAGCTTTGAAAACTGTTTCAAAATATTTGAGATGATATATCTGTATCATATACAGCTATATCCAGGTAATCATTTATTCTTTCAAAATTAATTTCTAATGGGTTTAGCTATAGTTGGTGAATTAGAATTTATTTTCTTATAAATATAGTATCTCATTTTCAATTCACTATAGGTCAGCATGCAGGCCTTAGGTACCAAAAGATGAAGGGGAGACTATATGAAACAGATAAAACCTGTAGGTGTGAGATCCTGACATCAGGAAGATTTATTTGGAGGATCCATAGACCTGGACCTTACTGTCAAAATAGATTCCATTTACTGATACACACTTTGAATATCAGACAAATATGATTCCTGAATGGAAAAATAAGTTGGACACAGTGTATTTAGCCAAACACATCTACATCGTTCACTCCCAGGAGAGCAGACGTCACACATACTAAGGATGTTTCAGTGCCCAGGAAGTGACACACACCACGGATCATGTCCCTCCCATTCACTCCCCACATGACTTCCTGCATTTGTCAGTGAGTAACAGCACATCACCTTGTATTTAGATAACTGGGCTTTCTTCTCATATAATTCCATTTTGGGTTCCTCAGGAATGTGTAGGAGTTCTTGGTACTCTGCCATCCACTGAGCTAGTGCTTTATATTTATCTGAGAATTCCTTTGCTAAATGAAGGCCTTTTTCCAGAGTCACGTGCTCTTTCCGGACAGTGCTGGTCAGCTCCTTCAGCTGCTCCACGTGGTCACGGATCTCTTTTCTTAATGTCTCTGCCTCGCCATCCTCCAAGTATTTAAGAGCCCTGTCTCCTTTCTCTCGGGCCGATTTTAGCAGACCATGGCCTTTCTCCATGTCTTTCAGTAAGCCCTGAGAAAGGCAGTGAGTGGGGGACAAGAGCAAAATTAGTATTATTTCTTTCCTTTGAAAATAAAGGCTTTCAAGTCCAATTAATTCTCAAGTGCATCCATTTTCCTTTAAATTATGGTTTTGAAATTTATAACAGATTTGACTTAACAAGCATTGGGAATCCTCTTTTCTTTACTCCAATATAAACTTTACAAAGTCTTGACCAATACATCATTTCCAAATCAGCGACTTAGGAACAACCTGGCGTTTATCTCATTCTTAGCAGTATTCCTAAAGCTCAGAGTAAAAACTCTTTGTTATTTCACAGTGCCATGAGAGTTTGAAATAATCTTTTTTCTCTTAATATTTAAGTGTCAAACTGGAATTTAGTTAGAATTATGGAAGCAGTGATGTTTAAGTCGTTCACATGACATCACATCAGAAATAAATGAAAGCCAACTTTTGGCCTTGAAGAAATCACAACTTGGCATTCAGAGTGAAATGATGAGCCAAGGACCACTGACCACACCAGGTGGGGCTGAGCCCATGGGATCCCAGCACCTACATGGGCGAACAGAGAAGCTCAGTCAAGAAGCGAGGCCAGGGGACAGACAAGTCTGACGGACGCGTGCCTACCTCCAACATCTTCATTTTTTTCCCCATCATCGCTTTATCAACTTTATCAATTTTGGTAGCCAGATTCTTGAAGTTTTTATGTGTAGAGCCATACCAGTCAGAATAGGAACTGAGGGATAATTCTGATTCTTCCAAACTCTGAATCTCTTCCTCCAGGAATTTTATTTGTTCCTTTGAAAGAAAAAGAAAAATTGAGCAGAGAATGAAGGACCTCTGCCAGTGCCTTTCTTGATAAAATTCTATCTTCACTGGAAGCTAATGACAGGAAGAACATTCTGGCTTGTGAAGTATGCTGGCCTGTAACGGGTAGCTGGTGGCCCACTCACCAGCACTTGGAGAAGAAGGGCCTGGTATCTGGAAGTCAGCTGGGTGGCCTGGCAGCCCATTCGGCTGCTTACGTGGTTCTCGTCCAGGATCTCCTGCGCTCTGGCTCCCACGTCCTCAACTTCATCTTTATATGTGGTGATTTCTTCGTGCCACTTCTGAAATGATGCAAATATGGCAGGGACAGATTCAGTCTTAGGCATTCTTGAGTAAGACAAATACCCATAGATTATTTCAACAGGAAATGATTTCAGTGCATGTTTAGAAATATAATTCTGAAAATGTGTCATACATAACATTTATGAAAAATTATATTACAATAACATGATAAGAACTGCATTCTAAATGAGTTTCAGTATTTTTCTGTATATGTTACACTTCAGCTCAAAAATTTTTAAAAAGACAGTGGCATAAATGCTCATATTTTCTGTTGTCCTTTGATACATTTTAAACTAGATGAATAATGAAAAGAAATCCAAAAGTCTAAGCATTATTTTGATCATATGCACTGAATATGCATAAAAATATAGAGTAAAACTAATTATCAAGTATTATTTCAATGCACTATGTTAGATCAATTTTAAATTGGACGCTTAAACATAAATGATTGCAATACTGGCATTCATGTATCTTTACAAAGCAAGGTAATAGGCAATGGAATAAAATATAAAATATTTCAATGAAATTTTATTGAAGATGAATTTAGGATTCTATTAAAGAATTGCTGTTAGAACTGAGTGCTCCATTGTAATTTGTGTCAAATTTATTTGCAAGCAGAAAGAGATTTTGCAAAATCTATACCCAGGGCAAAAAGTTACTAAATATTTTATTGAAAAAAAAACTACACAAGATCACTGCTACTTTGACAAGCTCAGGAATTACACTAGGTTGTACCTTCAGCTGATGTAATTGTATCTCTTTGGTTGCCCGGTTAGACTGCCGTCCAGTCCTGAGAATCACTTTCTCCTCCAGTGCTTTTAGCCACTCGTCTACTTGCTGAAACTTTTGTTCCATCAGCCTCAATTTGTTGACTACATTATTGACCTGAGTTCGGGTCTCAGACAGTCTCTGCTGGTAAGCCTGCCAGTCCTGCCGGAGAGACTCTAAAGCCCGATCCTCCGTCTGGGGGATGCCTGATGGGATTACTTCCTCTCTGGTGTGCAGCACTGAATTCAGCAGTACCTGCCCCTCTGCACAGTGCACTTGGAGCTCCTGCAGGGGAAAGGTAGGGTGGTCACATCTCACTTGTATTTTATACCTGCACAGGTTATCCCATCTCACCTAAGCCAACGATGCCTACTTAAACTTCACATTAGAAAAGAATGATTTTATTCCATCTTATACAAAAATTGTGTACCTAACACTGAATGTTGTTTCTTAAGGCAGGAGAAATATTTGGAACTGTTTCTAGTAAAAGAATCAAAATGCACACAAACACACACATGCCAATATTTGTCTCAATCATCTTAGTAACAGTTTCTGAAATTTAACTTTTCAGCTTACAGGCAAAAACAGTTGTGGTTAAAGTTTTCTTTTCTTTCTTAATGTTTAAAAGAATAACATGGGCTTTTGTGGCTCATAATCTGCTCAAAGAGTCTAATCTTACTTTGACATTGGATAGTATACTGCACCTGTGGTTAAGAAAGGAACAATGGGTCCCCTTTTGCTATGGGGGGATTCTTTGCCAAAGCTGCTCTAGAGGATGTGATGGCCAAGAAAAGCTGGCCTTAACTTTTGGAGGGCACAGGGCATACAAACCTGGGAGGCTGAATCATCACACCTGCCCACTAGGTACTCTCGGGTGCAAACACGCTTTCCTCCACCAAAGCCCCAAGGATTTACCCTACAATGAGGTATGAATCAAATCTTGAAGAGGATTAACTATTCTTTATTTAACAAAAAACTCTTATATCCTTTAGGATGTTGGCAGAATAATATTACATCCTTGTATTTCTAATGTTCAAAAAATCCACACTGTTACATGATCTGATAATTTAAAGATGAAAGAAACCAGGTCAAATCTCACCTACCAAGAAAATTAAAAGTACCAACATACTTAGTCACAGTACTATTTTGAAATGTTTAATATTAGTTCAAACTATTTGGAATTGTTGATGTCTGACCATTTTTATCTACAAAGATAGCAATCTCATATGGTTCAAACAAGTGGATACATTTTTCCTCAGTTCTGATGCCACTCTGAGAGTATTGTAACATGAATGTTTTGCTTGGAAAAGAACAATATATATAGTAAAATATTAATTAAAATGGCTACACACAGAACTTTTATTCCAAATTCTTAACTTTTTTAAATGTTAACTTTGTACATATTTTTTCTAATTCAGGCTTGGCAAACATTTTCTGTGAAGGATCCAATAATAAATATTTAGACTTTGTGAGTCATACAGTCTCTGCTGCAATCACTTAACTTGGCCCCTGTAGCACTAAAGTACCCACAGGCAATACATAAATGAATGGGTGTGGCTGTGTTCTAATAAAACTTTATTTAAAATACAGGGATTATGGCCATAGGCTGTAGTGTACTGACCCTTGCTCAAATTCATCAATCTTGCCAAAATATCACCCTTTCCATATTTTATAACAGTTTTCTCCGTGATACAAATCATTACTGTGTTAGATAAATTCTTATATAGCCCATAGTTCAAGTATTTGTTCTGGAGGGGAAAATATGACTCAATATTTTAAAAAAATCTATATATTCTATGACCCAGATTGGGCCCTCAGTTTATACAAAATAATTTGTGAGCATGGTCCACATGACTGGCTGATCCCCACACCACGGTGAGCTGTACAGGACATCAGGACGCTAAAGATGTCTGCCATGCGGTTGGAACACACCAATTCTCCACTACCTGTTTTGCTACTAGCATCCCACTTCCTTTTTAACACTTGTGGTGACTCAAAATAAGACCATGCAAGAATTGATGCGCAGCAAAACGAAAGGTTTGAGCTCAAGCCACACTACCAGGGGCTGAAGTGACACAAGTTCTTCTGACCAAAACAAGAGAAACATCTGCTGGTGACATGTAACTTATTGGCCCAGTTCCCATTCATAAGTCTGGAGAGCTCGGCATTTGCTTGCCAAGCGTGTCTGGAGTGACATGCTGAAGAGGGGTTATTTAGCAAAAACAAAGGCAACTCCACAAAAATAAATTACAATGGCTATACACAGCAGATCAGAGCACCCTACTATTTTAAAACAGAATGGTTGAGATTTTTAAACAAGCTAATGAAATTAGGACCCTTCTAACTTTTACTCTACATTTATTTCATGAATGGACCATTATTTAAATGAGATTCCCTCCCACCAATCCTTCCCCATGATAACTCTGTGAGGAAACTGAGTGAGAGAGGTTCTCTCTTGCCTAAACTCACTCAGTGTCAGGTTCCTCCAAGTGTTGGAGTCCAAATTTCTGAATCCCAACTTTGCCGTTATACAACACTCCCCAGGACTTAACTCAATAGCCAAAAATATATATATATTTTTAATTTGCACAAGCTGTAGGTACCTTCTGCCCGATCCTGAACCAACTCTAAGCAGAGCTGAAAGCATGTGAGTAAATTCTAACACACAGCTGGTGGGACACAGGGTTGTTGTCCTGTTGGCCTTTCCCCTCTCTACAATGTGTACCTGCTGGCCCCTTGTGGTGTTTCCCCTTGACCCCTACCTACTTCTCTAGGCAAGATTCAGGAGCTCTCTTTAATGCTCTCCTAAGATCTCCTGCACTAGTCTATCGTTGTTCTTATTTTATTATTTCTAATGACCTATGTATGGGTCTGCATTTCTCACTAAACTGGAAGTTCCTTGAAGTCAGGAAGAATATTTTAATCATCTTTACCTACAGGAGCTCGCCAAGTGTCTGCACAGCATTAGGTAGTCAATAAACGATGTATGAGTAAATAAGTAAACGGGTTAGGACCCCTTTCCCCGCTAGGTCTGCTGTCTTGCCCTGCAGCACTCCTCTCATTCCTTCTTCTGGTCTCCACCCCGATCTGTGTCCTCAGCAACGGGGAAGGTTTTGGCTGCAGCTGGATGGCCCAAGATGGTGCCACCAGTTTGATTTTGAGGAATGTGCCACTCTACGGACTCCTGCTGCTAGGTCCTACCTCTAACTCGATCCTGTAGGGAGCAATAGGCAAAGGAACCAGTCGACAGACCTCTAATCACTCCTGTCCAAGGCCCTGTAGTAGCTGAACAAATTCCCCAGGTCCCAGACCTGCTCAGTCTAAATCACTTAAAATGCTCAATCTCAAATAGCATCTTCTACTGAGGCCCCGGAATGCTGGAGATCAGACCTTACTAGGGTTTTGCTTAATAGGTTAGGACCACTTTGTGGGACTCAATGTCATACTAGCTTACCATTGCTTAAAATAGTAAAGTAATTGCATATTCAGCAGGAAAATTCCTTTGTTTTAAGACGAAATAGACTTTACCTGAAGGTTCCGTAATGTTGTCTCATGAGTGTGGGCATCACCTTCAAGAACTGAGTATTGGTCAAGTTTTTCTTCTTCTTGCTGCAGCCAAACTTCAAACGCTTTTAGGTCTCTCTGATACTCTTGGTGCAGGCGGACTAGTTTTTCAGACTTGGTTACTGCTTCCTATGGTTAACATGTAAGATGATTCAGACAGGAATACATTACTACGTGCAGTGTCAATGTGCTGTAAGAAATCGTTTTTGGAATTTCACAGAAGCATAGTTATTAAATCACTGGATTCTGAGTGATATCTTAGAAGAATGAAGCTTTAATATTTATGTAAAAAATATACAAACATAGTATCAGGATTAAAAGGGGTCTTAAATATTATTTTGTTGACTTAACCTGATTTCTGAATTCTTTGTGAAATGTAACATGACATGCCAAAAAAACCCAAAAACGAATTAGCTTGACTTGTCATAAAAATATACTTTTGCTAATGAAGAAAACTTAAATTCTTATATTGTACCTTAACTAAGGATTAGAAATCACTGTGGATTTAATTTTCCATGTACTTTGTCTAATAAAGTAAGATGTGCTTGAAAAGCTATTTTTATTTTCTTTATGAGGCCTTCATGAAGAATAATAAATATTATGGGCATCTCCTGCTTCAAAAAACTCTCATCACCAGATATATTCAGGCACTTATGAATCTTGTTTATGAACCTGTCCAAAATTTTTCTTTAATTGGTAAATTTCTAAAAATTTTTAGTTGACAATTATTTTCCTTCTGTAACTTTCATGTACTAACAATTTGTATTTGAAGGTTTTTGTTTGGTTTTGCTGGTGGTATGTTTTAAAATTTATTTTGCCTATTTTGTTTTGCTTTCACAAGTTTATCATTCCTAGAAATAAATGAATCTTCAAATTGCGTAGCTCCAAAATACTCCTATTTTGGTGAGTGTGCATGGAACACAGTTAGCCATACCGTGGCCCTCTCTTTGATTGCTCTGTATCGCTCCTGTAGATCCTGGAATTCCAACTGGGTGACATAGTGCTCTGTCATACCAGTCCCTTTGACTTCAATGGTCTCCAGCAAGCTGCTGTGACTCAGCACTTCTTCACTTAACAACTAGAGAACATTTAAAATAAAATAAAATGAAGGAGTTACCAAGTAAACCATCATATAATGATACTGCTGAAATTAAGATAATTTAACTATAGTTGACAAGTGACTTAGGTTACCTATTTGATAGATAGACGCATGTGTGTGTGTGTGTGTGTGTGTGTGTGCGTGCGTGTGCATGGTATCTGGCCCAGAACTTTCTTGGAGATACTGATTTCAATTGACTTGCGCATCTCAAACTTAATTTGTCCTGATTTCCCCTCTATTACTGTTCTTCCCCAGTTCCCACTGTCTTCTCTTTCAGTCTCTTTCCAAACAATAAACTTCACTACTTTCCACACAGATGGTCAATTCAGAACACTGAGTCCCCCTTTCTCCCTACTTTCCGTCACTCCATCCATGAGGAAATCTTGTTAGCTCTGCCCGCTCATTATGTCTCATTTATCTGCATATCTCTCGCAAACTCTCAAGCCCAGGCCGCTATCATCTTTTGCTTGGACTTTTGCAATAGGCAGACTTCCTTGTCCTTTTCCATACTCCACACAGCAGCCTGAGTGATAAAAGGTGTTAAGATTGTTATCATGTCATCTCTAGCTTCCAGAGTTGATTATCTTTCCAGTGCCATCAGGATCAAGTGGAGAATCCTCAGGCGAGATGACACACAGTGCATGATCTGGTTCCTGCCACCTTTGCCAGCTCACCTTGCAACGCTCACCCTATTTATTGTCTGCTCTAGCGATATATGGCCTTTCTGTTAGTTCCCTGATCCAGTCAGGTTCTCTCCATCCTCAGGGCCTGTGGACATACTCATTATTCCCCATTGGATGTTCTTCACTCACCTCCCCTCAGGACTAATTTCTCTGAACTACATTCCTTAGGGCACAGTCCACATCTCTGCTGTCTCAGAGAAGCCTTTCCTGTTACTCCTTTGGACTCTAAGAAATCTATTATTAGCCCTGTCTAAATTACTCTCTCTCACAGTATGCCATTTTTTTTCTTCATAGAACTTATCACCAGTTATAATTATTTATTTATTGATGCATTCACTAATGAATATAGTGTCCCCATCAGAATACAACCCTTGTCTGTTTAATTTACCTAGAATCTGGCACAATGCCTACATGTATGCATGTAGTGAATTCTCAATAAATATTGACTAGACAAATAACTTAATTAATTAGGTAGTACATCATTATAACAATACTGTGAGGTAGATAATTATGATTATATTAATTTTCAGATGCATAAGTGAGACCCAGAAATGTTATTAAATGTCTTGACATAGGTTCACGAAAAGCCAGTTAGTCATTCAAGTAACTTCTACTCAGCATTTGCCCTGTGTCAGCCAGCCAGCCAAATGCATATAATATAAAGAAAATTAAGCATCTTTATCCACTGAAGGAGAGAGATTTGTTAGCATATATTCTATAAAATTGATAAAGAGATATGAACAACACAGAACAGAAGAATACTTAGGTCTAGGGCGGTGGTTGTATCATAGTAAAAATGACTTCTGACCAATTCAGAAAGGTGAGGAGGAGGCTGCCGGGGGCACAGGCAGAGCCAGGACAGGCCTTGGAAAGGGGTGAGGTCCTGCAAACGCATGGAATCCTTTGATTGCATTTAATGAGGCACATTCAGGAAATATAAATACAGTAAGGCTGATGCATGGGTGGAAGGAAGGTGAGAAAATGAAGGAAATGATGATGGCAAAGAGATTATTAAAAGTCTTACAAACAAGGTGGGGGAGATTGGTATGATACTGTGGACAATGGAAGCCCACAGGGCTCATGCACCTTCACATGGAGATCACAGTAGGTGGAGACAAGTGACAAGGGAGCAGTTAGTAGTTTCCTGCAGCTCAGGAGAAGGATGGATTACAGTTAGGAGATATTCCAGGGGTACAGTCAGGAGGCACGAACGCCTAACTCCAAGTGGGGATGCGGAGCAGGGAACTGGGGATAAGGAGGATTCCCATATACGATATTCAGTATGGGGGGGCACCAACGGACTGAGACTGAGAGTATGAGTGTGAAGGATTTGGGGTAGAAGTAGTAAACATGGCTTAGGATAGGATAAGGTTGAGGGGCAACAGTTATCCAGTGCGTGTGCTTTGGAGTAAGGCTATAAATCAGAGGTCTCCAAAATTACACGTTGGAATATTACTATCAATGAAAAAGAGATTTAAGAACATATCATTAATATTTATTTATTTACTTCCTTAAAACATTTTTACACATAGTACTGTACTAATATACACATTGTGAAAAATGCACTAAAGTAGAAATACAAAAGGATGTGAGGAAAAGAAAGCATTTTGACTTCCTACTGTAGAGCACATCGACGATATTAAAAGATATTATAAGTCGCCAAATTTTAAATGTATTATCAAATGTGGGTCTACAGGGTCTTCCTGGAAGAGAGAATTTTCAGTCACTAATAAAACAGCCACAAACAAAAGTCTGGTTTAAGAGTCATTAGAAATTATAGTAAAAGCCTAAAATATCATTTACCTACATGGACAGCCCGAGCATGCAGGTCATCACACTTCTGCGTAACCATGGCATTCTGAAAAAGCCTGTCAGAGGCCATGAGGAATCTGAAATGAAGCTCCCACCTTGGCTTTTCCGAGAGCAGCTGTTTTGTCCCGCAGTTCCGCACACTGCCTTTCAGATTCGTTGACACTGGCCTCCACGCTGTCCATCCAACTGGAAAACTGTCGAACATCATCCTGGTAACTTGTCCACTTAGAAAGAGCTCCTTCAAGTTGACTGAAAGGCGTTGGAAAGGACAAGAATCTACACTGAGAGGCCTGAGAAGTCCAATCTGTCTCGTCTCTGTCACCGTGTGCTCTGTCCACCCCACCCGCAGGAAGCCCCTCGATCGGGACGCGGGGACGTGAGCAGGCATGGGGTGGGCTGAATGGTCAGGGCCTGTCCAAGCCTGGTCTGGGGCCCTAGTAAGCATAACTTCAGGAAGTAAGGGACAGTTAAGTCCCAGCCAACAGGCAGAAAAGTGGGACTGGACACAAAATCTGGAGTCAGTAACCAGTCACGAGACAGTGGGAGAGGCCTACAGACAAACAGGGAAACTTCCTGGAGCAAGGCTTCTCTGGAGCCGAGACTCAGAAGGAAGAAAATCAATACTTAATACCAGCAAGTTGAGCAGGATATCCAGAGAAGACGAAAAAAGAGGAAGGAAGGGAGAAGCAAACCCAAGAAGCAAGAACGAGCATTGTAACAATCTTGCATGAGATTTAAAATTCACAAAAATCACAATGGAAAAATAGGGTAATGTTTCCTGAATTGGTCTGATTATTGAAACCTGATTATTTCTCTTATATATAAATTAAGCACTTCCTTCTCTCAGTATGGAATTTTTTAAAACCCCATTAATCATTTGTGCCTAATTTTACTGCCATGCTTTCGGTCCTTTAGTAGCAGACACCCCACCCGTAAATACCCTCAGACCAGACCAACTGCCAGCTCAATGGCCTCTTGGTCTGAATGCATTCTCTGGTCCCTGCTGCCCTCTCAGCTAGACAGCGATGTCTGCTGGAAGTGCCAGGCATGTTGCCCACTAGAGGGTAGCCCTCAGTTGCCGTCTTGACTCATGGGAGTCTGTTTACAAATAGTTCAGCTCCCCTGCCCTACCTGGTAGATAACTCAGGCATGTGCTCCCACTGGCTCCCAGTGGGCCAGGTTGAGTCCCCACTGTGGAAGCCTGTCTGATAACATGCCCTTTATTGCCTACCCTCCTTCCTCATTGCTCTTTCACGCCCCCTACTGGTATTTCCTGGCATTACCTCCCAAGTCAGTGACTGGTCTGAACTATTTATCTTTCCACAATGAAACATTTATCTTTTGACTTTTCAGGTGGTGAACAATAAAAAGAAACAGGTAGTTACATTAAAACATAGGCATAGTATTGCTGGCCAACCTAAACGCAAGATGCTATTTGCTAGGTTCTTTTGTTCCAATAAGAAGAGAAAAGGAAGAAAGGAGGGAAGGAGGGACAGAAGGACAGAAAGAGACCTCCAGGGACAGCGTGCTCCTGAGTGGTTACACTGATCCCTCAGTAATTGCTTCACGGTAGTTTGTTGTTTCATTTACCTTTTACAACGAATGCCTGCAGACAAAAGGGAAGCCCACAGGTCCTTCACACTCTGCAGCTGCTGCTGAACGGCAAGAATGCCTTCCGGGGAGGTGTTCTGAAGGACAGACTCCCCTCTGGTCACTATTATTTTCATCTGGATCTCTTTTTCCTGTTTTACTGATAACAGAGCCTATAAAAGCAAACAGAGAAGTCCCTTGTCGTTTGCATGTTTTACATTTCTGGCTTTAAATACTTCAGAAGTCCTGAGGATTGTAGAATGATAGGCAATTGGGTGGAGCCCTGGATCTCAGGCTGATAGGGGAGGGTGGGAGAGTCGCTTGCAGATGAGTGCCAGCAACCAGCCACCAGGACTCACATGTGGGGCTCCAAGGGGCCTCAGCTTTTCAGGTCTTGATTCTTTGAATACTCCCTTTTTCCCCCTGAAGTTTTATTTTTTAAGACGAGAAAAGTTTGAATAAGAGAAAAATAGACAACAGAATGCACGAATTCTCAAAGGTCCCGGGATGAAGAGCTTTATACATGATAAAGTCTCTAGCATAACAAACCCAAGGAAATGGATTAATTCCTATGGTATATTATTTATAAATTTCAAGTTCTTCACAAGCACTGGTTTTCTATATAAAAGAAAGTTTGAAGTCAAAGTTACAAAACTGGTGTTATCATCCCTTAAAAGGCAAAGCTTCATCTCTCTCCCTAGTCTGGACCTTGCCAACCTGTGCAGATTCAGCTTCAGCCCCTTTGCCATCAGTTTCTGCTGTAGCAAGAAGGAGCTGCTGGCAATTTCTCACACACCAGCCTGTTTGTTTTCTTTGTCCTTTGCTCATGCTGGTACCATTCTCAAATCTCAGTTCGCGTATTAGGCTTTCTGAGAAACCTGCTCTGACCATGCAATCCCTCCTGCACGGTTCCACTCATCTGGGTGTTTATAACACCATGAGCACAACCCTGTCTGTTACTATTGCCTTCTGCGTTTCAGCCTCTAGCCTCAGACAATGACGTCGTTGAGGACAACCATATTTCATTCATTTTTGAGTCCTTGGTCTCAAGATAGAATGCCAGTCTCCTAGAAGACACCCTGAATACGAATGAGAGGTGAGTGATGTAGAGTAATCATTTTATCATAAATGCAAAATGGAACGAACATCTTGGGATGGGAGAATCTACTAAATGATACAGGCAGGCAAGTGAGTTGAACAAGATGGGAAATGGTTTGTCCTATAAAATGCCTCATTGAAGTATTTTCTCACAATGAATGTGTCTGTGATGTAATTGGAAGCTAGATTCTTATATCAAGCAAGTAACCACATTTGGGTTGCTCTTCTATTTTTATTTTTTGTGAACTATCTGTGGATGAGCATGTCCAGGGTCAAATGATTCAGGAATGTTTAGACAAGGCCGCCTGATGCAAACAGGGTCACACCAACAGTGTAGCTTATAAGTGTCAAAGAGACACTGTAATGTAATCACACCAGACAGATGGGAACTTGAGAAATTTTGAGAAAAACAAATTCTGTAAGTTAGAGAGATTTCTCTAGAAATGCCCACCTCCAGCTTGAGCATCCTGCTATCCAGCACACTTTTGTCGGACGTCGGGTGGCAGTAAGAATCCAGCATGTGAAATGTAATGTAATCACACCAGACAGATGGGAACTTGAGAAATTTTGAGAAAAACAAATTCTGTAAGTTAGAGAGATTTCTCTAGAAATGCCCACCTCCAGCTTGAGCATCCTGCTATCCAGCACACTTTTGTCGGACGTCGGGTGGCAGTAAGAATCCAGCATGTGAACCGCATCCATCATCCAGTCTTGTAGTTCTTTAATGCCAAGGGAGAACTGACTGTGTTCTGCCACCATTCTATCCAATCTCGACACTTTCTCCTGGAAATGACAGAGAATGTTTTCCCCACTGTCCATTCCCTAGAGACCTCACAGCCTAAAGCCACTCACATTGTAAAACTATTTGTTTCAAATAGCTTGAGTTAGCCATAGATTCTTAAGCTGTACAATACGATGCAAGTCTCTATTACTCTACAAGATGTATGATTCCTGTCTATAAGTAGTAAAAACATGATAATAAATCAGTCAAAAAATAGAAAAATTATAATTCACTGCCCCTCAGTTTAGCTGCTATTCTTTGTGACAGTTACAACTTTTTTTTCAGAAATGGTAAAATTTATTCCTAATGCCTTGTCTGGGAGAGGAATCGAAGCAGTTTCTAGCTTTCACATACCACAGTTGACTCAGCTGATACCACAAACCACATGACCTACATTGTAGCCAGTTCTAAAAAGCAATTATCTGAGGTTTTGTAATATCCCTAAATTTTTTTAAAAGTTGGGACTATAAATGTGATTTTGTTTATTAACTAAAGGTCATGTCCAACACAACAAAGATTTTATGAATATAGTTTATAGCTCTTAAAGCATTAAAATATTTACTAATTTTTGGTATCTAAATAAATACAAAGGAATAGAAGGATTCCTTAATTCATTCTAATTTTAGATCTGTGACAGATTTCCTAAAGACAGAAAAGTAACTTATTCAGAGAAAAAACGTGGATGTACACATAAACTATTTACTCCAAGACTGTGACTAGGGTAACCATCTCCATGATGTTTCATTGAGGACCCGAACTGGCAGACCAGAAGTAAGTCCACACTAAACTAGGTGGCACCTAGTTACAGTGATTGCTTACATTCTAAGATCTGAAATGCAAGAAAAATATAGGGAACAAATGTTACAAGCCACAGAAAGCTCAAGGCAGACCTGCCTCACAAAGGTCAAGACAGGTCTGCATTAACTACCAGCTGAATGATCTGAATGAGGTCACAGTGGGATCTCATTTCCTTTTTTTTCTAAGCTGTTGGAAGATCTAATCAGTTATATGAACCATTGCCAATTCTGAGCTCTGCTCTAGAATCTGAAACTCTTAGTCAATACATCCTTGACTCCTGTGTGATGAATCTAAAGAATGTAGACAATTTTCAAAAAATATCCTAAACTCGTTATATTTAGTGCACTAAATTATAAGCTGCTTTGATTCATGTTGTCCTGTAGGAATTTAATATGAGATTCTTTAGACCACAAACTCTAAATTTTGCCTTACATGTATGCTTTGAATCTTCAAAATAAAAGCTCTGGGGAACATACCACTTCAGTATTAAATTGCGCAATGATAGAGATAGGAAGTCTTCAGTCTTTGCAACCCTCCTTTGCTGTTTTCGGACAGCCAAAGCCTCAGCACACATGTGGGACTCGGACTGCAAGGCTGGGAAGAGCACAAGCCTGGGAACACGCCTTATTCTTGGCTTGGGCCTGTCAGGCTGGACCCCCTGCAGCACCTTCCTGGGCCTCCAGACTGGTGACATCGGTACCACACTCACACACAGCACCCGGCAGGCAGGCGTTACCTTTGTTAAATTGCTTAGAGCTAGATACTGAGCAGACAGCTGCGACACTCTGTGCATAAAGCTCTTGCTGGCAGCTTGTCCTTCCCACAGCTGCTGAGCTTTCTCTTTCAGCCTGTGGAGCTGAGGCTCGTAGCAGTTTATTTCCTCAAGGACAGACTGAAACGCACAAGCAAGTTCCTAGTAAGAGGCTGGGGAAAAGCACATCGCGGACAAAGCTTTGGCCCAAAGAACGTGGAAATAAATCAACACTGGCAAGCAATAGGTGTGCCCACAGGCTTTAGGACTGCCAGGCTATCTATGGGATAGACTACAGGACAGAAACAAGAGCACACCTCAACGGAAAGCCAGGAAACATGAAATTCGTCAGAAATAGGGCAAGGGTACACTTCATCTCAAGACAGCATAATCTAACTGCAGGGAGCTGGGCATGCAGCTGAATGTGCGGCTGCACAGAGGGTGGGGATGCAGACGTGGCCAGATGGCTGCGGGTCTCATCACCTGGAGCTTTTGCTGTTCTCTCCTCTTTGCTGGCAGATCGTACAGCCGGTTGCTGCTCTCAAGCACCAGCTTCTCGGTGTTGCTCAGCCAGGCCTGTATGGGCTCAGCACTTACTTCAAAGTCCTTCATTTGGATCTTTAGATTCTGTGAGGTTTGAGGTAGTGTTAGGGACAAAACAACTTCAACAGCAAGTCCAAAGTCCTTCACGTGGCACTCAAAGCCCACCCCGATCTGGGCCCCTTGCCTTGCACCAGCTCTCCTTCTTTCCCTGTTCCCAAAGTCTGGAACATTCTATCCTTCACCTTGGGCACACCTCTATATTTTTGAATATCCTGTGAGAGTTTTTTAGGCTACTTTTTAAAAAATGAATTTTTCCCTCATTATCTCAGAGTTCATACCATCTCTCAACTTCCATCACATGTACTGCTTATACTAGTCACCGAATACTTTATCACAGGCTAGGCTGGACGGTGAGCTCCACCGCATGCAGGCCTGCCTCCCTCATCTCCACAGCTAGACTACAAGCTCCAGGAGGAGGGCCTATGCCTCACACTTCCTGGGTCACGCTGCAGTATCGAACAGCAATATAAATAAATATTAACAAATGTTAGTCGACTTTGATTAATGATGAGACCAGAAATATTATGGTTTACATGCTTACTATGTTTTTAATAAATAATTTGTTCACTCTGATTTATAAAGACATAAGAAATACCAAGTAGCATTCTGTGCTATTCTATAAGAATGTTGTGACTACTTTCATAGATAATTTGTAGGTATTAATGGCTGTAAAACGTACTTACAAGGGGCCATTTCACTTTAGCAAAGGTGTCTATATCCAATGTCTATTACTTTACCTATAACACTGCCAGATGGAAGTGAATTTGAAATTTGTGTTACCTTGTGAACCATTAAAGGCTTTTACAGATAAATCTAAACTAGAGTTTTAGGTAATATTATTGAAGAGCAAATCCATAAAGATTAGCTGAAAAACATGAGTGGTAAGGACTGCAGGGGCCTCTCAGAGAATGGCTAAAGGCTCCATCTCTACCCTGGACAGGATGCCTGCAGTGTGGGGACCGTTTGCCTGTCACAGTCTCGTGTTAGGAATATGGGAAGCAATGGGAATGCTTTGAAAAATTAAAAGTGCTTCACAAACGTAAGATGCCAAGATAACTCCTGGAGCACTCTACTAGAATCGAGCTCCCTGAGGGCAGGGGTTCTATGCTCTTTATTCTCTGCTGTATCCCAAATGGAGGATGCTCAACACATATTTGTTGAATAATTAAATAAATTCATGAATTCTACCTTCCTGATACTGGAATCTCATAGGGCCACTAAAGGGGAAAGTGGGGAACGTGATCAGGAATTTAGTTCTAAAAAGAAATGGGACTGAAGAGCTGAGCTTTTGGGGCTCAGGCAGAGATCTAATGCAAAACAGCTGAGTTCCTTGCCTAAGGAGTGAAGTCACATTGAGCAAGGGGCCTGGAGAACAGGGATAAAGACGGCTTTCTACTAAGTCAAAACAGCTCTAATGGTGCTCATATACTTCCCGTCTACATGGCTGTGTAGTCCTTCCACCAAATGTGTATCCTCATACTTTTCTAATTACTTCTTCCATGGCTTTAATGACCAACTCAAACTTTTAAAGACCCACATTATAGACCTGTGCTTATATAAACTTTAAGTCAAAATGCCTGACTTAAGTTTGAGCCTTATCTCTGTCATTTACTAGCTGTGAGAATTTGACAGATTACTTAACCACCTTTGGCCTTACTTTTCTCATCCACAAATAGCAATAAGAGAGTTCCTACGTCAGAGAGCAGTTTATGAAGAATAAATATATGTTATACCTTGGCCTGCACATCCAGTTCTGCCCATCTGAAATGTACACAGGCCCTGGCAAATTCAAGGAATGCTTAGCCTTCCAGGTTCAGCTAAAATGTCACCTTTCTGGAAACCTCCCTTGATCCCTCCAAGTGGCATTAACTGCATCCTTCTCTGAGGGACTGCCATGCCCTGAACACACCTATATTACAGTGCAGTCACCTCTTCATACACTGTTTCCCAGTCTAGAAAGTGGATTCCCGGAGGAGAGGGAAAAGACTAACTCTCTGGTTTTCCAAACATAGTGCCTGGCACATAACAGAAATTTTTACTATATATGTATTCCTAATAGAAATGAAGGAAGGAATGAAGAGAAAAAGGAAGAATGGAAGGAGGGAAGACAGGCAGGCAGGTCGGCAATTCCTGACCAACCCATCTACTCCTGGACATCTCTCAAACTATGTAGTTTTTCAATCAATGTTAGATGTATTTCGCTCAACAACAGACGCCTCAGAGCTCAGGCCACATTATGAAGAGTAAATTTCCCAGCACTGCACAGTGTTTATCAATCTCTATTAAATGGAGGATGCTATGAAAGAATAGCCACCATTACAGGGAGAGCTACAGTGATCCTGGGTTAGGGAAGAATTGAGGAAACACATTTTTCTCCTTCCAGATATTAATTCTCTGTTATTATTTTTTCCACCCTTCAATAATTAAGGTCATAATCAAATTAAAGGTCTATTCTGCCAGGAAGTGTGGTTTTAAAGGTAAAATATTCTCTATGCCACTACATTTTCCTCTAAGGGAAAAAATAGTACACAAAACAAATGATCTCACAAGAAAAAAAAATGATTGCATTGTGGCAATAATTATGATAATAAATTCAACTTATGCTATCTTGATAAAACAAAATCACATAGCCATTGTCTCTTTGCATACTTAACTTCTAAATACTGACTACTTGATACCTGCATTAGTTATAACATACCCTCTCATCCATAGCATTTTGTAGCTTTACATGGATATTTCTGTTCATTCTCCTAGAATAACTTCCAAAATTGAGGGATTTCAAGTGAATGATTGATATTGCTTAGAAATAAAACCAGTTGTTCCTGGTGGAACAGTGCATGGTGGGACAGTGCACAGGCGAGCCTGTAGTAATAGCCCCTACTATGCAAGAAGTGACTAAGAAGTTTCTTAGTGAGGCTCAGTCTCCTAACACTGAGCTGTGTCTTACAGTTACCCAGTTATCCAGTAATATGGGATGGATATTAAGGGATATATAAGAGATGACCAAATATACAGGCATATATAAGGGATGACTAAAATCATAGACAAGGGTGTTCAGGTATATTGAAAGTATGATTTAACTTCCAACATAACACAAAACATGCTCATATGGTTAGCTATATTATACCTCGAGGGCAGATTCCTTCTGGAGGAGATTTGAATGGAAATTTTTCCAATCTTCTTTTGCAGTTGTGACTTTGGCTTGGATATCATTGGCTTTCTCCTTGGTCAGCAGAGAACTCAAGAGGTCTCCTTTAGAAAGCATTGTGTTTAACTTGTGCTGCCCATTTTCACTTTCTGACAAAAATTCCTATACGGAAAAATGTAAGCTTAGGTACAATACAATGCTCTATGCTTTAAAATACATAGATTTTTCTACTTACTTCCCAATAAAAATCAAAAAGAAACAGACCATTTTTATTCTTTATATTAAATGCTAAGACTCTTTGACCTGTCTGTACACTGGGCATAATTATCTTATGCACCTGATACGGTTATTACAAAACTTAAATGAGAAAGTCTGCTTTGATTGTTCAGGCACAGGCTTATTACCGAGGAAGAGCTTTTAATATTTTCTAGTCCCTATTAATACATAAAAATAGCACGCATTTAGATGAATGGACTAGTTTCACTTCACTGTATACACGATCAACTGTTTCAAGCGGGGGTTTATTTGAAATTTGTGTTTCTTAAGCAAAACTTTAATAGGCTTATAAAAGATCTGGCAATACCTTTTTAATCCACTTAAGCACCATTGTTAGAATTAATCAATATAACTCTCACCTGTATTTTCTGAAGACTTGCTGCAACTTCATTAATATTTTGAGGCACATCAAAACACTTAGCAGTAGTGATTTTGGCATTAACCAACCATTGCTGGAAATCCTTGAAGGCTCTTCGAAATCTTTGCTGTAAAATCTGTTCTCTATTCTGACAGCCCTTAGATGCTTGCAAACAAAGACTAAAACCATGATTTGAGGCATTGAATGAGAGGGGAAAATGACAAAGTAGATTAAAGTAATGCTTGATAGAATCAATAGTTCTTAGAGCACATACTCATGATATTTAGTGATGTATTTAATGATTAATTAATTTATTTATGCTATAATTGAAATAGTACCTTAAAATGAACAAACCGCTGGCTTATTTGTATAAAAATATTTTAAATACCAATGAGGTTCATGCTTACCAATTATATTCTTTAATCAAGCCAGAAACTTTCCCACTGTAGGTGCTCAGGTCTCTAGAAAATCGACAGAGTTCATTCAGCTGCGATTTGAGATCCTCTGTCTTTGGCTCTGCTTTTTGTAGAGCATCCAGTGTCTCCTGTTAGAAACAACAAAGCAGAGGAGCAAGCATTGAAACTGAGTAACTTCCATACCCTCATACTCTACATGCACAAATCATATTATAAATTGTTAGCGGGGGAGGAACCAACATAGTAGGTTCAGTAAAGAAATGAGGCTCCTTTGCAGGATTCCCCACGGCAAGTGATAGCACTTGACTGATTTTTCATTCTTTTCTAGGCACAGGTAGGTACTCCAGCATCAAACGTTGCCGAGTCGTTGTCAAATAATTTAAAATGGGACAAGAAAAAGAAGAGAGGGAAAAAAAGAGTCATCAATTACTTGCTGAATGTCTGCTACGTGCCAATTATTTTGCTGAACTCTGAGATCCCTAAAATGACTACATGATTCTTGTACTTGAAGAGCTCACGATTGAACTGGTGACAAAGACATGTGCATAATTATGGCAGTGTGAATATTTAATCCAAAATAAAGTCTTGGGACTTGACAAGTGCACCTCTAAAATCAAGAGCATGGTCCACTGAGTTACACAAGGTGCTTTGAAAGGAGGGCATTTCTCTTGCAGGATTGTCACAAGGAGCAAAAGAGATCTCAAGTGAACACAAATCTCAGCCCATTGATAAGTGCCTCATAGTAAAAGCAGCAGGTAAATGACTGCTAAATATTTAAATGGACTGTGTGGATAATGGTGTCACCAAGGTAAAAAAATAAGGAGGAGGCACAAGAAGATGAGTGAGTACTCAGGTAGCTGTCGCTGTCACTATTATATTTCTCAGAGATGTTTATCGAGCCATGGCCTAGATTTGTAGGAAAACCATGCCTCTCAACAAACCAGGTCTGTGTCGCATTCCTCATGCTCGTAAATGGCACCATTGTCCTCCCACTGATCTAAATCAGAACACTCAGCATCATCTTGGCCTCACCCACTTCCCCTCTCACTCCATGCAAGAGGTAAGGGGTCTGGTCCCCGCCATGGCTTGGACAGCATTTTTGACCTGTTACCTCTTTCCCTCTGTATCTTGACTCTTACAGCCCCCACTTATATCTTCATCATTTCTTGCTGGAAAGGTCAAATACTTTGTTAGTTTGAATCCCATTCTCCAGGCTTCTCTCCTGTTTTCTCATTCCTTAGTAATTCTCGATCTTGACGTTCTTCCTCTACCTGACAGATTCCAGTCAACTGGTAATCATACTTCAAGACTCAGCTCAATAGGACTCCTCTGAGGTTCCTCTGCCCTCCTCCCCACCTCTTAGGGGCTTCTCCCTTGAGGACAGACAGCACCTTGCTGGCATCATCAAAACTGAGCATCCGCACTGGTCTGGAACTTGTTAGTCTTTCCTAGACTCTGAAATTGAGAGGAGGGGCGGTGTTCTCTTTGTTCTAAATTCTTTATTTAGCTTAGTGTCTGGGAGAGAGGAGTCTAAAATACTTTTATTTACAAAATTCATAAATACCAACTAGAAAGTCTCTCCCTGAAACTCTGAATGTTAAACTAGTCACTCCTATTTCAGAACATATTGACTATTTTATTTAAGGAAGAACATGATAAGAACTAAAGGAACTTAACCACACACCAAAAAAGTAAAAACAAAAAACAAAGATTCGAATTAGTCACTTAGGAATTAGGTGTTCATGAAAAGTGAAAAGATTTTGCCCAAATTTAAAAAGAATTTCTATAACTTCACCAAAAATTAAAGCATTTTAGTAGAGTCTTTCTTTATATGAATATCTGGCTTCATACTGCTGTTTCAGTTAAGACCTGGAATGCATTTTTTCCCTTCGAGGTTTAATAGGGTAATAAATTGCTAAATTTGCAACACTAATAGTCCAACAGATATTAAGAGATATGAGCTTTGCAAACACAGTGAACAAGATATTTTTTAAAATGTGGCTTTATACAGTTTATAGATGATAACCTATTTTTATTTTTTAAAAGATTCTTGAGTATCATCACTTAATTGCAGAAGAGAAAGTAAATACTTGTGAAGGTTTGTGATGATTATTATGACTGTCAACAATGACAAACCCTCCCTAATAGCAAAACAATGCCATAAGCAAAAGAAATGGAAAATTCATTACTTTGTAAAACTTTTCCTATGCATATTTTAACAGTGGAAGTATTTCACCTATTTTGAAAATTGTAATATTTTTCCCAGCTTTAGAAATGACTGATGCATAACATTGTATGAGTTTGAGGTGCACAACGTGTTAATACATTTTTATATCACAAAATGATTACCACCATGGCATTAGCTAACACCTCCATCCTGTCACATAATTACCATCTCTTTTTTGGTGGTGAGAACATGTATTATCTCCTTTTTTAGATAAAATACCATTATGAGAAATAAGAGAAAGCTGAATATTGAGAACTAATAGAGTATTATCAACCAAAGCATGGGGTCTGGGGTCAAATCTGGAAATAGACTTGATAAGCAGAGGTCTATGTTTTTGAATTGTTGTTGGTACAATTAAAAACTGATGTTTACTTTTATATTATCATGTGCATGTTTATAGGCTTCACCTATTATTTTCACTAATAGTATCAATGTAAAAATTAATGATAGCACAGAATAGTAATATAATTTGAATACCACCAAACCTTCATTTTTACAAATTTGTTTCATATTAATGGTAGGGAAAGGAAGGGAAACAAAACAGAACAAAAACATTACAACGGATTTTTTTCATATCAGAGTGAATAATACTGATCACGGGGGACAATTACCAACTTCCTTGTCCCTGGTTTACACTACTGCTTTCTATATCTTATTCCGGTGCTTAAATGTAAAGAACAGGAAAGACATCAGAAAAATAAATAATGACCAAGGAACACTATAAATAAAACAGCATAAAGATGATTATGAAGTTTTATTTTGTGGGGTGATATATTTGTTTCAAATACTTGATTTAAAACAAGACAATGTTGAAAATACTACATGACTTTCTTGCTGGCTGGGCCTGTTTTGAAATGATTATAACATAAATAGAAATGGAGAAGTTTACTAAAATTTCCTTTTAAGGACATCCACTATTTGGAGCATTATAAAACTACACATATCAAAGCTTCCCAAGACATCATTTAACACTAAAAGAAAGAGGACTTCAACCTTCTGCCTAGGCTTTATAATCCTTTTTATGCTTCCCTTACATACTGAAAGAGCGGTCATTAGTTTAAAAAAAGAATTGACTGGAAGGCAACCCGTGAGCATGACACAGGAGTTCTGTTAACGGGTTAATTCAAGCACAGCTGCCAAAGCCACACAGAGAAGAGCAGACCAGGGTGAAAACTATTACTTGTGCTTTGAGATATTACCAAATATTTCTTTCAAAGCTATAAATTCAATCATTTAATTGTTGGAAGTAATTCACTGGCAGGAAAACAGCTATGACTCTCTGTCTATTTATGCCTCTACCCACAGGCCATTTTTCAGACTAAATGGCTGAATGCAATATTACAAACTCTTACACCATAAGAATGAAAGTAAAATGTCTGCATCAACAAGAAGTGCTTCCTACAGTAAATAATAACTCCTTCTCCCCTATCTCCTTATTTTTATAATGGTCGGATTTATAGAAAAGAAGTGGATCAGATTTTCAAATTTAATTAGGTAAATACTTATTTCTTCTAAGTCTGAAATTTGTATGTTTTTTAGTTACTAAGGATTTTCTTTGCAACAATGAGAACCAAACAAAATTTTTAGCATAACCACCAACAGAAAACCGGAAGCCAACTTACTCGTCCCTTCTGCCAGCACTCCACTATCTCCTTATCTGTGTTCTTGCCTTCTAGGAGAGTTAACTCCTGTGCCCAGGTGGTCAGAAGGGCACTGAACTGTTCCAGGGCCCGCTCCAGTTGGGCAGCTTGGCCTGAGAACTCCTGCTCCGAAAGGGCCATTTGGCTAACCAGGTTCTCCAGGCTGGTCTGCGTTTGGACTACACTGTCTTCCCACTGCTTCCAGTCGGCACGCAGGGCCTGCATCTCTGTGTCCAGGAGCTCACACCCACTGGCGGTCGTGCTCCGTTTCACCGCAGGAGCCAGGGACTCCACTCTGCTTAGGCGGCTTGCACCAATCTCTCTGGAATCCATCAGCTCCTGTAATGGAATATCACCATGGTAACCGAGGAGGCTGTGAGTCACTGGGCTGCGAGTTTCCAAATGTGGACAGAGGGGGACCCTGTCCTGCCAGGAAGTTTTAGCAAGCATGCCGCAAGGAACCAGAATCCATCCGTCTGCCCACTCCTACATTATGATAGTAGAGAACTAGGGTGAGTGCCAAGGAGGGTGACAAAATAAACTGAGGAGTCTGCAACATCCTAAAACAGGCTGAACAGGGGCCCTGAAATCAGGCATTGTTTGAACACATGAGACTGCTTTGATAGTGATTTAAATATTTGCCTGCGGTGTGTTGTCCGTATAAGTACGTGAATCCATGTTTCTCCCTGAGAGACAGGGGAATAAGGATTGCAACACAACTGATCTCTGCTCATGGGTCTCTTTCCCATTTTCATCTTTTTCCACAAGATGTGGGTGAAATCACACTTCCGATCTTCTAGCAATCAGGCTGACCCTTCACAACAAATGAGTCCTACTCAGTTTCAAATACTTCAGTGCCTTAAGTAAACATTTGCACAGTAACTAAAAGGATAATTCATAGACATACTTAATCAAAAGTTCAAAGTAACCTTTAGACTGGGTTCATTTATTATTATTTCTTTAAAAATTATTAAAAAATTAACAACCTCACTAGAAATCTAATAATTTAGCTCTTACTTTTAGGCTTAAAGCCACTAAAGGACAAGAGGAAACTAATACATGCTTTGTTTGTTAGCTAAAACAGTGGCATTTCTTTATGAGAATAGATACTTTGAAATTTTTCTCACTGAATTCATCATCTGGTATCTATAAATTTACATATCTATTGCTAAAGTCAGAATTTTGTTAGTTTTAATACAAAAGTATGACTTCTTCCCTGGATTAAACAGGAGGAAAAGAGTATTTAGGAAAAAACTTCAAATGCAAATAAATTAAAAATTAACAGGGGTGTTAAGTAGGAAGCATGCTTGATAAATGATGGTAAGCATAAACTGTCTTAACTAATCTATATACTATAGTTCACATTTCATTAGATTATCTTGAAGTAAATATATCTTCTCATAGTTTAGCAAAGGTCATTGAGAAGTATTTAATATATAGTAGTCCAAAGTCCCAGGACATGAATCTTTTCTCAGTTAACATTTAACATACATATTCATCCTTTCCTCAACAGGATTATAAAAACCTTCCTTATTTATCAGTACATATAGTAAGCAGTGATTGGATGGAAAAAAAAGAATACAGCTTTTGAAGAACAGCTATATCTAACCATTAGACATAAATACTTATAATTTGCCTTTATGAGTGATTTCAAATTTGGAGTTCTGAGCATATCAGCTATCAAAAATCAGTTTCCCCAAATCCTCCCTTATGCATTATCCCAGTTTTCTCTGAGATGAAATGGGACATTCAGTATGTGCCATCGCTAATTCCACTCATCCAGATTTTGAATAAGGATATCATCATTTTAAAGTGTTTCGAAATGACTTTTTGTATGTATTTCCTTGTCTTGTATTTAACTCTTTAAGGACATTTTATGCACATACACACATGGGTAACACACACTCTTACACACACACACATTTGGCTTTGAAGTCGCCTGTTCTCAGTGGCTGTTTCTGGGGGTCGGGACCACGGACGCTGAAGTACAGAGGGGGTGCTCGCTATTTCCTCCAAAGCTTCTCCTCACTGACACACCAGCTTACATTCAGACCTGTCCTGGACTTCGGAGAGGCAACCCTGCCTGGCTACACTTTCTCCTTCCCAAACTTAAAATTTTTTCGCCAGTTCCTTACATTTCCTGTATTTTTTGAAGTATTTTATAAAAGCATTTCAAAAAAAGAGCACTTGGCAACCCAGGAAAGAGCCTTTGTTAAAGGACTATCTTACTTTTCTCTTATCAACATTTAAAATATTAGCCCATCCTTGCTATCTTGTCTACACTCTGCCATTCACTCCCGAGCCCACGCAATCCAGTTTCTCGCCTCAGCTGCCTATGGAAGTGGCTGGCAATGACTACTACCAAATAGCCTAAGTGCCAAGTCCAGTGGGCATTCTTTTGTCTTCCTCTTAATGGCCGCCTCTTGCTGCTTCTGTGAGGGTGACCACTTCCTCCACCAGGGGCCTCGGGAACACCACATCTTCCTGGTCTGCCTCTTATTATTATTTTTCCTCTCCTTTCTGCCTCTCCCTTTCAAATCCTTAAATATTGGTAGCACCCAGGTTTCAGTCCTGTGGCCTTCACTTCACTCATTCTGTGGCTTCCGCTACAAGTTACACGCTGATCATTCCACTTCCGTGTCTGCAATCCAGCTTCCTAGCCTGAAATTCAGACTTGAACATTCAACTGCCTCCTGGACAGCACCACCTGGCAGTTCAAATTCCACTTGTTACAGTTGAATTCCTCATCTCCCCTCCTCTGTAACATGTCTCCTCTTCATGTGCTGTTTTCCTCAGATGGAGGGAGCTCTGCAGACTCTAGGCAAAGTCTTGACTGGTAGCTTGACTTTTCCAACCCTGTCTTTCTATGGCCAATTAAATCACTCAGTTACCAAATCCACTGGATCGTCTTACTGAGCATGTTCTATCAATTAAGCATGATACTAAATGTTTTATGTTCATGATCTAATATGGTCTTCAAACTACTTTGTGAGGCAGGTATTGTTATTGTTATTTTTCTAATTAAGAGGTTGAGGCTTGAGGACATCATGTGACTAGTCCAAAGTCACTCTAGAAAGTCAGCAGAGGCAGGATGCAGTGTCAGGGTCTCGTTCTGCAGCCTGGACTCTAAAAGTAGAGTGAGCTATCATTACCTTTAATGAATTATTTTATAAATATCAGTTTGGGCACCACTGTTCCCTACTGTACTGCAAGTTCCTTGAGGGATGCACAACCATAGCTGAATAAACAGACAGATGGGTGGATGGATGAATACATTAAAATATCAGTAAGAAATGCATCAAGGAAATGTATCAAATCATACAAATGTATCAAAGAATTACATAATTAAAAAGTGGCTTTATGTGATTATGTTTAAAACCTATGCGGTCCTTTTAAGGTTTAAATAAGATAATACTTTCTAAGCACTTAAAAGTAAATCCTCAAAATATAGTTGTTACTATTGCCATTAACTCCTATTTTTATGGTAATTATGTTCTGATATCAGGGATCAGAACACAATCAGTTTTAAATTCCTGACCATAATTACACTATTTAGTCCCAACATTTCCCCATCTACAACTAAACTATTAAGGATTTCATTATTGCTTAACTTTTACATTAAAATCTATTATTTCTATTGGGGGAAAATTATCGCAACTTAATATTCAAGTAACTAGGAATATACTTGTGCCAGTTCCTTCAGATATGTGAATTTCTAATTTTTAAGTTGCCCTTATAAAGAGTAAAGTAGGTAATAATTTTAATGTCCTTTAAAATACTATCTTCCATTCTGTTGTACTGCTGGCTAGGAAAGCAGAATAAAATATCTAGAACACCATTACCAAGCTATTGTCTAAATATATTTAACTAAGTTACTTAATAAAATTTCTTCCACTGAGCTAAAAAATGGTTATCTGTGGACTGGGAGTCCACCCAGCTGGCATGTATTTCCTAGCCTCTCGACTACAGCAGTAAGCACAACTGCATACAGAAGCATACACAGACAGTGTTCCATTTTGCTCTCAAGTCTGAAGTGTTTTAAATTCCTTTTTTTCTTATGTCTATAATTTGTGAGGTGCAAGGTATTAAACACCAACAAATAGCAAGTAAGGAGGAAACATTCTAAATAATAGACTCTTACCCACGGAATCTTCATCATAGGTATGTCACACTCAAGAACCAATGAAACAATGAAGTTATGATATCTGTCCATTTTCTGACCTTAATTTTAGACAATTTTTTCTGGGTGGCTGAAGAATCTCCAGACATGTCTGACCACCGGTGAAGCTCTTCCTTTGCTGAATGGAGCCAATCTGTGAATTCCTGGACGGCATCTAAATACATCAGATGGTCTTTCACAATCTCTTCCACTTTCCTCATTTTCTCCTAGTAAACAAAGAAAAGGCAACGTCAATGGTAGTCAGCATTAAGACTATGAAGTCAGACAAAACAACAGGTATCCTAAAGATCTCAGGAGATTTCATTCCTATCCCTGAATGGTCTCTACGTTTAATACTTAAAATGAAAAGACCAAATCTCAATTACATTGAAAGACATGGAGGAAGCAATGATTGTCCTTTAAGTTTACTTTAGTCTACCTTTGAATAAAAATCTATGCTTAATGAATGGTGATTAACATCTTTCATTGATAAGCCACTTAGCAATACTCGTGATAATTATTCTTATTCAGGCAATTTTTTGTGGTACAGTATTATGCTCAGCACTTTAAATACATTTACCTATTTAATCTTCAAAACAACCCTGCAATATAGATACAATTATTATCCCTATATTATAGGAAAGGACACTTACAGAGATTCAGAGGTTAAACAACGTGCCTAAAGTCACACATCCAAAAAAGGGTCAAAGCCAGAATTCAAATTTAGGTCCTTCTGACTCCAGAGTCATAGCTCTCTTAATTATTACCAAAATAAAATTAAGATAAACTAACAAATATGTTAAAAATTGCAGTATTTATAATACAAAGAGAGTTCCCAAAAGGAAAATCAAAAAAGAAAAAAAGTCTCTGTTATTATCTTTAACATCCACAAAAGGAAGATGATGGAGGAAAGTAAAGATTCAGAGAAACAGTTGAAAAAGAAAATCTTGGTATTATATGAAGGAGTCTATACCATGGAGAATAGGGAAACACAATTTTGCCAGGATGATAAATGAACAAAACACTTTGCACACAATTGAAATCTGGGTGTTAAACAGACTTGCTTTTCATAAAACAAATATAAGTGGCAGTAAAAGGAAAAGAACTTTAAACACTGACATTTGAGGCTCAGACAATCTTGCAAAGAAATGGGCTGATGAACATTCTAAGCAGAGAAAGGTGGAAAAAAAAAGAATAAAAAATAATCCCAAGATTGCAGGAAGTGAAAACTCATGGACAGCCATAGGTGAGAAATTCCTTTACATTAACACGTGCTCACAAGTAAAAAAAGAGTGAGCAGCTAATTTCCCTCGAATTCAACCTACAGGGTATTCTTTACTTGATCTTTGAAGTTTCGTCTTCAATACAGAGCACTAACCTTGGAAACAGTCACTAAGTCATTCAACTGTGTCTTCAGTTCCTCCTGAGTTGCTTCCTTGAAAGACTCATCCTCAGTCTTCCGGTAGAGCTCCCTGGCTTTTGTGATGAGGCGGTGCAGGGCTTTGGCGTGATCTTCCCCAGCACATACAATGGACTGAAGGTGGTCCAGAAGGGAAAACTTCTCCTTCAGACCCGGCTGCAGTTGCAAAGGATGCTCTACTTGTTGATCCACTGATTCCATCCACTGCTCCAACTGGTTCTTCCACTCCAGATAGTCGTTCCATTGGCTAATCACAGACTCCAAAGCACTAGAATTAAATGTCACATATTGTAAAATAAGTTGTCTTGACATCTCCACTGAAAACCAATTAGGGGGGCATTGAGTCCTTGTAAGCTGTTTTACTGAGCACTATACTGCAGGCTGTGAAAAACAGATTTTAAGTGCTGAGAGAAATATTATTTCTCCGACCCATGACATAGTTTCTTCAAAGAAAAATAAATCTGTGTCAAAATTTGAAGTAAGATGTTGCAGTTATGTATGCATCTGGAGATTTGTTTTCTAAGTGCTAATTGTCCTAAATGAACAAATTTATGTATTATGTTGTTAAAACATTAGTAATGGACATCAAATACATTTTATTTAATATATATTCTTAATTTTCTTGGACTTGGTTTAACTTATTGAAATCAGATAATTATTTATTTACTGGAATTCAAAATTTAAGGTATTCTTTCTGGTTAAATAATATCACTGGATTGATTTTCACTTTAGGATATACATGCATGATGCTTAGTGCCCCTGTGTTCTATGTGTGAAGGAAGGAAGGTACAATGTATTTATAAGAAATAAAGTCACATAATTTATATAAATAATGGTTAAGCAAATAGCTCTCCAGAGAGTCAAGTAAAAGGTTTTCCAGACTGGCATTTACCTGCATAATTAGCTTTATGAACTATTCTAAGCTCACCTTCAGTGACCCCTTCCACCTCGTTTGAATGCAATCCTATGATCCGGAGTTATATTTGTAGTAAATGTTACTTTCAGAATTTGCTCAAATTGTTCCTTATATAGCAATAGAAAGCTCATCATACAAACCTTAAAATCCTATCCTTTACTCAAAGAAACTTCTAGAAAACACAAGTCAATGTTACCTGTCTGGAAGCCACCCCAGCCCTGCGTTTTCCTATAGTCTCACAGTGTGTTAGTAACACAATCTGAGTCACAGTCTTTGGAATGCATCCTACCCTGGCCTCTAAGCACTTAGATGACAAAACTACTCCGTTTTCTTTCATTATGTTAGCATGATAACTGGAGCACTGCTATTGCTCAATATGTAGTTGTTAAATTCATTTCTTACTGAAAGAGGGGAATCAAGGACTTGAAGCTGCTTCTTTATTGAACATCTTATTCCAACATCTGAAGAACATTCCTGTTTGCTTTTATGAAACTGGCCTATTGCCAAGCACAAGGCAGTTAGTCCATGCACCAGCAACTGACTCTATAGAATAACAGAACCAGGGGGTCTGATTTCTTTTTTTTTTTGCTGACCATTATCAGTTATTACTAAGGTTCCAAGTCCTGCTCACTTCGGGAGTTACCACCTGTGCTCCATATTCAAAGGAAACACAACGAAATACAACCTCCCAAATGTAGGTGTAACCACATGGCTGTGGCTTACATAGCAGTGGGTAACTGCAGTGTTGTTTGGTTTTGTGATGAACTTTAATCTTTTATGCATTTACTTATCATATTCCTAATGAGCACACACTTCTTCAGTGATCTAACAGTGTATCTAGCCTCCAGAATGTGGGTCCTGGACGTATTTTAGCATAATTCTGACTGAAGGTCATTGTGGATACTCAAAAGAGAGAGGGAGGTGAGAACCTCTTACTCATCAATATACCAGAACTGCCACCACCTGGCATAACCACGAGTGCCCTCTATTCTCTCATCAGTGTCTTGGTGCAGGGCTTCCTGACAGGGGCACTGCATCCAGGCAGCTGTCAACCACTTGCCCACTGATTGTGTGAGAATGTCCCATAGATTGCAGGATGCTGGCTGTCTTGGCCTCAGCCACCAAGTGCCAGGGATGCCGGATGCCCCCACACTGTGACAACCAAAATCTCCCCACACATTCCACAATCTCAGTGTGGGTGGTATTACTTGTGTCTGAGAAAATGATTCATACTTAAGCACAACAGTTGCTAACAACAATTTCCTGTGTGTTCCTTTAAAAAGGGCAAAGTTATTGAAATTATTAAAGACCATGTGCACCCTGGCTTTGATGAACTGAAAGGTAGTGTCTTGCTGAGCCCATATTGTGTGCAAGATTCCTTGAGAGAGATTGTGGGAAATATAAATATTAAACACACACACATGCAAAGCAAGCAAGCAAGCAAACAAAACCAGTCTTCGCCTGCACAGAAAGTACCGTCTAAGCAGAACCAGGCATGCATGCAACAAGCTAAATTAACGTACTTGTTAACTCCACCATAGGATACCCTCAGCACGTTCATTTTACTAAGCCACTGAGTTTTGTTTAGGCAAATAAACACTAAAAACAGGTCTGTACCTCTGAGCATGGACAGAGGAAGTCATGATGTCAGCCCACACATCTTTGAGGGTCTGGAGCTGAGTTCGAATCACCTTCTGACCTCCCTTGTTGCTGCTTCTCAAGGCCTGCTCCCCTTTGCCGATGGCCATGTTCAACTTGACCTCTCCTTCACCTTTTATCAGGAGGATATCCTATGAGGAAGAGGGAATACTTGTCAATAGGAATACTGAAACTTTGGTATTTTTAAAACCGGTTATGTTTCCCATGAGATTCAAGGTGGGGGATAAGTTGCTTTAAAATGGAAGCAAGAACGGCAACCTCTGGACCTGACTGCAGACCATACTTTACTTAAATATTACACATCAGGAGTCAGGGAGTTCAAAAATGAACTCCAATTTGAATTCTTGGAAAACTTTGGGCCAGTAGCCTAGAAACTATAACTTTGTTGAACATTGGTTTCAGAGCAAAAATAAATTATTTTGAAAAGGAAAACGTGTTTGTCAAAAACCGAACCATTCCCTACTCTCATTGCCTGGCTAATTCCTATCTTTCAAGGTCACCTGGTTGACCACAGTCTCCTTTGTGCTCTCAGCCCTCACCAGCCTGCGCAGTCACGGCTCCTGCACACACGCACAGCTGCAAGAAACCATTCACAGGACGGCCTCTCCCCCTAGACTGTGAACTCCTAGAAAGCAAGGACTCACTTTGATCTCTCTTCTTAGCAACTTGTTGCACAGTGCTTGCAGGAAGGTATTCTACAACATTTGCTGAATATATACTAAAGGGAATTTTAAATTTTATTTTAAAGCTATTCAACAAAAATATTCCTTTACAAAGGGGAAAAATGATCTCTCCATATCACATCCTTTTTTGCCCAGTTTCTCCATTTTGCCCACATTATCCTCACTTAGAGGCTCACAGAACAATTAGGACCCAACTTAAACATTGGTGGATTGGATCAGATGTCTGGCTGGCCTCCCACTGTGCTGTGCGTACCTGTATTTGCGACAGCCGCTTCTCCACGGTGGCTTTGCTTCCGACAGTGCTCTCTGCCCGGGCCAGTCTGTCTTGAATGTCTTTTACCCAGGACCACATGCTCTGCAAGGCTTCCTCCAGGGCTTCGTGCTCCTGCAGGGCCACTTGGCAGCTCCGCAGTTTCTCTTTGGTCATTCGGAGAACGTTCTGGTAGTTAGTGAGGAGCTGGGAACACATGCGTCCTTCTTTCCCAGCGCCGTGGCCTTCTTCACTGAGAAGCTGCCCTCTTTGGGAAAGCTTGTCAAGAGACTCTCTAAGAAAACATAAAAAAACTTGATTCTGACATTTGGGAGTGTAGCAGAGTGACAAATGATCATTGATACTGTAGCAGTGACCAGATAAGAGCTCATAGCTGACGTGCCTTTAAAATGAAGATCTTGGTGACCTTCACAGGGCAGGCTGCTGACATTCTCTGATATATTTTATATCAGGTAGTCGATATACTTTAGGGGATTTGAGTCAATCTACACTAAGCCTAGATCCAAGCCCACTATATTACTAGGAATTTGCTTCAAAACATGTCCTAGACCTGCCTCGCCAAGCCGTCTCGCACATCTTTCCATTCCTATTTAATGCTCTAACCATACACAGCAACCTGAAATTCCCCCAATACTCTGCTCTGTTGCACATACATGGAGATCCCTCCTTTGTGAAAACTCTGCTCTCCTCTGCTTTTCTAGTTGGCCCTGCAGATCTCAGCAGGCATCATACCCCCAGGGACATCGAGATGACTCCAGAGAGGGTGGAGGGCACAGGGTCCCCTTCTGTGCGTCCCCTGCCCCTGCGCTGTTCTATCACCTCATCTACTCTGTCTGGCTCTGTCCACACAGCTTTCACCTAGAAGCCAGGATATTACATTCACCTCACACCCTCAGGACCCAAGATATCATTTGGCAGATATAAAGCGAAAAAAAATTTCTTTCAAAAGGCCATTTCATGGGTGCTTATGGGGTTCCTGACTCTAAAATACACTTTGATAGCAGCAGATTCACAGACTCCAAGAAGGGACTAGTGGTTACCAAAGGGGAGGGGTGGGGAAGGGTGGGTGGGGAGGGAGGGAGAAGGGGATTGTGGGGTATCATGATTGGTGCACATGGTCTATGTGGGGTCACATGGAAGACAGTGTAGCACAAAGAAGATAAGTAGTGACTCTGTGGCATCTTACTATGCTGATGGACAGTGACTGCAGTGGGGTATGGGTGGGGACTCGATAATAGGGGTGAATGTAGTAACCACATTGTTTTTTTTGTGAAACCTTCATAAGAGTGTATGTCAATGATACCTTAATAAAAAATAAAAAATAAAATAAAATACAAACTAATTAAAAAAATAAAAAGTAAAATCAAATAAAATATACTTCTTATAATCTGGTGAGATGAGAAGATGGCTTAAGCAAGGATGTAAGTTAAGTAATAATTCAAGCTAACATATTATTTGTTACCACAAGAAGAATTGCTTCATGGATGATAAAAATTTAATGATTCTCAAGTCTGAGATACTTTTAAAAAATACAGGGCATCCCTCCAAGATATCTGAAGTACTGGAAATATTATGATAAAAAACCCAGGGAATGGGAGGGAGCAAAGGCAAGCAAGTGAGAATTGGGTGGCCCAGCTGGAGGGCCTGGGTGCCCAGCACAGTGTGGTGGGACTGTCCGCAGCGGTAACCGGGCAGAAGGGACCTGAGGCCAACACACTGAAAGCCTCTTAGCATCTGGTCCTGGAATATCAGCAAGGCACCCTTAAGAAGAATATGTAAAGTCATTTTAAAAGTTTGGAAGAAGGAGATAAGTAGGTCTGGTTATGTTATACTATATCTAGACAAGACTCAAGATTTAATAAGCAAATAAATTGCAGTGTAATTTCCAGAAGGTTATATGGTTAGAATGATTATATGGTTATTATTTATAGTTATAAATAGGTTATATCGTTAATATTCTGTTAATTTAGAAAACATTTTCCATTTTTCTGGCACTATACTAGACAATGGGAATACAGTTGACTCTTGAACAACCCAGGGGGTTAGGGACACCGACTCTCTATGCAGTCAAAAGTCCACATATTAACTTTTGACACCCCCAGATCTACTGACAGCCTGCTGTTGACTGGAAGCCTTACTAATAACATAAATAGTCGATCAGTACATATTTTGCATGTTATATGTATTATATACTGTATTCTTACAATAAAGTAAGCTAGAGAAAAGCAAATGCTTTTTCTTTTTGAAAAAAGAAATTGTTGCAAATCTCCAAAAAGCATTCCAATATACTTATTGAAAAAAAAAATCTGTCTGTGATGAATCCACAAATATCAAACCCATGTTGTTCAGGGGGTCAACTGTGTAACAGTGATGGAGGCTCAAAGGTCCCTGGCCTTGAGGAACTCACCTTTGGGGATCAGGGTGCAGAGTCAACAAAGAGTTAACTCCACAGTAAGGGCTCACAGAGATGGGACAAGAGCATTCCAGGGAAATTATAAAACAGTCATCAAACCAGCACACCCGGAACAGCTGTAGGTGTGAGTTGTGTGTGTGCATTTGTTTGCAGGTTTGCTTTTCAAGGCAAGGGAAACTAGGCAGGTTTGACCAAAAAAAAGGACTCAGGAGACGCAGATAATGAAGATGATCTGAATTAGATGATTTTCATTCAGTCGATCACTATTGCTGATTTGCCTGCGTAAGCAGGCTGGGGGCTGGCCACTGCTGCTTCACGGAGAAGTGCGTCCGTCCTAAGAGGAGAGCGGAGGAATTCTGGGTCAAGCTGCACTCCCCGGATGGAAAATGTGCCGGCTTCCAGTGAAGCAACTGAAAATGCCAGGGGTGGAGCATGAATTTTGGAAGCAAAGCCCTGAAGGCGGTGGAGTCAAAAGACAAGCCAGAGACCTTTGCCTAGGAAAGGAGCCAGAAACACTTGCTCAGTTTGGAAGCAACAAGAGACAAATACTGCAGTGGACAAGAGGAACCTCCTGAACAGTCAGACTCCGGGACCCTACTTTTTCCTTTACTAAGAATACTATGAGGATGGTGGTCGACTGGAAATGTAGCTAGAGGCTGAACTGTGTGAAGAATATATGGAAATTGGGGCCTACAGCATCATTTGTATAAATGAAAAATATCTTTATAATCACCATATAGCCTTATAATAACCCCTGAGGGGAAAATATTATTAACACAATGCTTAAAAGCTATTATCAAGAAATACAGGAAATGAGTGGCCTGTCCAATTTGTGGAGCAAAGGGAGGTAGACCTGGGATGCAGACCAGGTCTTACCTCCAGCCTTATGTTCTCCTAGGATAAATACCACAGTGCCATAGAAAACAGGGTGCAATCATTTGTATTCCACACATTCAGGGATAGAAACATGTACCACCACCAACTAACAACCAAACCAAATAACCAGCCGACCAGACAGACAAACACTTGTTAGGAGGGAAAGGACTTTTTCATTTCTGCACCATACCTTGCAGCCAGTAATTCGCCCAGAAACATTTCAACTTTATGGACTTCATTTTTCTTCTCAGGAATGTGCTGTTTATTCTCACCTAAGTTTTCTGTACTTAACCTCTCACCCATTTCATGGATCCATAAGTTCAGTTTTCTGTGCTGGTCCTCAAAGCTAAAGAAAAGAAAAGCACCTTAGAGAAATTCTAATGTACTCATTGTAACAACCAGTTCTAACGTCTGAGGTCACAACATCTACAGCGATTAAGGTCTCGTGAATTTTCATGGATGGAAGAAAACCCAACAATAGGCCCATTCAAATGATCACTTATTTCAGTAACAAAATGAAAAATCATGGAAACATTTCAAGAGATGCAAGCAGAAAAGGAATCGCCCTATCATGCTGAATTGATTTCCTGCTAATCACAGCTGGTAATTATTAGTAATTTACATTCCCATAAAAATGTGCAGTTAACTTTGTATCTTACTACAAAGTTGGGACAAGAGGACAAGTCCCAATGGACAAGTGGGACAGTGAAGCCCTGGGAAACGAAGGAAAAGTCATTTCTGTGTTTGTGTATCTTACAGGGATTTGAATATAGCACAAGAGCACAAAGCTCTACATTTTTAAAACAATCTAAGTTTTTAGAAAAACCTAGACAAGAGTCAGGCAAATGATTCTGCCACCAGAAAGATATTCAGATCTTACTGACATCCTCTTCCCCCAGCAATAAGTTTTTTTTTCCTTCTGATTTTGTATTCACCCCTGTTGATACAGATTCCTGATTGGAATCTTGATTCACATAAATTCAACAGGTGTTTCTGCCATGACTCCAACCCAGCAGAAGTGGACACAAGGAAAAGACTTGGCTTGGCTAAAACCTGGGTGTCAAAGCTCTAATCTAATATCATGAGTTAACCAAATAGACAAACAAAAAAACCCCACAAACAACAATAATATGCATTTATACTGTTTACAGTACTAGTGAATATAATTATTTAATTTTTCTATATGGAAAATAAAGTCAAATGAAACCATCAGAGTATGAGCAATCAATTATTATCCTGATATGAACTGTACTTCAGCCCAAAGCTTACTGTAATTTAAGCTCACAATTTCAAATACTACTTGATTATCTGCAATGGTTCTCTTCTCTAAGTCTTTGAAAACATTTCATGCATGATGAATTCCATGTTTATCAAAACAACCTACCTTCCAAGTTCTAAAGCACAATCTTGAAGAGCCTGTTTGTCTTTTAGGCATTGCTTCAGAAATGCTTGAAACTCTTCATTAGCCTTTGTAATTTGTTCCTGAATGCTACTGACAATTTGTTTAGACAGATGTGCAAACAAAGTTTGTCCTTCTTGTGTCACGGCATCAAGCTTGTTCTGCCCATCGCTGACTGAGTCCAAAATGTTCTGTTTCAGGAAATAAAGGGTAATATAAGATATCTGCATTTATTCAGAGACCCTGTTGCATGGGAACATTAATTACAATTCTGAGCTGAGACGGAGCAAGAGAAGTAAAACAGAGTCCAGAGGAAGAAAGTCTTCACCAAGACTGGAGTGAGAACAATGTACGCCACTGCGTATAATCAAAGCTCATAACGGAGGGCAGGCCCAGCCAGTCACCAGAACCACTGAGGACAAGCTGTGCACGCTGCCGAGATGTCAAGGATATTCTCAGAAAGGCCATGTTCTCAGGCTCTCCCCGTTCTCACAGTCCCGACCAGCTCAGGCTCCACTTCCTCACGCGGTTAGTGTGCTGTCCTCTCACCAGTTAGCTGCGTCCACACCTTCCCTCCTGCTCTGATCCGTCCTGCTCACCAAACCCCGACCTCAGGTCCCTTCTTTTCTGAGTACACACCTCCTGGTCGGAAGCTCATACGCGTGGGTATGGCTTCCCCAGAGCAAAAGAACCCCAGGACTGCTGAGCCAGACTCATCTTCCCCTGAGCTCTGGGCTGGCATTTGCAATTACCATGCAGAGTCTTTGTGGTGGAGTCCGACTTACCTCGAGTTTAAAAAAGAAAATTCCACATCTGAATTTGCCATGCATCCTGCAATCAGTTTCCTATATTATAATGATCTTCCTTCCCTGACTTCTAATGAGTTATTTGCATAATTATCATCACCCATTATGCCACAAAATCTTCATGTTCCTCATTAATTTTTTAAAAAGTTATTTTACAATACTTAATATAGTGTTTTACTCACATTACCTGCTCAAAAAACTTGGCCAGAACTCAGTTTGAATTGTCAATCACTTTTTAACTCTCTTTAACCAAGGCTGTGTCCTTCCTGAACTTAACACATCTTTCATAGTTAGTAAAACTGTAATTCCTATACTATCTATTGTTTTAATTTGAATATATCCTCTCTCCAAATTCAGACCATAGGTTTTAAAAAACACAAGCCATGTCTTCCTTCTTTTTAAAACTCCTCCAAACAGTGGTATAAAATAGATACAACTATTTATGCTTTTATTGCTGCAAAAATTAAAACTAGGCACAGTTTTGAATGAATTCCAAAGAATGGTCAATTGGCTAAAAGAGTGAGGAAAGGGTTTCAGAAATTTTGTAGCTCTAACTTATTTTCTTAACTTACTTTTCACATTACCTAACTCCTTATAACTCAAGAAATCTAATTCTGTTAGGGAAGAAGAAAAATTTGAAAAAACTAAGAATATTTGGGGGAAGGGATGATTTAGGTCTGACCTGAAGGCACCTGAGCACAGCTCTCCTACCTGGAGATCATGGAGCTTCGCCTCGAGAACTTTGCTGTCACCAGTTCTGTCTGATGATTCCTTTGCTGCTATCTTTATTCCAGAAAACCATTCTTGGAATTCCTGCATAGACTCTTTTGAAAGTAATGAAAATGAGTTACACGTCTGAAACACTGCTTGAGCTTATAGAATTACCACAATGAACTTTCAGCCCATTCCATCTTGCCTTACATAATATTCCAGAAACAAAATAATAATAATTTGGAATAGAATACAGCATGGTCTACAACGAGGACTGTGCATGGCAGAACTGACAGTATCTCAGAGAAAAGACTGAAATTTGTATTCCAGAAATGTCTGATTTCCCATTGCATTCCTTTTGGTATAGAAAGATAATTGCCTGAATGTGTAAGAGTGCATGGGGAGAAATTCACTTTTTAACTCTGTTTCAGGGTGTGAAAGCCATTTTTATGGCAAGGGGAGGAACCAGCTCCTTTTTCCACCAAGCTGACTTAGAGGGTCATCATGCGTCCACATCAGAGCGCAGGCACAGCTGTGTGGGAAGCAGAGTTAGGGACATAGGACCAGCCATTTCCTGATTTACATGGCTTCTCCTGATATTCAAGCTTACACAGCTTTATAGTAGTAGAAGCCACTGCCCACTCAAATAAGCAATGTGTGGAAAACCCAGATGAAGTTCAGAGTCACCAAAATGGTGGACCCCTACTTGCTTGGGGAGAAAGAGGCAGACTTCTGCTTCTGGGGAGAGCCCACCCGCAACACTTTGATTGCTCAGGTCTCAATGCACACATGAATTTAAAATGATGTTCTCCTGGGAAGTGTTTTCAAACTTTTGCTGGCAGTTTCTGGGCAGCATTTGGTGTGGGTCCTTCCCGAGAAACCAACTATTCATGCTGGGCCCGGCAGAGCTCACCATTGAAGTGTTTCTCCAGAGCATCCTGTAGGCTGGCCTGGGTTTTGGAGCGCAGCTGGCTCACCGCTTCGTGTTTCTTTATCAGCCTGGTCATCCCGCTGCCCAGGCTCTCCAGCTCGACTGAATGGTACTTGCGGCACAAGCTATTGAGATTTTCCTGGGTGGAGCTCATGCTGCTTTGCTGACTCTGAAGTTCTTTTTGTATTTCCTGTAGAATAAAAGGATGCCGTGAAGGATATTCATCACATTCAGGAGGAATACTCCGTCTACTCCCCTATGGTACCTTTTTGGAAACTGATACTGTTGGAATCCACCCGGTAATGCATACATGTTTATGGGTTTTTTTTTTTTCTTTTTGCATGTGATCTATCTGTGTTGATTCTTTCACAATTTTGCCCAGCTCTGCTTGGGAACAACTGCAAACAGCTGTTGAGAGGTAGCTAGGATTTGGGTTACAGTCTAGGATTTCAAGCAAGTTGAGTAGATTCTTTTGGATTCCAGCCTATGATCTTGGGTTTCATCTGTTATTTAGAAACTATTAATGGAGTCACCCTTCTAAGTTCACAATCTTCTATGGGCCACATGGACTTTCTTTCATAGTCACAGGCCACACAAAAAGCATCGGGGTTTAATTTAAAAATAAATGTCCTTAGTTTTAAAGCACAGTTAGAAAATGCACTAAAAGAGAACAGACACTTATGTTGAAAAGTTGGCCCAACCCACTCTTTACAGACAGCTGATCGAGGATGTCATCTCTGAATATGGACAGAAGACACAGAAGTGGAATGTTTCTTCAACTTTTTCAAAATCTTTTAAAAAATATCATCTCTAGATGAAAGCAGTCATGCTGACCAACAAAAATAATGAAGTGATGAAGACTCTGTATCACTCAAGTTTTAAAATTCATGTAATTTCAGCTCTTCTATGGGCTCCACTGGTGTACTATATATATACACGTATATCTATTAACAAGCAGAGCCTATGAGCAGGTCCTACCGCAATGCATGCTTTCTGGTTTTAGATTATTCACCTTTGATATTCTTACCAATTACAGCCATTTCTTCACCTGCTCCTTCCTTTGCTGTGTCCTGTATCATGAATTCATTGGTCTGGTGTTAATATGGGTAATTGAGTGTAGAGGTTATATTGACAATAGTCACTGAGAAACAGGAGAACGAATATTACCATTGAATGTAGATACTTAATGTTAGTTTATCACCTACCTTTACTTTTCTCAACCCTTCACAAGTCTCAGTCTGGGCACAGTTCATCAATGATCCTTCCAGTTTCACCAGCCAGGTCGTTAGGTCATTAATAAACGTCTCCACTTGTGTACTCTGAGCAGTGAAATCTTTCAAGGTTCCTTTTGCTTCTTCAGTCATTTCTTTGGCATGCTCCAGTTTCTGCCTTAAGTCTGCTTCTATAAACTAAACATAAAGTAAGATTTCATTGAACTCTGTGAAGACCAGAACATTCATTCACTAGTAATTCTGTTCACAGGCAGCTCAACTGTAAAAAAACACATACGCCTAACCACAGTGCTGACTCAACTTTTCTAAGAAGGGAAATGAGTGGGTACCAGCTGCCAAACATTGTAAGTGATGGGAGAATGGGAAGAGTTAAGGATTACAGTTAATACCAGACATTAAAGTGGAAGTTTTGACTGAGGGCATGCACAGGGAAGGCCCAAGGTCACAGTTCCAAAGCAGAGCCAGAGCGACACAGAGTTCTCAAGTTGGTGACCAAAATCCTGCCCTTAATTCTCCCTGCGAAACATTCACACATTTTTTCACTGATGCAACCGTCACTTGGGATGAACCACTTTAGGCTTTTATCATAGAGCCATTTTAATTTTATTTCCCACTTTAACATATTCAGTGAAGCTGGTCTTTCTCTCTTCCCCAGACGATCTCCTTCAGAGTGCCCTTGACTTCTCTGACTCCGCAGATAATACAAGAATCATTCATATTCATGATAAATTGTAACAACAGTTTCAATTCCACAATTAAAACATCCAGGCCCATTTAATAACCAAAACTTTGGACTTGAAGTTAATTTAATTTAAAGTTAAGGCTTTTTCTTATCCCCAACTTAGATCTGCTGGAAACAGGAAGCATGTATGCAGAAGGGGGCTAAATGCCTTTTTGTTTCTTCACTTTATTCCAAGGTACTGACTCTCTTTGGCTTCTGACCACCGAGGGTTTGGACAGAATGAGGTGGGAGCAGGGCTCTGAACTCTTCAACTGTTGTGAGCTGGCCCCTGTGCTCCTAGGCTGTGTGACCCTGCGCCTTCTCTGCTGTCACAGGCCTTTGCTGTGCAGTTTCTGAGACACCACTCACTGCTGCGACCTCCCACTGAAGTTCTCTAGATGCACATGGTGCACTTGACTCTGGCTTTTCACTTCTCCTTGTGCAGCCTCGGGCATCTCTTAGCTTCTTGCTGCAGAGGCCGGTTCCTCACCCAGAAAACCTCCTTAGATGGCCTGAGATAGCCACACACTGGTGCTGTCTTCTTTACCTTCCTCACATCATTCTGTTCTGGGCTAAAAGTCACACTCTCGCAGTCAGCCCAGGTGCCTCTGAGATGCAGGCCACTCGAAACAACCATTTCTGCTTTGACAAATACATCAGCAGAAAGCCAGCCTGTCTTTCACTCCTAAGGTCTCTCAGGGGGAGTTAGACGGAAGACTCCTGTGTCTGCCAATTGCAGACAGCTTATGTCATGCTCTCCAGAAGGTACTGCTGAAACCCTTTTCCCTATTTCGAGGTAAGGTGCAGGCACACCCCCACCTTTTCCTTGAGTCTCTACATGTATGTGTGTGTGTGCAACCGGAGTCTAAGAGGAGCTCTTTCCCAACACTCTGCCTCCACCCTCACTTTGCCAATGTCCACCCGCTGCCCTTTCTTTCTTCGGCATAGGTGACATGCATAAGCTCTCCTTTCTAGTCTTCTGTATGATGATCACCCTTTTTGCCTCTTCTTCCTTCAGGGAAAACTAACATTCTGGTCCATGTACATCACCCACCAATGATACTAACGGACAGACACTGTCTCAGGTGCAGAGAAAGTATCGCTGATGCAGCAAGATGGGCTGGTTAGTGAGAAGCAGTAATAAAGGACAATGGCACAATGGGAAGAAAGAACAAAATAGAGAGAATCCATGAGGGAAGTGACGAATCTAGAGGCTAAAGTAACACCACAGACCCTGTGGCGCTGGTGGCCCAAAGCACCTGCCCTGCTGGCGCTTGCAGGGCCTTCTCCTTGCCAGACCTGGTCCTCCCAGGCCTGCCTCATTCCTGTAGCTTTGTGCCAGCTGCAGGGTCTCCGAGGGGATGTGCAAGAGTAACCCCTCCAAACACAGTCATTGTGTAAATGAATTAGAGAAATATCAATAAGGATATCAATATCATAAGGGTGTTTTTTGTGCCTGCCTAGACATAAAACAGTCCGTGAGGCAAGCTGGGTGACACTACTTTAAAAATTTAGTAACAAAAAGAGGAACTAATCTTATAATACTTGAGTTGGAAATATGCTATTAATACTAGCACAAGATATTAATATTTTAACACCCATATATGATAAGTGGACCTTATCATAACAATGCTTGCAATCATAACAATGATAATAATAAATCCAAGTAACTGATTTTATTGTTGGTTATGATGATAAACAACGATAACAATATATATATTCATACACATATGTATATACTTAATGTATATAAACATGTAAAGTATATGTGTATATATATACTTATATACTTTTTTTTTGAGAGAGTCTAGTGTATAGCAGTTGTTACAAACTTGATTGAGTGCTTACCTGAAGGTCTGGTGGTGTTTCTGGGTTTTTAGTTAATTCTTTAAGATCATTGACTTTGGAATGAAGTTCTTCCAGTCGCAATGCTTTGATTTTAACTTCAGACTGCCAAAATAAAAGACAAAGAGGAAGAGCATGTTATATTTGGCATTAACAATTTCATGAGTTAATTCTGTCAAAAGGCCCAACTTTATGCTACAGTAAAAAAAAAATAAATTCCCTGTTTCATTATCTGAGGGCTGTCATTATTTATGAAGTGAAAAAAATGTCACTGTCAACTTTCACTTAGGGAGTATGGGGAACTTTCTGTCTTCCCACATCCTTTATTGGTAAAAAAACCTCCTGGAAAAAAATTGAACATTAGCCAAAAGCTTTGAGTCAGTGGGAATTTTCAATGGACTGTTGTTCATTCAGCAACATTAATATCACTGGCTACCATGGCAGCATTAAACGCTCAAAAAAGCATTTCAACTCAAACACACATCAGGAATGCCTAATTAATGTAGACTACATGTAAAAGATAAGACACATTTCAAATACAAATTTTAAATATTAAAATATAAATCAATTTAATTAGGAAATTCACAACTGGTATTTTGTCCTTTTTTTTCACTAACACTAACATGAAAAGAAGAACAATCAAAGAATTCTTACTGAATAAACGCTATGCTTGTAAACTTCATTAGTTATTTGGGACCACAAAGGTACATTTAATAAAGTATCCCTCTCAGCTTAAATGTGGTCTTTTGGTGTTTTGCGGACACTAACGAACCTCCTGATGCCCCAATCTGGAAAGTAATTTACTTACCCAGTGAGATGTGATGAACTGTCAGGCCCGCAGGCTTTCTCCAGAAGCAGGCTGGACAATTAAGGAATCACACCCACACACTTACACTTCATTTCCTAATTGCAGCAGCATTGACGCTGTTAGGTACTGGGCTGAATCCAGTTCACTGATTTTATTAGCTGGTGTACCACACAGGTGGCCATCTCTGTGAGTGGCTGAGCCTGGACATACTGAATATGGGGCTGCTGCCCACTGGGTCCCTGGATCCCAGAGGTCAGCATAGAAGTGCACTGTATGCTGGCTTACAAACTGGCTCTTCACAAAAAGGGCCCTAATTTGTAGCATTTACCACCATTTTGAGCTACAGCTTGATGTCACTGGGTGAGGAGTTGGAGCAGCCAGCTGCCCAGCCCCACAGCATTCCAGCATTTCCACCGTGCACACATAGTAGATGTCAGTAACTCACCAGTCTTCGTAACAGTAATATGCAGAATAATAATTAGGAAGGGATAAGTTTTGAATATCCATTACACTGATTGTTAGCATAACTTATTTTATTTATCATTTAATTTCAAAGAGGATTGTGCTTAACCCTGGTTCACAAAATTCTTCTAAATTAGGTAATCGACTTGTGAGCTGGTGCAAGCCTTGTTCTGGCACACACCACTGTCGGAGCTGGAATGTTAATTTAACATCAAAGATAACAACTAAAAGACAGCAGTGTGCTATCCCTGTCCTGGCTGTACTTTTAGTCTGTGTAATTAACTCTACTTCTGTTTGCCATTTAGAAATAAGACTGATTTTTTAAAATCTCTAGGAAGTTCTCTGGGTCAAAGATAGGCAGATAACCCAGGTATACAGTTGATTCACCTACATTTTTTCAGACTACAGTCATTCACTCATTGGTTCGCATGTTCTGTATGTGTGCCAGGCTCCGTACTGGGCCACTGAGCACACGATGGTGAACAGTGGCCACACAGAGAGTACAGTCCATCATATGCCTGTGAAACAAGTTATCTCTTGTCACTCTATTTCTCCCACCTTGCTTCATTTTTCATCATAGCCCAATTACTACTTCACATTTTACATAAATATATATTATAATGTAAATAATATCAATGCCACGATGGTAGGGACTCTGTTTTACTATTCATTGAGTCTAAAACAGTGCCTGACATATTTTAGGTGCTCATTAAGAATCTGATGAATGAATGAATGAATGAATGAATGAACACACGAAATGGAAATAAGAATCATTTAAAACAAATTGGTGACTAGAACTTTAAAAGGCCCCTTTTTGGGGGAGCCTGTGACACTCTAACATCCAGTTTTCTTCCATTTCTGGAAAGGAAGTAGAAGAACTTAGCACCTGGCATAAGTGCTCAGCACATGTTAAGTACTCAGTACTTGTTGGAATGAAGAAAAAAATAGATACTAAATTACAAACACCTTCCATTTGCTTTTGAAGAAGGAAGGTGCCATATTTTCAGACAAAACGGATACAAATACAGATTTTATGAGCTTTCACCTTTCTACTAATACTTTAGAGCCTAAGACATGACAAAAATGCGCAGAAAGTCTTATCCATTGCCTATTCAGTTTTCAAGTTAATAGTAAAAGATAGTTAAGAATTTTATAACACTCAGATGTGTCTCTGAACGAAAGACTGAACTTTAAAAAAAGGACACAGGTTTTTTTCCTCTTCTGGTCAATGAGCTCACAAGCTCACATTTGTAGACGCACTCAATCTACCTCAAATTCTTTAAGGAATTCTTCTGCCTTGACGCTGTTATTCAGGTTGCTGATGCTGTCAGCCAGCTGTGGGACAGAACTGTTTGACCATCCGTCGATCTCGTCTTTGCTTGAAAGTACATCACCCCAAATGGACAGGCTTACCCTCAGTCTATCCATGTTTTCCTCAATTCTCTCTGACACCTGGCATAGAAAACAGAAGCCATACAGTGTGAGAATTTATATCGCTCCTGGCTCCCTGAAAGTACTGAATACGTCAATGTTTCCTTAGTCAAAAGATTATCTTCTGAGTGAAAAAGTTCTACAGAATTGTTTGTAAGTTAATTAGTGTACCTGGCTCAAACAAATGTTAATTGTTACATAAATTGTTTCTGTTACTGGGAGAGGTGACTGAACTTCTGAGATACTTGATTTTCATTTGTAAATTGGGAAATTAACAACAGATCTTCTGGAGTCTCCTGTAACAACTCAGCCTAAGGTTGATTTCTACAGGATAGGCATCCCTCCAAGGGAGGAGTATTGTATTTGTTTTTGAAAATAACCCAATGAGCATTTTTATTTGTAATTAATGCTGAGCTATAAAATGGGTATTAATTAGACTTGAACATATTTATAGAATAATATGCGGGACAGCATCAACTTTGCATGTTCAAACTAAATCATTACTACTGAATACTCCTACTAAGAATGTCCTTTTAAAAGTGGAGGCAGAGAAGGTTTTCTGCAGTCCTCAAATTATCTGAGTATAGTATGCAATTTTCAATGTCTAACTTCAGTAATTTAGCTTAAGGAAGGGAACCCCCTGTAGGTTAATTTTGATTAACTTGCAGGTTAAATTTTGATAATAGTGGGAACAACAGAATCTTTGGATTTTTGAGCTAGAAGACAACATATGATATATACGGGTTGGGAATTCCAGAGAGATCAAGTGACCTGTTCTATGGTCACACAGCTGGTAAATGACAGAGCAAGAATTAAAACCCAAGGATGTAACCTACAAGTTTTTCAATGTAAAATTATGGTCTTATTACCTAATGTATTGCACATTATGCTCTCATATTCTATAGGATGTTTATCAATTATCCCTCTATTTTTAATCCATAATCGCAGAGTTTTGAGAAGAAAAACATTTAGAGTTATAAGTTTATGATTAAAGATACCAAGTGAAATGTAGAAAATCTGCCAATAAGTTTTAATAAAATAAAGCAAGCTTTTGTTTTTTTTTTTTTTTACAAATTCTAAATTTTACATGAATACTATTTGGTTTTTTTTTTTTTGAATATCATTTTGCATTTATCATTTAAAGTTAAAAAATGGAATTCACATTCCTAAAATATCAAAATGAGGAAAATGTGATTGGGAAATGTGAGTATTTAAACTTCATCTGATATAGGTTGTCATCTTACATCCAGCCATCTATCCACAGTACTCTCCATGTCTCTTTGTACCGAGATGAAATCAGTACTGTGAATCTTTTTCAGCTCACATAACAGTTGTTTTCCTTTACTCGTAAAGTTATCCAGTTCTTTCTGTTTATTACACATTTCGTTCTTGGCAGTTTCAAGCTGTGGACATAAATGTTTCCTTAATTAATATAATAATCAGTGATAAGTCAAGAGTTTAAAACCATTTGTCTCTAAGAAATTTAATTCATGGTGACCTTATGCAGAAACCAGTAATGTTAATGAACTGTATGAATATATTTATATTTGTAATTTTCTTGAATTGCTAGAATCTTAGTATTCCCCCAAAAAAACTTGAGCTTGTCACCATGAATTATCTATCATCTATTTATCTATCATGTATCTATCTATCTATCTATCTATCTATCTATCTATCTATCTATCCATCCATCTATCTATTTATCATCTATCTATCTATCTATCTATCTATCTATCTATCTATCTATCTATCTATCTATCCATCTATCTATATGTGGTGACAGGAATTATACAGAGAATTCATTGTGAGTAAAAATCAGATCTACTAAAGTCATCTATTATAATAAATACATTTTGAATTATTACCTTGGATAGAGCCCATTTAAGATCTTCCTGATCTTTTATAGTGGTTCTGGGTATAATCACATTGTTGGCCTTTTCTAGGACTTTAGATACAACTGACTTCAAGTTCTGATATTCTCGCACCAAGTCAATAAGTCCACAGCATTGACCCTGGCTGTAATGATTAAAGAAAATAATCATTTATAATCATGATTGGGAAAGGGCAGGGTTCTTTATCATTTGACCTGATATATAACTACGTAAGTTTATTCATAGATGGATGCTGGAATCAAGAGAAAACCTCATTTCTATCCGCTGAGGTCAAAAGAATGATAGAAAGTTTGATTTAACTTTAACATCTAAATTTTTCTCCATGAATAAAGAGTGTACACAAAATTAAACAAAATCTGAGAACCATTAAAACAAAATCTGAGAACTGAATGACAAGCAAAGATGTAATGTCTGTTCTTGTAACTAAAACTTACACATATCATCAAATTAAAAAAATTTTTCTGTCTAGAATTTATTTCATAAAGGTGTGTGTTGATGGGAAGCAAAAAAACCCAAAAAAACCTGAAAACAAAAGCAAAGAAACATAAAACATTGTTTAATAATTAAAATACATATGAGGTTTTCTTTCCCATTTTACTGATAAAATTTCATTGACTATGAATCCCCTGAATATTGTCAAAAGAAGACAGTTTTAGTTTATAAGAGTAAAATGCCTTTGAGCAAGCAATTCTACATGTAGGAATTTTTCCAAAGAATGAGATGTGCATTAAGATTTAGGGAAAATGATATTCTTCACACCATTGTTTATAATAGGAGAAAAATAAGAAATAACCCAAATGTTAAAAATAGGATGATAACCTATTTTTAGGTTACTGAATAAATTTTTAGATTATTGAATAAATTCTGATACATTCTTGTAGTTGAATACTGTGTAAATTCTAACATATCACAATTTAGAAGAATGTTTAGTAACATGGAATAGTTTGCATAACATGGTTAAATTTTTTTTAAAGCCTATGTTAATAGCCTACAGTATACAATAAAAAAATGTATGTACACACACACAAAAAATTGAATATAAATGTTTACAGCTGCTTTCTTTATAGTGGTCCAAACTGGAAAGAACCCATTAAATATCCATCAGTTGGTAAATTGGTAAACTGGGTACACCTATTAAATAGAATATTTTTCAGGAATAAAAAAATGAATGGGCTTTACTGATACACATAACAGTGTGTATTGTGCTAAAAGAAGGTATTTACCCAAATGTATTAAAAATTCACATATGCACAAAAAATGGTTCTAGATGCTTTATTTATAATCATCCAAACTGGAAAGACTCTGCTTATATGTGATTCTGAGAAAGATAATGTAGAGACAGAAAGCTGATGAATGGTTGCCAGGGACCTGGGTGAGAAGAGGGACCTCCTACAATGAGATGAGGTCAATTTTTTGAGGGTGGGGTGGAACTATAAGTGTGAAATTTGATAGTTGTGACAATTACACAACTGTATGAGTTTGTTGAACATCATGACTTTATTAAACTTCAAAGGGTGAATTTTATTGCATGCCAACAATACCTCAATTATAAACAAGTACAACAAAATGAGAAAAGAAAATTAGAGGTTAAGACTCTCATGGTAGCAGTTTGTTGCAATTCCTGCTTTTAAGCATCAAATTTCACACAAGATTGTTATCTCGGGACAACTTCCTCAAGAAACTTCTGTAGGACTAAACTTGTAATGTTATTCACCAGGCAGAATACCTCACATGGTTCCCATTCTTGATCACCACAACGCAAATCAACAGACAATGGGCCAGTGTCACAAAATAGGTGGAAAGTTAAAAAACAAAAACTGAGAAAAAGGTTTTACTTACTTTTCATGAATTAGTTTTTTGGTATCCTCCCAGGAAACCTCCAAGAGGTTTAGCTCCCGGTCGACTTCAGGTGCGAAGGCTACATCTTTCTGAGCAATTTGTTTCGCTTTGTCTTTCAACCAACATAGTTCATGCTCATGAGAATTCAATTCATCTTCTAACTGATTAAAGACTCTCAACCTATGAATGAGAATGTTATTTTACTATTAACTTACCAAAGGTAACAGACTACTATTTCATCTCCATAAAGCACACATACAGCCAGAAAGACTTTTACCACAGTGACTAAGTATGTATTTGACATGAAAGTATAAAAACTATGCAGAATTCAGACTGTACCTCAAAAAACATATAGTTATTTTCAGTAGTCACCTTCAAACTTGTATCAAGTCTGTATTCTCTTTCAATTTTGCTTTGATGGTACAATATTTTTAATACTCGTGCTGACCTTGAAAATAAAGCAGGTAAGTGCTTATTACAAGGTCTTCGTTAAGAAATCTTTCTGTGCCATGAAGTCCAATGCATGGAAAATAATAGTATTTAAGGACCACAGCTGTTTCATTCAAAATAAAAATAGCTTTACTAAGCTCTACAATAAATATGTTTTAGAAACTTAGATTACCTACTTTTTTGAAAAGTTTACAATGAGAAAATGATCATGGTTTTTTGTCCCTAATATATCAATATTCATTCTTATTACAAGATAAGACCCTTCTATCAATTACAAATTGCTGAAAAATAGATAATGTGACCTATTAATTCTATTATAAATAGGATTTCAGAGTGGCTTATATGCAGCCCTTAGGAAAATCCTTAAGGAAACCAACAAAATTCTTGTACTAAGTGTCAAATTAGTCATTCATTTTATCCTCAAACTATTTTTAAAAGGAAGTTGCTAAAAGGGATTCTATTAGAGTTTTGCATAAGAGTGAATTCCACAAATACAAAATAAATGAGATGAGTGGCTTCCACCCAGTTTCCTTCTACCTCTGTTGAAGAGCTTGGCGGGTAGCTTCCGACAGGCGCTCTTTGTCAGCCCTTTCTTCAATGTCCTCAATGTTTTTCAGCAACTCCTCTTTCTGATCTTGGAATGCTTTTTTCAATACTGCCAGGGCATCAGCCTCACTCTGCTTGGTTCCCAGAAGGTTCTGGATCCGCTCTACTTCGAAACAGAGATCATCTGCTGTAGTTCTGCAGGAAATCCTTTGCTCAGAGCTTCCACTTTTAAGATGGTATTGGGCTTTGGTAAGAATGCCATCAAGGGTGATGGCAGTCGATTCTAATGTTTTAACCTCTTGAATAGCTTCATTCAGGTCTTTTTCTAATAAATCAGACAGCTTCTTATTCATACTGCTGGTTGCTTCCACGGTTTGCCTCAGCTGCTGGAGAACCCCGGACAGAGACGCATGGCTCTGCAGGAATTCAGCCAGCTGGACCAGGGCAAGCTGCCGCCTCTCCACGACTCGGCTGGCCTCCTCAAACAGCTGGAGGCAGTCCTCTGCCTTGCCCTGGAGAAGGTGGAGGTCCTCAGCTCGACCCAGAGCACCCAGCTTTGCTAGGTGATCCTGTAGACTCTGCCATTCTCCCTTTTTGCTCTCTACTTCTGCTGCGTGGTCCTGGAAGGGAAGAGAGAGTTACTGATTCCTCAGATACACTCTGGCTTGAAACACAAGCATACGCAGGATTTGTGATATCAAGACACATTTTAAATGCAATGGATGATGTAGTATTTAAAGGTCATCTATGACAAACCTTTTAGAAATCTTCTAAAAATTTCCCCTGTTTTGCTCATCTATACATTTCACATAAAACACAACTCTGATTTGGAACTAATTTGTTTGATGGAAAAGAATTTCTTCACGGATAGAAAAAGTTAAAAGAAATTATACATATATGCATATATGTATATAATGTAGATTAAAAATACGTGTGTATATATATATAGAGAGAGAGAGTCAAAAGTTATAGCTACATATATAGCTAAAAGAAATTGAAAATTGGGAAGATTTAAAATATATATATATTACATATAATATATATAATATGAGCAAATCTAACAGAGCTTGCAGGGAAGGAGTGTCAGAATAGATGGGCAGCAGACTCTCTTCAGAGCAGTGAGGAAGGCAGATGAAAATGTGCCCAAGTTTTGTCTTCTCTCTAAAGAAATGTAGTTTAAAGAGAAATCACCTTTCTTGATCTTGACCACATGGCTTTAATATTCCCCTCAGCTTGACTCCTAAACTTTAGAGGGTTTCTTTGAGCATTTACTTGAGAAAAATTATACATTCATTCTCTGCCCCTTTTGAGAAATAAATCTTTTCAAGATCTTGCAGATGGTTTTATGATCCAAGGATCTGGGAGTCATCCTTGAGAAAGGTAATCATCTAGAAAGTAGCTCCCAGTTGACTGTTCTATGCTGCAAAACTACCTGAGGTCACAGAGACAGGAGAAGGAACCTTCCCTTTGGGTAAGACCAATTAGAGTGCTCAATAACTATGAAATGTTTTATCATTAAATATTGTTATAAGCTCACTACGTAGCTTATCTCCAGTTATCCCAACACTCAATCAATATCTGATGTTTTTTCTGATGTCAGGATAGATAGAATGCATAATTTATAAAGAAGGAAGATAAATCATGAATCTTAAATAACTTGCAAGCCAAACAATAATAGAAAAGCTCTATCATTAAAGCATTAGAATTCAGTATTCATTTTCAGCATTGGAACAAAACAAATTGGGAAGCTTAAAAATGAATATTCTCATAGTTCACCCTAGAAATTTGCTCTCCTTTGAAGAATCAGTGGCTTAAGGTGGTTGCCTCTTTTATCTGAAGTGTTTTTGTCTGCTTCATTTATCTGCATGACACATTGCCTGGACCTATATGCTCAATTATTAGGATTTTACATATGACTATACAGTTAAATTGCTGTCAAATGTTTGTTTTAATGTTTCATTGCCTTATAATTCAAGGGCTCTCTTAGGAATAAACTCTTCTGTGACCCTAAAAGGATGCACTTTACCTTGTGGCGAGTAAATGCTGCTTGGTGGTCCATTATGCTTATCTCAGAAGTTGTTTGTAATTCACTGAGAAACAACTTAATCCAGACAGAAAAGGAAAGCAGCAGTTCATCAAATTGTTGGTGTTCAGTGACCACAGACTGAAGAAAATTAATCCTATGAAGAGAAAGTTGCTAAAGTTAAAATATCCCACAAATGAGTAGAAAGAGTTAGTGATATGTTTTTGGAGTAAGTTTAACACAGGGCAAAAGGGATCCTGTCATACATGGACAAACCAAATTCTTGATGTTTCATAGTTCAAACCCCACTTCTGTCACAATCCTCCCCATCTCAGCTAACATCACCACCATCTACCCAGATGGTCGCAAGAGTCATTCTGCTTCCCGCCATTTCTTTACCACCACATCTGCTCTATGCACATCCTGTCATGTCCCCACAGTATATTCTGTGCTCCTTTCCCATCTCCACAACCTCTTCTCTGGTCTAGAATATCTTCATCTCTTGACTGGTCTTCAATAGCTTCCTAAAATGGTCTCTTTCTGCCACTACTGTCTCCTACAACTTACTCTCTAGGTAACAGCCAGAAATGACTTTAATGTAATCAGATCATTCTCTGCCAAGCTTAAGCATCCAGGGGCAATTTCCTGTTGTACCTAAGACACAACTCTAAAATGCGTGGTCTACAAGGGATCCACATAACCAACCCGTGTGACCTCATCTGTCACAGCGCTGCCCCATGCTGCCAACTGACTGTTTCCCCAATACCCCTGCTCATTATTGCCTTAGAGCGTTTGCCCTTTCTGGTCCTTCTGTTAGCAACGTTGGGAAGAAAAATAGATTTGAGCAGCCGGAAAAGGGGAAGACATGGCTCAAAGAAGAAGCCACCCATATGAGGTTCAAAGAAAAAGCCACCCAATCTCTGTCCAGGTAGGGGGTCCCATATGAGGACAACAAAGGCTTTGTAGGGAGATACCTTCCTCCCCAACCAGATCCCAAGAGAGGGCACAATAGGACAGAACTAAGGCCTCCCAAATCACACCTCAGGATGGGGAAAGGACACGTGCACAGAGGCACGGCTATATGGAAGGACCGGTCAATCAAATAACCCCACCCTGTCAGTCAAAGATGCCACTCCTAACCAGAATGCAACATATAAGCCTCCTGCCTAACAGATGGAGGCCCTCATCTACCTTGACTCTGGCCTGCTCCTCCCTTGGAGTGCATTCAAATAAAACTTTTTCTCTGCTTTGCTATTGTGTCTCTGCCTTTCAGTTCTTTGCTGCAGCCGGGATGAGGACCAAGAGAATGAACTCAGCCCATAACACTTCTGTCTGCTTTGCCCTCAAAGCGCGGAGGTGGCCTTCTGCACAGCATTCAGATCTTAACCAGATATCATGTCCCCTGAGAAGCTCTGCCAGACCACCCAGTCTGAAGATGCACTCTATTGTCCCTGTCATGCTACCCTCAGTTGTTGTCTTCTCATTACTTACCACCACCTAAAACAGTCTTGTTGATTCATTTGTTTGATTATATCTTTATCCTCCCTTTGCTCAGTGAGAGACAGGACTTCACCTGCCTTCCTTACTGTCACATCCCTGGCACCAGAAAGGAACTTGAGATATGGTCAGGGATCAATCACTGCTTGGGTAATAAATCAAATTAAAATGATCAATAATAGGTGATCTAAGGTCAGAATCCAAAACTCACATTCAGAATATCTTAACCAAATATTAATATTCATTGCAATGGTATATATACAAAACTTAACTTTTTAAATGGACTTTCACAGTTTAATTCTTACAAAATTTCTGCATACTATCTTTACATGCATAAATTATATTTTGAATGCTTTCACACATTTGTGTTATTTTAAAAACCCTTTACTCTCCCCGTATAAGAGAGGCAGATGGCAAATTCTTCCCTCTTTTACAGAAATTACTCATTTTTCAAGAGTTGGGACTAAATCCTTCTGCCGGCCCTTCCTGAACCCATTCAAATGTCCCTTCTTTTTGTTCCCATAATATTCTGTGCTTACCTCTCTCCCATGCTGATCTGTAAAAACTTGGGGACAAGTTTGATTTATCTGTATGGCTCTAGTATCTGATATGGTGCCTGGTACTCAGCAGGTACCCCATGAATATTTGTCCATTGATTGAATAAATGAGTGAATAAACAATGTAACAAAAAAAGCTCCATTAAAGTAAAGAGGGGAAACGTTTTGTCACCATCCCCAGCACATAGAAGGGTGTTCTTCTCATTGTACCAATTCAATAAATATTTGCTGACTGAATGAATTAAAGAAGTAACTGGACAGATTAAGTGCTTTAATCAAGACTACATGGGCAACCAATACCAATTCAAGGCAAAAGTTTGTTTTCTGGCATATTAGAAAGTTATAGAGGCCAATTGTTAATCATCTGGTCAGTTAATATGTAATCCATTTTTGCCTTTATTTAATATGATCATAATTTTCCTTACTATCTATGAAGATCTATATTAGAATGAAATGGAATACATAATATGGTATAATACATCTATAGTAATTATATATGTCATTGCCTCTGTTGAGAAATATGTGAGGCAAAATTTTAATTACCATTTTTTCTCCTGAACATGAATATTTTGGGCAATAAATAGTACAAACATGAGCAACCCTACTCTTTTCAATGTATTTCAAGTACTTTGACCATTGCTCTGATTCTAAGACTAAAATTTTGAATTGCAGTTCATCAGAAATGCTAATTATTGAGCACTTTGATATTTTAAATGACAAATAGAGTAGTTTTCTTCCCTTCTGTAATTATTGCCTGATTATCTGGGTTAAATAAAAATAAGCAACACTCTGCTTTCTTAATTTACATACCATTTTAAAAAGTGAATATAATAATTTTTTTTTTTGAAAAACTAACCTTTTGCTAATTATCTGTGGCAAATCTCTCCATCTCTCATCCAACTGCTCCAAATGTAGTCTCATCATTTTCACATCATCTTTGGAGGCCACTGAGAATAGTGATTCCTTTAATTGCAAAAGGTTGCTATAGACTGAGGCCTGGGAGACAACTTCATTTTGCAGTGCCTGAGAAAAACAGACTACATTACAGATATCATCCCAATGTGATTGACAAGGAAGGCCCAGTGGACAAAGGCTTTTTGTACAAAGGCTTTGCATTCTTGCAAAACAGAGGTCACTGGGGCCAGGCTAAAGAGAGTTTTTATTGCTTGATTTAGAAATTGATCCACTTAACATTTAATACAATATTAAAAATGCTACTGAGTTATGTTAAGTTAGGCAAACTTAGAAGCTGTAGAATTTCTTTCAGGAAAAAGAAACTGAGGAAGTCAAAAGAATCAGAGAAAAAGTATTGCTCAAGAATAACGATGCATATTTAACAACAGAGATGCAATTCTGGGTACTGGGAACACTGTCTTCCTCTCCTTTTAGAGACTGCATTAGGCCAAACCGGGAAACTAAGGGCTCTTCATTTTACTTTCATGCAACAGAACAACTTACTTTTAATTAGGCTATGAATCTCTTAGGTACTATAAGTGGTGCATTAAAATTCTGGTTTCTGTCTAATAAGACAGAAGATACAAACACTTATGTAGTCAACAACATAACATGGTGTTAAATGAGATGGCACATAGTAGATGCTTGTCAAAATGTTTTCTTTCCCCCTCCCTAGTGAAGCCAGCCACGTGTGTGCTACAGCACAGTTGCTAATGGTTATCAGGAGTACATAGCCTATGGGTAACAGGAAAGACCGCAAAGCAGAGTTGGGACCTAGGCTGAGTAGAACAAAGGGCACGAAGCCAGGAGGTAGAAATGTACAAAAGATGTTCAGATCACAGAGGAGAGGCAGCTTGGCTGACCCAGTGTCTGAGTGGGGGACTAACAGAGTGTGCAGCCCCCTTTCAGTCCCCTACCTCGGATAACACTTTTTCCCCCCATACTGAGACACAGAGGAATATAGTTTCATATGGCCAGATATCTTCATGTCATTTTTAAGGAAAGTTGTTGGTTGTCCTCTTAGAACACCTCACAATGTGTTTAATAGAAAGACAGGTACCAGACTGAGGATTGTTCTTGATGCTCAGGGGAAGAAATAGTCCCTGAAGGCTTCTGGGCAGGGATTTTGTGGGAGATTAATGCAGAGCGTCAGTGCTTAATATCCTAGAAAGGCAGGAGAACGAACAGCATGGAAAGCCCTCAAAGAAGCATTTTTATAAAAGGTGATGGGAGAAAGTTGGGGTATAAATCTGTAATACGATAAATCCCTTTTGATTTTAATTTGCCTGTGGAACTTTCTGGCACAGACAATCATGTAAAGCAAGTTATTCACCTACACAAATCAGTAATGCTGTTGTTTCAATAACACCTAAAGATTTTTATTAAGTTTAAAAAGTTGGTTTCTTCAAGGATGTAATAACTAACATTGTTTATTATTTGCATTTGTGCTTATTCATTTTTTTCTGTGCAATAATCATCCCTGAGAGTTCTTCAATATTGCATTCCTTCTTTCTTAAAAAAGAAACTTTTTATTACCAAATTCATACAAATACATAAACAGGAAGAAGCCACCTTTTACCCAGTTAACCAATTGCCACCTTGTTTCATTATATTTCTACTCATTCCTCCCTCAACCCCCCTGCCAGATAATTTGTATTCAAGTGGCAGACATTATGTTACCGGATTTTCATTAGATCATCACAAAGTTCTCCCCTACTTGCCTTCCAGATCCTTTTGGGCTCACAAAACCAAAGCAAGAAGTTAAGCTGGAGACAGGGTTTCGTTCCAGTTTTTGTTTTTACAGTGTAACTACAACGAACATCATTTCATTTCCTCACCCTCCCTCGGACTTGCCTGTATTAACTGAAGTTCACTCTCCACTTTGACTCTGTCTGCAGAAATGTCTGTTTCTGGGGAACCGGCTATAGCTTCACACCGCTCTAACCAGGTCAAAAAGGTTGACAGTTCCTTCTCTAGCCTAAAGAAAGCAGAGGTGAGAAACAAATCCATCCAACGTCATCCTGCTAGACGCTGTATCTCATTTCAAGAAGTGAAGGTAAAAAAAAAAAAAAAAAAAAGCCACCCCCTTCACGTCAGCAAGTGTCCTGGCACCACAGGTTTCAAGAGCCCCTCGTAAATGGGAAATTCCGGCCCAACTGTTCGAGTGATGAGAAACTATCATCCCAGATGTGCAACACATCAATTTATGTGCCCACTGAAAGGAAGGTGCTCACCTCTGCCAGTGAGCCAGCAGGGTCTCCAGCGCAGCCTGCCTCTCCTTGGCCCGGAGCAGCGCCCCCCGGTATCTGTGCTGCAGGGCGGTGGCCTCCTGGACGGTGGAGCCCGTGGGAGCGCGGACCTTCCGGGCGCCGGCCGAGAGGGCGCCCACCGCGCTGCTCAGCGACTCCACGGCCTGGCGGAGATCCTACCGCGCGTGCAGGGGGCAGGGGAGGCGCCACGTCAGGAAAGGAGACCCACGTTTCTGAGACCCCTAATAACCAGTTTTTCCCTCCATTATAGTAAACAGCAATAAAAAAGGTCTCTGCCTACGGTTTTCAGCAAGACCTAGTGAACGGGAGGAGGAAGTTCCTGCACTTCACGAATGCCGAAGTCAAGCATGAGAATGGAGAGAACATCTGTCTTGCTGTATATCTGGATAATTTCAACTTCTCCTTAACAATTCAGATAATTTGTGAAAACTATTATTCATTTGATGTCCAAATATGTGAGTATTTAAAAAAAACCTCTGTTCCTTATGCACAAATGTTGTATGTACCATGTAATAATCTCTATAAAAAGTGTATGGAATCAATGAATTTGGGAGCCTCCGAATGTGGCAGGTACTGTGACATACATTACATCTAGTAACACATTTCATCTTCCTAAGAACCTTAAGAGTTTTGTTCTTATATTATCCCTGTTTTACAGATCAGAAAATTAAGACAGAAAATTACTCGCTTTAAGAAATCTAAATATTAGAAAAAAAATAGAGTATTATCCTCTCTGGCACTCGATTATTAACTCAGTTGCCCATTAAAATAATTCCATAATATTCAATTTTCCTAAATTTGGGGATTTAAAAAAAATGACATAAGTAACACAAAATGCCTTCTAATTATAAGTATTCAAATGCTATTCTATTCTGTTCCCCTTTCTAGATGTGGCCTTGTCTTACTTTCTATCACCATAACCTCTTCCTCCACACTTACATATATTTGTGCACAAATGCATATGTAACAGGGAGAATATATATATTTTAATTAACATGTGTTTCTTCTCAGTATTTCTTTGTACCTGCTTCTCCCCCTTTACTCCTTCTCCTAAATACTGCCAGAGGCATCTGTCTTTTGCTTTATGAAACATCCCACAATGGTCACCAGTTCAGGGACCAGACCAAATAAAGCTAGTCATTGGAAAAGGGTTAGTGAGTCATGGGAAAAAAGTCAGTGGAAAAAGAGTATTGTAAATCTGAATACAGGGGTATAAATTAGAAATCTATGCACATTTATTTTTCTACACACATAATTTTTTTATAATGCTGGCAATGGGTAATATAGTTTATTACAGTATAATCTGAAAAAGTTACATGTTCTAATTACGGGAGAGAAATATTTTCTAAAAGAATACTTCTTTAATACACATGCTTCATGAAAATATATGTGCATACTTACATTTCTTGTGTTGTATGAAATGAAATATGTTTGATTTATCTTTCCTCAACTATCATAAAAATCTTTTCAATTTAACTCTCATAAAAATATTTACTATCTTTTCTTTCCAAGTAGGAATTATCAAATTCTTGAGTTGATAAATAAGCAGAAATGTTGAAGCATACTCTTACCATATGTTCCTGGAGAACTCTGTATGTTTCTGTAGCTGAAGAACATATTTTAATTGGATCAGCAAGTCTTTCTTCAAACTCAGACACAGACTGTTGGATCTAAAGCATTGGTGAAATATAAAAATAATAGTTGGAAAAATATAAATCAAGGCAGGAAAGGTTATTGGCAAAGTAACACGCCTTTCTTGAATAACTTTCAATATGATTTGATAAAATACATTCTTTGAAAAACCTAAAATCAATGTATCCCATTATTTGAAAGGAATGTAATTAAGCCTTTATGCCTATCTGCACACAGTATACTGATATTCCTATATTAACTCAGAAAAGGTACCCTATAAAAAAGTATAAATTTAGTCACCATTGACAACTTCATAAATGATTGGCAAATAGTGTCTTTTCTTTATTCCACTATTTCTGTAGTATTTGTTGCATTTTGCTGTACATGCAAGGTGAAACAGGTCACTTTAGCATAAATAACCAGTCCTTACCTTGCTAAGATTATCTTCAAACTTCTGCTGCTGAGATAAATGTGCCAGGATTGTCCCTTCCAGACTTTGTGCATGCTCTCGGAGTTCTTCCCAGTATCTTCTCACTTGTGTCAGCTTGGCTTTGATTCGGGCAGATTCTCCAGTGGTAATAAATTGAGCAAAAGACTGAGCTGCTTCTTCTAGTCCCATGATGTCACTGATCTTATTTTCTATTTCCTGAATTGTGACCTAAAATTTAAAACAAGAAAAATGACAATGTAGGGTGAGCAAGCTTGCCTTCCTGAAATGATATAATTATCCGCAGAGAGAGAAATTTAGTAGAATTTTCCTTAACTGACATTTCAACATACTTGGACCATTAGAGAGCAGCTATGAAAAAGGACCACGTGTTTCCTGACCTCATTTGGGGAGGACAGATAGACAATGTCTTAAAAATATAAACTGATAGAGCCATGCTTGCTGAATGGAGAATAAAGAGAACCAGCTACTCCTGCTTGCAGTGAGGTAAGCAGGAGGTGTCCCTGGAATTCTCTGAAGGTACAGAGAATTGCCTGCCTACCCGATGAGTCATGCATTTTAACTCACTGATTTGGGAAGGAGTGTGTTCCGGTAACTTACAGGAATGTTAATATAGACGTCCATTAAATTTTCTTAAAATGTAGTTGAATACTTCATATTTTACCAAACTAACAGCTTTTCTGATTCCATTCCTGTCTAAGCCAAAAATGTGTCATACAAGCTTTAGGCAAGTGATTTCCAAATTTGGAGTATTTAGGATTGCCTGGATCCCATCCTCAGCAGCTCAGCCTTAGTAGTAGGTCTCAGCTGGGGGCCAGGACTTTGAATTTCTAACAGTCTCCTAGGTGATGTTACTATTGTGGGTCTACTACTCTGTGAACCATTGCTTTTATTCAATAGCTGTGGACTCCACAGTAGACAGCCTACATGCTATAATTTCCATTTGGAGCAGGAGGACATTCTATATACTAGCTAACCCATGAAAAGTACCAAAAGCCACTAAGGATGTGTGTGTTGGGGGAGGTGTGTCTGTCATAAATTTAACTATAAGAGAATGAAAATTATTTCTCCCAGAAAATGAGCCAAATCATCAAATTAAAAAAGCAAAATATCCAGATATGTCTCAGTTTCAAATAATTTAAATGGAAAATGCTGTTACCCTAGACAAAAATTAATGTGTGACTTCCATCTACATGAGACAACTTATTAAGAAATAACTCCTGTCTAGATGAGACAAAAAGAAATAACTTACATCAGATTAATGCCAGGTATATATAACTTATTTATTTTTATTTTTATTTCTCATATGTATGACTACAGTAGTATGCCAGATAGTATTTATTTTTTGACCATTAATACAATCTTTCTGCATCTTGCTGTTTCAGATATTTTTTAGGAAAATTACTCATAAATTCAACAAATATATACTGAGAGTATCTTACATGCTAATAATTGTTTTAGGTGCTTGAAACACTTTAGTGAAACAATCTTAGTTAAAATCAAATTTCTTAGTCTTTAGTGTAATACAGGAGAATAACAAATTCATAAATGCAAAACATATAATCATCTTGCTGGATTGTAACAAAAATTTTCTTATCCAAAAAGGAAGATGAATCCAGGATATGGCCTTATCAATTGTAAATTGTCATTTAGGAGTAAGAAATCAATTTGGATTAGCATGTAATGAAGAACAAAAAATAGGCTTATCGATAAATATCTTCACAATGAAAAAGCTTCATTAAGTTGAATCCTAAGGTTGTTGTAAAGTGAAAACATGACAAGTGTTACTACATTTTTAGTATTTTCTCTAATGTAGTCTGTTTGGAAGTACAGCATGAACCTATCAGCCCAAATTCCAAGTACAGTGTATTCCACTTTCTCTTTGTTTATTTTCAGTAAATATGTTTTTCCTGCTATTCATATTTACCTGATGCATTTTAGATCGTTTTCAAAATGCCATATTGGGATATTAAGATATGTTTCTAGTCTGATGGCATGGAAGCCCATCATTAAGCATTTATATTTGAAAATAAAATATGTAATCATTTTGTTTCCTGAAGAGTAACAGTGAAACCATTGCTTTTATTCAATAGCTGTGGACTCCACAGTAGACAGCCTACATGCTATAATTTCCATTTGGAGCAGGAGGACATTCTATATACTAGCTAACCCATGAAAAGTACCAAAAGCCACTAAGGATGTGTGTGTTGGGGGAGGTGTGTCTGTCATAAATTTAACTATAAGAGAATGAAAATTATTTCTCCCAGAAAATGAGCCAAATCATCCAATTAAAAAAGCAAAATATCCAGATATGTCTCAGTTTCAAATAATTTAAATGGAAAATGCTGTTACCCTAGACAAAAATTAATGTGTGACTTCCATCTACATGAGACAACTTATTAAGAAATAACTCCTGTCTAGATGAGACAAAAAGAAATAACTTACATCAGATTAATGCCAGGTATATATAACTTATTTATTTTTATTTTTATTTCTCATATGTATGACTACAGTAGTATGCCAGATAGTATTTATTTTTTGACCATTAATACAATCTTTCTGCATCTTGCTGTTTCAGATATTTTTTAGGAAAATTACTCATAAATTCAACAAATATATACTGAGAGTATCTTACATGCTAATAATTGTTTTAGGTGCTTGAAACACTTTAGTGAAACAATCTTAGTTAAAATCAAATTTCTTAGTCTTTAGTGTAATACAGGAGAATAACAAATTCATAAATGCAAATCATATAATCATCTTGCTGGATTGTAACAAAAATTTTCTTATCCAAAAAGGAAGATGAATCCAGGATATGGCCTTATCAATTGTAAATTGTCATTTAGGAGTAAGAAATCAATTTGGATTAGCATGTAATGAAGAACAAAAAATAGGCTTATCGATAAATATCTTCACAATGAAAAAGCTTCATTAAGTTGAATCCTAAGGTTGTTGTAAAGTGAAAACATGACAAGTGTTACTACATTTTTAGTATTTTCTCTAATGTAGTCTGTTTGGAAGTACAGCATGAACCTATCAGCCCAAATTCCAAGTACAGTGTATTCCACTTTCTCTTTGTTTATTTTCAGTAAATATGTTTTTCCTGCTATTCATATTTACCTGATGCATTTTAGATCGTTTTCAAAATGCCATATTGGGATATTAAGATATGTTTCTAGTCTGATGGCATGGAAGCCCATCATTAAGCATTTATATTTGAAAATAAAATATGTAATCATTTTGTTTCCTGAAGAGTAACAGTGACATAACATTTGATTTTTTAATATATTTCAGAACACCTGGAACTAAGATTTAAATAGCAGTAAAATGAGTCATAGAAAGGATAAACAAGTTAAAAAGTGTATGTTAAAAATTTATGAAAGGAAATTTTTGAGACAAAACTAAGTGTGCTATTCTTAGAATTTCATGAAAATGATCAAATGACAATTAAAAAAAGTTTTAAAGATTAAATATTTTTCATGAAAATTCTTAAATGGGTTGGCATCTATTTTGCCTCATATACAATGCAAGACAAAAGCAGACTGTGTAACCCAGGTTCCATTATCCTGGGTGGCAAAAGATGTGTGGTAAGTCAGGACAACCTGCACAGCATGTACTTTTAGCTGTGCAACATTGCACTCTTCCCTCGTACATGTGGTGATGGCTTTTCTGAGTCATAATGAGAAACGTTCCCTCAACTTGGCATTTATTTTACTATATTTAATAAAATGAAATGGCAGAGGGTTTTCCAGTTCCAAAAAAAAATGAGCTGAGAGAAAAGGAAGTGGCTGAATTTTGAAAATATGTTGTGTAAAAACTGTATGAAAAAAAGAGAAATGAACACTGAGAGTTCATTTCTTTCAGCCAATTTTTTAAAACTATTTGAACGAAGTGGTCAATGATAGTCTATGAAAATGGTTATTTTAGAGCTGGGATAGCTGAAGGATCAGAACATTTCAGTCCCATGTCCCCAAGGTCATTACAAATGAAAGCATGAGAGTAACAGCACCTGATTGTTCCACAGAAAGTAATTTCTCCTCCTTGTGGTTTGTGAGGACAAATACCACTAATGCTTGAGCTAGATTTCTGGAATAATTCTTACAAAGTATAGCTGTAGATAAATACATTTCATGTTGTATAAAGGAATCAACAGAGCACTCCAATGACGTTAAGTCAAAATCAGGGAAAAAGAGTAATGTAACCATAAAAATATTTTAATGACATTCCACACAATATTGATTTTGAATGCATAAGTCAGACAACATTAACACTTAATTCCATCTATAAAGTGTTGTAAGACCTCTTAGCTCAGCATTTTGCGTGAATTTAATTTTAATAGAGTCACATAGCAATGAAAGATTTGTCCTTGGGCCAAACAGCATTTGATAAAATGTCAGAAAGGAGTTCTTAAAAGCTAGACAGGGATTATAAATATAACATGTGAGCAGGTCACCTTAATTTGGTTGATTTGCGTGTCCATGGCAGATGATGAAGTTTCCAGGGCATTGAGTTCTTTTTCTTTCTCAGTTATCCAGATGGACAGGGTCTCAAAATTATTGCCAAAATGATCCCACTTGTTTTTCACCATTTCCATGGTTTTAATACTAAAATTAAGTAAATAAAATGCAGTATTTTCATAGACAACAGCAGTACATGTTTCTTTAAATCACCAAGTGAAAAGATAGCAAAGACATTTGTGATTATGTTGAAGCTGAAACTATTAGAGAGGAAAAAAAGATGTACATTTGAACTGAGTAGTTTGGTAGTCCTTAAGCCTTCCAGTCTCCTTGAGAATGAGCATTTAACAAGGTAGTGTCTACACTACGTTATGAATGAAACTGTGCTTCTAACAAAAACATCACTAGGTCCAAAGGGTTTGAATATGGGTATAATCTAGTTAAACTCTGCACATGACCAGTAATTGCAGGGACTTATTTTAATGAAGTGTCTGCATAGATTCCAGCACACAGTTTTTTAGCAGTCCTACTTTCATGAACATAGTCCTCCTGAATCTTAAAGGAGAGATACTGCAGTGATGTTTTATATTCAGAAATCTCTATAAAATCATTTTTATGAATCAAGAAAGATCTTGGAATCTGAATCTCATGCTGCTACATAGGAAATGTTTCTATTATTAGAGCTAAGCCCGCAATCAGCAATCTATAATGATTTCAACTATTCTTAGATGACTGCTCCATCTTGATTTCAAAAGACTTGTACATGAGCACCCTAACTGCTTTTAGACACCTTGGGCTATATTTTTAATAAATCTAATGAACAAAATTTCAACTACAGATTTCTGTTTGTATTAGCTATGTGTATAGAATCATGTGATTATGGCTTTCAGTTTAGAAAAAGACTAAGAAACTTACAGTATTTCATTGAACTGATAAGTCCTTGGGTTAAAAAAATCAAGTGAAAGAATTTCCCTGTTTACCTAAAGGCACTTGAAGACATCAAGAAAAATATTATGTCATCACTGGATGTCCAATTAAATAATACTGCAGCCTCAAATGTATACCTGGATGTGGCTAATGTTCTTTTCAGTACAGGTAATGTAAGCTATGTTATACTGCAAGTTTTCAAATGAAATACAAGTTCAAATAGATATTCAAAATCAAAGTAGCTTCCTTTCTAATCAACTGGAAGTTTTACTGTTTCCATACTTTGGTGGATGATATTCAATATAAAGTTCTCAAAGCTTTAACTCATAATTTCCTTTAAATTAATGATTTAACAAATTTTAAAGTTTAGGCAAACATACATTAATTTCAAGGTGTTAACAGTATTAAGTAAAAGCAAATTTTACACTTTTAAATCCATTTTAGAAATCATGTCCTATGCCTTAGGAATAATATGTGTCGGTGGTTTACCACTAAACAGCCTTTAAAAAAGAAACGTTCAGTGATGTCATTTTGAGGAACATTGGTCATCTCATGTTTATCGTGCCCAAAATTTTTTTACATATTTTATACATAACAAGATACCACAGGCCAAACTGTTCTTTCTTTTTAGATAAACAAATATTAAGGGTTTAAAATAGATCTTTAAAGTTAATTTTTGGCAATAGTATATTAACCAGCGACAATTTGAATATTGAGGCACTATAACCAAGCTCTGTGAGCTTCTTGGAGATGGAGACACTTGGTCTATATCTATGTAATTAGGCTTATAATCTACACAACCAAAATATCTCCTCTTCCCTCTAACTGGTGACAGAAGAATAACACAGTAAAACATTTATTTTAAATATTGGTTCTTTTCTGAGATTCCCTCCCCAATGTATGAAGGCCACAGAATTGAATAGATATGGCTTTCTCGTGAACAGAATCAGTTTATGATGCAAAAATCACATCCCTTTTAGTTTTCTGTTCTGTTATAGATGTTGGTTCTGTACTGGTGATACTTTTTTTGAATTGTGAGTTGCTTCCTCAAAACATGCTGAAGTACACAGACACTTTGAGATTTTAAAAGAATGTTTTGAATACAATATACAGGAAAAACAGTATGCAACTTTATCTCAGAGAAGAAAGTTTACGACTTGTCAAGCACATACTCTTCTTCAAGCGTGTCTTCTAATTTTTTGACTTGCTCTTTGATTGACTTGGCCTGTTGCTGAAGCAGCTGCTTATTCTTGGGCCCAAGTGGTATATCTGCAGCTTCCTTCACAAGATTTTCAGCCTGGACTGCAATTCCTTCTGTTCGTTTAGAAAACTCCTAAAAGGGGACATAATTGTTAGGAATATAACGATTAAACTCTGCCCTCAAATAATCTGCATACACTGCAAAATCTTCTCCAGAATAGATGGATGGATGGATGGATTCATACATGTATGAATATTAGCATATATTTGCAGCAATAAAATGGACTTACTCTCATTATGACTAGAATAGACACCTTGCTAAATTATTTTCATTTTATATGTACAACAGATATTTACCTTCATAGTTACCCAACAGTTCTCACAAAAATGTCTCTCCATTGTTTCCTGGTGTAGGATTATTGCTTAGAATTCTCAGCTGCATTGTAATAATTAACTTATCCACAAATATGTTAGTTTGTTACATGCCAGCTCAGGCAATGACCAATAGTGGTTGACTTTCTCAATCAGAGAGATAATAAATTTCTAGGCCAATGAATGTAAATATTTGTTTATTTAACTGAAGAATATCTTAGTCAATAAAGAGTATCACTGATCTTTACTATAAAGAAACGTTTTGCTAGTTTTCTAAAAAGAGCTATAATCTGATCTTAATATGATTAAATCTTATTTACTATGTATCCATATACATCATGATAGAAAGAAGGTAAGATTTAAACCAATTAAACCAGGACTAGAATCCTGGATTTACTAATAACTGGTTGTTTGACTTTGGCAAATTATTTTTTAGGCCCTTTCATATAAAGTGCAGATAATAATGGTTTTCTTATATGGTTACTGTTAGTTTTTCATTAGCAATTTCATTTTTAAGTGCCTGGCACCCTGGTAGGTACCTATTATCGCTTTTATATCCCTCACATAAATCTGAGGACAAAATAGTTTATGAAATTCACACACTGCTTCTCAATAAAAGTGAAACTATTTTAATTTAAAAATTAATTTAATATATTAGAGGCACTGGTAAATTTTAGCAATTACCTGAATTTTATCAGGTAATATATTGAATGCTGAATTAGAAAGATAAACTCAGAGATAATCCTGGGTGAAAAAAAAGGAACTTAGCATCTCATTTCTTTGCAGGTAAGAGAATCTCACAGAAGTGTAAATTTTGATTATGAAGTCCCTTCTCCTAAACAGATAATGCAGAGCATCTCCCAGAATTATTACATAACTCCATATGTAATAGATTACATAATAATATTGTATTTTCATGTTTGAAAGACTTGATGTCCTCATAGAAATATCAATATTACTATAAGAAGTACTTGGCAATTTGAGAGAATAAAACAAGTATGGCTTCCTCACACTAGAGAGATTTATAATATTCTAAAATATGGTATTTGCTAATGTCACAACACTAAATTCTGTGGTTGTAAGAACCCACAACTGCTATCTTTGAACTTAAAGTATTCGTAGATTCAATTGTGAAGACTGTGAATAGCAGCAAAATATCAGAATCCCAGAATTTCTTCCCAGAAACCGAGAAAAAAACACGGAGAAAGTAGAGTTATGTTTGAAACACTTTCATAAATTCAATCAAAGAGGCTTTTGTGGGAGTTTCATATAGGGAAAGCACAATGCAGAGGAATTCAAAGAACAGAATGATGGTGATAAAAATCAGATTAGGCAAAAATAGAACAAGATTATAAGGCTTTATCTCTAAATTCTAGGAGGAAGACATGAGTGGGGCAGCAGGAGAGTGGGCCCCGGCGTCAGATGGGTCTGGAGTTGAAACCAGTCTCTATCCTTCACTAGCTGTGTAACTGAGTCACATAACTGAATTGTCACTTTCTCATCAGTGACACCTCTTGTAAAGATTGAAGATGATATTGAAGTGAACACCCTACAACACAGGTGGAAAGTAATAGAGTTCCTTAGTACAACCATTCAAAAACTACAACTGGAATGAAGGCTGGACATACAATGTCAAGTGAGCAAAGAAGTAGAGAGCAATTATTCCACATTACATGTGCTTGTGGAGCAGCAGACATAAACACTTAATAAAGGGGTTCAGTTTTTTAATGAGAACATAATACAGTGGCTAAGGGTGTGGGCTCTGGACTCAGATCTCTTAGATTTGAACCCCAACCTTGCCAGTTAGTAATCCTGAGATCTTAGTTAAGTACATAAACAACTTTGTACCTTATATTTCCTCATTTTTGAAACAGGATTAATACTAGTAACTATTTCTCAGGATTGCTTTGGGAATTGAGGAAAATGATAAAACATCAAGTGATTAAACCAGCATATGGTATATGTGCAAAAAATGTTAGTTCATACTATCAAAAATGTCCCAAAGTATACAAGAATTTTGGCTAAGAAGAATTTTAATAATAAGATTAAAAACTTTACATTTGTTTACTGACAAAACTGCATAGCTGATAAACTAATTCAAAGGGATTAGAGCCACAGGGTATCAGAAACCCCAGATCAAACCTGGGTGGGACACCTGTATGATAATTAAACCAATAAACATGTTTGTATTTATAAAGGACACCTGATATATGTTTACTATATAACATACTTAGAATAAAAAATTAAAAATAATATTCTATTTAAATGACTGAAAAAACATCACATAGAATTGAAAGATTCTGTGGCCTTATAAAACTTCAAATTTGAAGGCTTTTGAGATTACAGCCTTAGTTCACCAAGCACACCTACTAAGAATTATCTCTGGGATGTCCTACTGAAACCTCAAACTCACTACATCCAAGACTGAATTGGTCATCTTTCCCCACTGACAGCTAATCCTTCAAGTTTCATCTCACTCCTATTGCCTCTGTCAGGCTCAGAACCTTAGGTACCAGCTACTTTTTCTTTACTCTCTGTCTCTTGCATCTATCCCTATTGCCATCCCATTACCCTAATTCATGCCCATGTTAATGCACACACACCTTCTAAAGGGATCCCATGACTCTAGGTCTTACACCCTTTCAATTTTCTAAGTCCGCTTAGAAACAATTCCTAAAGTACAGTTCTAATCATGTGATCATTGATTCCTTTCTTAAAACCTTCAAAGACTCCATGTTGCCTAGAAAGGAATGCTTTAAGCCTTCAACAGTCCATAATATGACCCAATTTTCCTTTGCAACTGTACTTCCATTTCTTTGCTTTACAGCACAGAATCCCCACTTTTGTATTTCATGCCATTTCCCATTACCAGAATGTACATTTCCACCCAAATTCTGCTTTTCTATGTCTTATATGCCCTTTAAGTTTCAGTTAAAAATATCACTGCCTTCAGAAAGATTTTTTCCTAATGTATCCACCTTTTAGGGAACTCATCATTTCCCACTTTAGCGTAAAATTTCTGTTAGTTCTTGATGCTTAAACCTTATTGTTTTCATTCCCCAAAGCAACTTGACTAGTGTGTTGAAGAGTAGATAATCAATGAACAGTAAGTATTGATTAAGTGAATAATTACAGCAATTAATAAAGGAACAGGAACACGGTTTTCCTTCAAAATAGCGAGTACCAAGGGACTAATTGGTCTTACTGATATACCTTTGTCTGTTCCAATTCTGAAGATAAGCTTTCCAAACTGCTAAAACTCAAGAAGCGTTCGTGGCTCGAACCTGTTTGAAAAAGGTATCTGACCACTGTCTCTTTGTTTGTTTCAAATCTCTCCCATTTTCTTAATGTGACCTAAATTTGAAAAAATAAACACATCACGTTATTAATTATCAAAGAGTGTCACAAAATACTGTTCTCATGTCCCTTCATTAGGCTGTCAACTTCCAGTGAACTCTGCTCACATTTCACAGTTACACTGATTAAAAATGATTCTAACGTTTTCTACAAGAATTTCCTTTTTAAGCCTCCATTCGTCTACAAAAGGAGGATGTGTGGACTAGAATTCTAAGTTTTCTCACTGCTGTGAAGTCCCAGGGACCTGAAGATATTTAAGTATAGGTAAGGCACAAAGGAAAAGAAAGCCTGCCAGTACTTCTCCAAAAAATAAAGTATGAGAGGGAGAGAGAGAAAGGGGAAGGGGGAGAGAAGGGAGGGGAGTGGGCAGGGAGCAGGGGGCAAACATTCGAGATCTTTGTTTTTGAGGGGATGTGTCAAGATCTCAATGAAGTATAAATCTATGGCTGCTGGACTGTCCAGAAAAATAAAATGATCCAATGCAAATTTCCGAATTCAGGTGAGTGTGGATTTGGATTAAAGTCCTGGCTTTATTATTGATCATTGCTCTGTGACTTTAGGTAAAGCCCTCAAACTCTTTCTTTTTAAGTTTCCACACTTGCAAAATGTGCTAATTACAGTATCCACCTCATACAGCTGATGTGATGATTAAAAGACATAGTGCATGTAAATATTTTATACCATGCTGGAGCATCAAAGGCAGAAATACTCATTTGCTCCGGCTAGAAGATGAAACCCGTGACCTGGAAGTTAACACGGCCCATGACGTCCTGTCTCCAACCTGGATGCGACGTTCCTGCCTCTCCCTGCTGTGCTCCATGCTCTCCAGGCTGCTCTCCAGCTTCCGCAGCTCCTCTCGGCCCTGGCTGGGCAGCCCGCCGGCTCCCGGCCGCGTCTGCGCAATCTGCTGCTGCAGGTCCCTTTTCTTCGCAGAGATCCTCTTTGTCTTTTGCTGGAAGCATTTATTTGTTTTAACAGATGGATATACATGTTACTAAGTGACTACGCAGGAACATAAACACCCACTCTTTAATAGAGGTACAGAAAGGTGCAATTAACAGCAGGATAGGTCCAAATTATATTTTAAAGTTAACATGAGCATTAACAGACTGTGTTAGTCAAAGATGGACATTATTTATAAATATTTTGTTTTTAAACAGTAAACAATATCGTTAATTTGGTCTTGGTATTTTCTTTGTGTACAAATTTAGACATTTAGCATGTTGTGCAATACTCCAGGAGGAATTTGGCAAAACTATTCATTTGACATGATTCTCTTCAAAGAATTATTTTCTGCCTACAAACACAAAGTTGCAATTCCAATTTGTAAAAATTATTTATATTGTAGAAATGCTAATACCTTACTATTAATTATTTAATTCCTTCATATATTCAGAATGATTTATCTGCTGAGATGCTCGGGAAAAGTTATGACTTAACATGAACTTTTTATTGAAATTATAATGTACAAATGGAATAGTATGCAAATCTCAAGTATACAGCTAGAGTTTTCACAAAGTAAAAACATGCATATACCATGCACTTTTCCCAAGAAATGTGAAGTTTTAAAATATTAATGTAAATATCAACAATCTCATATTTCTCTGACTTAAATTGAAACCCAAACACCACTTTTACAATGAGTGAGAACACTGTAACACCAAGCATTAATTTTTTTATACTCATAGCCTTTGAATACTACAAAGCCTAGAAGATGGTATTTTACATATACTTTTAATGCAACTTCTATTTTTATATATTACTACATATAAAATTAGCTAGCATTTTGCTATACATTGTTAGCTAGAATCTTGTCATTAAAATTTTTTATTCGAATAATACTTCTACTTTGCATTGAGTTTGACAAGTTGATTAAAATTGTTATCAATAGGTTTTTCTTTACTTTCAATTCTACTAGTAATAAGAGCATACACTCCTGAAAAACTTGTTACTTCCTATAAGTTATTCCCAAACTAGAATGTATTCAAAGCCATAAATTGAAAAGCAAGAATTTAACATAACGGCAGAAAACTAGGGATCTCAAATATGAAGCAATTTTTCTTTCTGCTTTCCTGCTCTGTTATAAAAAGGACAATTTAGCAAGTTTTATGAGGTTTTCATAGCTCAATCAACTTGCCTTCCACAATATTCCTTGAACTTGCGGATATCATCAGATCATTAAGGTTGAGAACTTACCAGGCAGGATTTTCTGAAATATTTAATATTTAACAGAGAGTCCAATTTCTTCTAACCTTTCAGCTGTGTTCCTTCCTGCACCCGCCCTTTGACTGCACCCAGGGGAGATAGTCTCCATCTCTCTGATTCTGTCAGTAACTAAGCAACTTAGCATAAATGCACGGTAGTTAAGTACCATTCTACCTGGTGATGAAGAAGTAACTGCTGTGCTTCAAACAGATTTTCAGTGTCCAAGATTTTCTCGGCTTGCTCCTGGACTTCTTGAGAGCCAGAAATTAAGTCTTCAAGGGAACTTTTGACAATTTCTTTGTACTGGACACAGTCTCCAAAGTTGCTTAACATCTTTTCAACCTAGATTTTTATGAACAAAATTGTAACCATATACTCATGTAATCTTAAATATTTTAAGAATATGGGTAAAGTCTATCTCAATAACATGAAATATATACACAGATCTCTAATTTTTATTCTTTGTTTTTGAAGCTTATTTAATTATTATTAAACTGCACAGTCATTTATGGGACTTGCAAGCCTCATTTGATACGGTGCTCCGTGCCACACTAAAAACCCCCTCAGTCTGGCAATCAAGGAAGAGTAACAGAACTGTGTATATTGTCTCCTGTACCCTTTAGTTACAATTTCATGACTAAAATTCAATTACAAATTACAAAAGTGTGTTTTAAGAAAGTTGAGTCCATGCTATTTAAAGTAAATAAGGAAAAAGTTTGTGGAGAGGGGGAAAAAAAGCATTTGTTGAAAATGCACTTCCATGTTTCTATAAAAAACATCAATAAAATTTTTAATTTTGTTGTTCTTTAGTGGATTCTTTTCTTTGGCATTTTCCTGAATTTCCAGCTTTCTCTTCTGGTTCTGCTTCATTTATTTGAGTTTCAGCAGCATCTTTTGTTTTCAGTCAATTTTCTCCATCTTCCTAAGATAATCATTTTTACATTTAACTTGGAGCCCACTGTTCTCCAAACAAGCTGCAGAGGGACCCCATGGAAACCACAAACTCCAGCTCTCAGTATATCACAGCTCCGCTGAAATCAGTGACTCTTCATTACATATTGCCAATCTACCCACAGTCTCTTTTTCTTACACTGGACAATTGCAAACATTTTGTGTTCCACAATAATTTAAATGCTAAGCAGGTTAAAATCAAAGGATGGACTGAATGCGTCAACCCATCTTTTTATATGAATCTTTATGTCAACAGAATGTTTGTTTTTCTCCATTCCTCTCCTTTTGCTTTCACTAAGTGATTAATTAAGTGATGAAGTAACAAACCAGGGTATGAATATAAATTATACAGTAGTTTAAGATTGATAACTGTGTTGGGAATTAATATCTTTATTTGTTAGAGGTAGATGGTTGCTACAAGTCCCATGGGTAGTGTCATGAGGGTACTTGGAAGATAAAGCAATTAAATGGCCTTGATAAAATGGTCATTCAGGGAGACTAGTAGTTTCTCATTTTAAAGGTTGTCAAAGTGTTCTTGTTTGTGTGTGTGTGCGTAACAAAACATATTATAAATTAATCTCCCACTATCACTACTTGTTAGATCTTGGATCAGAGATCACCTGCATATGTATTTACTTTTTTATTGTCATCCTTTTATCCTACCTTCTTGACCAAAGAGAGAGTAGTGAAGGATAATGTCAGAATTTCAGTCAAAGTATGGTGGTGGCACATTGCTATAAAAGATGGATAATCAAACGATTGAGATGGTTTGTGTTCCAAAATTTGATTAATCCTATCGTTATTTTCAATTTGCCAAAAATTCTTAAGAAAACTATCTTATATATCAAAATTCTCCCATGCTATTGAAATCATAAGCAGTTCAGAATATGTTTGGCTTATGCAAATTCACCACTAAAATCTATATGGATTAAAAACATAAGTGGTTAAGTGAACAAACTGTTAGACTGGGGACATCTATAGAAAATTCCAGATCATCAGAATCAGAGAATTTAAGTCATCCAGTTGATCATTTTCCCATGCAAGTTTAGAAATGATTTCAAGAAATAATGAAAACTATTCTACTTTACATCCTTATATTATCTTCCCACACACAAATTCACCAGTAATTACATGACAAACTGGTCAGTAAAAATATTTTCACCAAGGGCCAAAAGTGCTTTTATGTATAGTATTGCATTCAGTCCTTGACACTACCTTTTTGGGTAATTTTAGCCCTGTTTTACAAGTAAGGCAATCAAGACACAGAAATGTTAAATGACAAGCTCAAGATGACACAAGAAGTGGAGTTTCAGAGTTAAACTTTAACCCTGGATTTGTCTGACTCTCAAGCCTCTGTGATATACATTAAACTGACCATGACATAATACTTTTACTAAGAGTCAGAAGTGTGGTTCTGATAAGCTTTGTATACAATACAAATTCTTAAGCGGAACTAACATATCCAACAATGGCACAGACCACAATTCAAACATCCTACTCATCCATCTTCCCTACATACCTTTATATAAATAAGCATCTAAATTATTCTGTTCCAACTATACTTTCTTTGTAAAATTACTTGTTAAACTACAAACATAAAAAGAACCTTCCAGATTCCTTACCCAGAATTTATAGAGTGTGAGTAAATGGTATGTACCTCTGACAACAAAGTTAGGAGAGCTTTGAAGGAACTAGATAACTTTGCCAGCTCATCTCCTTGCTGTTGGGCTTCATTCTCAGATGAAACTTCAATCAAAATTTTAAGCCTGGATTTTAGCCAGCTGAGCATCTCGCCTTTTTTGGTAACACCATTTCTGATCTCCTGGAATGAAAGAACATTTTGATGAAGAATACCATAGTGAATCATTTTGTTCACATCTTTAACAAAAACCTCCAAGGGCTAGAAAGAAATGTTTCCCCAATGCCAATACCAAATGTGTAAACTCAATACTCTCTATACCAAAAAATTACCTTCATATTAGATGGTTAGATATTTGCTGATGTTTCCTTGATCATAACAGAGATGCTTCTAAAAGCCCTGTAGAAGAATGCGTGACCCCCAAATTGGGAATTATAACATATAATTTGATACCTTATTGTCTGGAAGCTGGAAGGAACATGGTATTTTTTGGGAGAAAATATCAAAAGAGTCCTTTTTTTAAGTAAGCTCATTTCTTTTATTGAAGAATTCACTTGTTGCATATTATTCTGAATGCCCTAAAGTTAATGTAAAGATGCCCTTATGTTCACTCACATTTTATGCCTCATTTTTATTAGTTTTTGGGAGTCAATCCCACTAGATAGTGAGAATGCACAAAGAGGATCACAGCTCTGAGCCTAGAAGGGAGGCTTCACTGGCTGAGACTAGGCCAGAAGGCCTCTGGGACCTCAACCCTGGCGGAGCCGGGGACTGACAGAATGGTGAGTGGGGCAGCCTCTTCCTCCTACACGCACTCAGGGGAGCATGAGGGCAGGGGCCTCCCACTCTCGGGCTGCTGCAGGGGGTCTTACAGGGCAAATGCCTGCCAGCAGAAATGGTTGCTCCCAAGCAGTGATCTCTTCATTTTAAAGTATGAATTGTCATTTTTTTTTATGTGTGTGTGTGTGTGTGTGCTGTAACAGCAAATATAGGCATAGCACAATACTATTGGAATCTGTAGCATTTAAGGGGATTATAAAATTAATGGAAAAAAGTAGAACTCAAAGGATAGGAATAGAAAGGAAATATATTCTCATTAACAGGAGCTATGTGACTTGCAAGCGTTCAGAATGCTGAAAGATACACCATTTCATAATAGCGTGTGCCTGCAAAACACCAGGATCCGGGCTGAGAGGGAGAGGGTTGCTGTGCGCCACTTACAGCACGCAAACCAAGCTTCTGTCGCCCTGGCTGGATTTACACAGCTGATTCGACTCAGACTGAATGTGACACAGAAATGATGCACAAAGACCTTGCCCAATTTCCTCATTTTCTGTGACCTGGCTTTTGGATGGCTGAATATGTATAAAAACATGTAATGTTCTTGTTTTCCATCCCAATTCTTTAATCTCCACTGTGTTGTAAGCCCATGCATACAACATCCATAAGGGATTCCCATTAGCTAAAGGCACCTTAGAGGCACCACTGAGCATTGAATCTCAAAGCTAACAGTGAGTCCGTGGAAAAACTGCCTAGAGTTTTCCAGAGTAACAAGAGGAGACTAATTTTTAAGCAAGTTAATTTCTTGTAGAAAGAAGAAAACATAGTTAGATTGTTTATCATTTCTCTTTTTAATTAATGGAAACTTTAGAGTAACAAAAAAGGCATAGGACCTACCTCTACAGTGCGTCCAACCTCTCCATGGTTGGTAGCATTGATCGCCTCACTCTTAATTCTCATCAGTTGCATCTCCTTTGCAGATATCCAAGATAAGAACTCAGAAATTCTGAAGTAACACAAGTATTTTCTTATGAAAGGGAGAAAATATCTCAAAGGTTGGAATACATTTTCTATATAAGTTTATTCATGGAAACGTGCTTCCGCCTGCCTCTAACTGAAAACCATTCTTTTTTATTAAATAAAGCATTTCTGTACAGGAGCACGGGCAAGACCATACAATCTGATTCTCATTATTGTGTAAGATGAAACATATATTTCTTCATTTGCAATGCTCCCTGAATGAACAGAATCAGGATGGATTATATCTTCTCTGGGAACATTCCAAGACTACCTGTTCATGTAGTCCTTCCACTTGTCTGGGTCTTCCGCCAGCCTCGCATGGGTGCTGTCGATGGCAGCTCTGAGCTCTCTGAGAGTCACCTGACATGTCTCAGGTGTGCTCCTTACTGGGTCCCGGACTGGGAGTTTCAGGCACAGGTCTTCAATGAGCTGTAATCTTTTCTCACAAAGATGATGAGGACCTTTGTCACTGAAGAAAATCTAATGAGCAACAAATGTTGATATAAGCCCTGTGATATTCCATACTGTACTTTCATGTTTTCACAGAAGTCCCATGTCATCTAAGAGTAGACAGTAACTAAGCTATTTAGCATTTTCAGACCCAAATGAAAGCATCAGTTCTATCCTTTACCTAATGGTATGTATGCCTTTGCATGCCTGCCCTCAGCAGGTGTGAGACTTACCCTGTGCTCTCTAATAATCTTTTCACTGCCTTCCTGGGGTACCAGCTTGGTTTCTCGATCCAGCTCCATTCTGCATTCTTCTACAGAAGCTAAGAATCTATTCTTTTCCACCTCAATCTTCAGATGAAGCAGATGATACGGGGCTTCTCCTTGAAGGTCCTACATTCCACAGGTAAGATGTGGAAAAATATGACACCATTCCTGATGAAGTACATTTCCAATGAAAGTGACAAAGCCCAAATATTCTTTTAGGACCCGTCGATTTAATCACTGTTGTCTGCACCCGGCCTCTTGCTTTGTACTTTTCCCAGGACTGCGATCACAGTGAATCCTTCCAGCCTGCTGTGGGGTCAGGCGTTCTCACAGTGATCCTTCTATTTGATATTTACAGTAGTCCCACACAGTTTCAGTGTTCCTATTTTACAGGTTAGAGTATTGAGGCTTGGGGGTAAGTAGAAAGGCTAGATTGGGATCTAAACTTAAATCACAGACTGATTCACACACCCTCTTCCCAGCACGTGCCCCTTTTAACTTTGCCAACAGCCCTGTGAGTTAGGAAGAACATTTATTATACTCACTACACAAAGGGGAATTCAGAGAGACCTTATTAGTAAAAAAGCTAGGATTAAACAGCCCACGCCTCTGACCACCTGCCATGTCCTCTCTTCCTTAGAGCATGCTTTGAAAAAAGAAGTGTGCCAGCAGGCAAACAACATGGAAGTTTTTATCCTCTTTTTCTATATAAGTATATGCTATCTTATTACCTGTAGTCCTACAATTTATTAATTTTAGCCAACTTTTATCCTATAACATTTTAAAGTTACTTTTAAAATAAAATACTAAGATAACTGATAAGAAAAATGAGTTAGGACTATGGAAAGACTAGGACAGATTATCTAAAGAAGCTTTGTGTGTGTGTGTGTGTGTGTGTGTGTGTGTGTGCAAAATAAAATACAGTCTCCATTTATAGTCTCCATTCCACAATATATTTATGGTATGTTAAGTAGACTTCTAAGATATCTTTAAAAGCTCAGATTTCTTTAATAATATTCTTTTTTTCATTTTCAAATTTAGCAAGTAGAAAAGATATTTCCTCAGGGATGAAAAGTAGAGCACAGGGAATATCGTCAATAATATTGTAATAACTTCATCTGGTGCTGGATGGTAACTACCCTTATTGTGGTGAGCATTTCATACTGTATATAATTGTTGAGTCACTATGTGGTACACGTGAAACTAATATAATATGGTACATCAATGGTACCTCAATTAAAAATTAAAATAAAAAGCAAATACAAAATCTTTAACTGTATTTTTCCTGTTCACAGGGTTGGTACGTTAGGCTATGTTATTAAGAGAGTGTTTCAGCTGTCTATCTTCCAGATCATGCAACTTCCTCATATAATAAGTATGCAATTGGCCACTCTGATACAAGCTCGTATGAGCACGTTAACGTGCTGCTAGCGAAGGCTTCCTCCTGCCTGGCTGGAGGAAGACAGCCCTCCTGGGGTCTCCATTATACTGACATGCAGATTCTGAAGTCGGCTTCCTGGCTTCCATGTGACAGGCCCATGCAGGACATTCACGTCAGCCTGAGCCGGGTGACCCTGTACCCCCACTTGCACACTTGCACACTTTCCTTCTTCTAGCTGCTGTGGTCCCCTCCGCTCCCACCTCCAGAATCTGCTGCTTCTTTTAATCCTAGTTCAAAACTAGTAACTTTATTGACTTTTTCCCACTATGAAACAGACCCACTTCTCTCTTTCAAACCTTTCATATATTATTTCTATATGCTTATTATATATTCTTATTATATAATCTACTTTTATTATTTGCAACTAATTATCTCTCTTACTGGACTCTAATCTCTTGGGGAACAAGGATTATGCTTTGTTCCTCACTGAATCCTTAACCAATAAATGCTCTTCTTTGTATTTTTTACATCACAAATCTAAACCAGATGGTAAAATCCTTGAAAATAGCAGATATATATGTGTATAAAAGTATGTACGTCTAACATAACTTACTCAGATGAAAAAGTTTACTGAATGTTGCTGAGTAAGTTAAACCCCCTTGTCATTCCTGCCCCCAAAACATAATCAGGAAAAGAAATGAGGACTTTTAAGTAATGAAAAATTGATGCTCCTAAAAGATAGGAAAAACAAAATGGTATCATATGTTATCACGTTCTGTTCAAGTGAAGTTTTTTAATGGGAAAAATAGCTATGGGAACTTTCCATGAATTTCTAACTTCCTCTTTCAGGTGAACCTTAACACCGTCATGCTCTGTCCCATCATCCATGAATCATCCATGACATGTGCTGCTGCCAAGAGGTCCTGACTCACCTTCCACTGTTTATGGAGCTTCCTAACAGCTTCCTGCAGGCCCTGCTGCTCCTGCTCAGGGAGAATGTCGGTGAGCTCGTCGCAAGCTTTCAGGAAAGCGTTGAGCACCCGCTGATCCAGCTGGCTGAAAAACTCCTGGCGTGGAGGAGGGGGCGGTGGGCAGTGGGTTCGGGCATTGGGCAGAGGAAAGGCAGCATCAGACACAGCAGGGAAGTGAGCACATCTCTGAACAAGCCTCTTAGCCAGCCGCTGCCCTCTTCAAACCTTCTGGCAGCTACTATTTTTTTTGCAAGAGTACACTATAATTATCTATAGTTATGAGTCAGAACCTACCACGTCTAAAATTCAAATAGTACCTTTTTTTAAATCTAGAAAAACACCTTTGCAGTTTTCAAATTTGGCAGAATATTCTGGAAGGCCAGTGGGCAATCCCAAAACCTTGATTCCATGGGGATAGGGTTTTTAGTTCCTCTTTGGCAGTCAGAATTGTGGAAGAAGCCAGGATTAAGCATCATGATTCTTCATTCCCTGGCTGCAATGTGTTCCAGGCCCTGCTGGTTCATTATAAGCCACATTCACACAACTGTACATATGAGCATTGATGCTATGGACTAAATTTGCTTCCCTCCACCCCATCTCTCCTACCCTTCCACTGCCAGATTCATATGTTGAAGCCATAATCCCCAGTGAGACAATATTTGGAGATGGGCCTTTGTTAGGAGATTAGGTTTAGAAGAGCTCATGAGGGTGGAGCCCTCAAGATGGAATTAGTGCCCTTTTAAGAAGAGACATCAGAGGCCTTGTGAGGACACAGTGAGAAGTTGACCATCTGCAAGCCAGGAAGAGAGTTCTCAACAGAACCTGATCACATTGGCACCCTAATCACACACTTCTTATCTCCAGAACTGTGAGAAAATAAATGCCTGTTGCTTAAGTTACCCAGTCTATGTATATTTTATGGAAGCCTGAGCAGATGAAAATAAAGCATGTGCACACAGGTGCATAACCAAGTCTCACAGAGCCTCAGGAGTATGTATGCAGAGATACTTTGAAATGGTGATTCAAAGAAGAAAGTGCCACACCTCAGAGGTGTATGAACTGAACAGGATGTTGGGTGGTCAGAGACATTAACCCTACGTCTAGTTGGCTGCATCACAAATACACTGCATTCATCATCTGAGAGTACAGTTTACACTCTCAGTGAAATACCACAGACATTTCAGGAAAAGTAACTCAAAATACAGGCTCCTACAGGGCTCATCGTCTTGTAGGAAAAATGGATCCTCTATGGCCAGGATCCTCATCTGATCCTAATCTAATCCACCTACTGTATCCGTGCAATGATATAATACTCAGCCTACTGCACAGACACATGCTTGTATGCCCATTGGCAATAAGCCATTATTGCCTGTGTTGCTATAAAAAGAGTCCCCATGGTACTAACTAAGGGCAGATCCTAGAGAAGAGAGCAAGACAGCAAGAAAGAGAAGCAGGGGAGCTGAGACTGGGGAGCAAGAGAGCAGAGGCTGAGAACGGAGACAGAGCCTGGAGCAGAGGCAGTGCCTGGGGCAGAGGCTGAGCTGGAGCAGAGGCAGTGCCTGGGCCAGAGGCTGAGCTGGAGGAGAGGCAGTGCCTGGGCCAGAGACTGAGCTAGAGGCAGAAACGGAGACTTGTGACTTGCAGGCTGCCCTGGAGGTGAACAGGATTCTAGTGCTTGACCTGCCACTATAAGAATAAAGCTTGGTATGAGCTGCTTTTTACCCCAACATTCCATTGTCATTTTTCGGTCTCACCGAATCCATAGTGAACTTGCCCGGGGCTGAAACCCAGAGGTAAAACAATCTCCATACACCATTTAACAAATTATTAGTATTTTCAATACTGATACAAATGATTTAAATGAGTAAGATTAACAGGAGGATGGCTTCACAATACTGGGATAAGTTGTGGATCATCTGCCAAACCTCCAGTGACACGGTATCTATACTGTGATAAGGTGGAGTTATGACATGAGCACAAAGACTGAGCCACCCACCTAAAACAGACTCTTAGAAAGAGTGTGTTGGTTATGTAAGAATTTCTCAGCTAAATAATGAATTAGTAACATGGAGAGCCTGCCTTATCCATCACATGACTCTCTACTACTCCAGGGATAAGAACAGCCAATCATAAGGCAGCTTATCAGCTGTTCTTGAGGTTCATGCTGACATTTCCTTGGGTCTCAAACCTGAAAAATTTCTGCCTTCCTAACTCACCCCTCGTCCTTTCTCTCCTCTCTCCTCCTGTCTCTCTCTCTTTCTCTTAGATGGATGCTCTGCTCTCTTTTCACCTGAGACCACAAGTCTTTGTCCTCAGGTCAAGAGCCCCATGAGGGATGAACTCACGGTGTGTCTTCTCAGGAGCTCTTCCGGATCCCCCTTTTCCTCCAGGCCCTCCTGAGCCATCCTCAGCACCTTCTCCAGCTCTGCTCGAGACTCCTCGAACTTCTTCATCAAGCGACTGTTGGTTTCCACATGCTTCTTCCAGTCTCCGGTTTTCTTTACCATGTTCTTGATTTAGAAAATAATCAGAATATGATGCTCCTGTCTCATTACTGAAAGCATCATTTTGTTAAACAGTATTGTTGCTTAAAAAAAAAGGAACATATTTCATTAGGATGAGACTAACCAACCCCTTAGCATATCAAATGATATTAGAAAAAGAAGAATTAAAAATATTAGAAAGAGAAGAATTAAAATAATTGGTTTCTGGAAACCAGCAGTCGAGGCATTAGCAAGAATGAAAGCATGGAATGTGATGACTACATGTCCTCATTCTGTGTATTTTTTTCCTCACTCACCTGACTAAAGCAGTAAGAGGGCTCACCTGAAAAGCGACGTGAACATCTGCAATCTGTCTCTGTAGCCTCTTCTGATCAAAATGCTGTAGCAACTTGCTCAAGGTCACAAACTTTTGTACATTCTGACTACTTTTCTCAATTTGTGTCATGGTTTTCCTACAGCTTTCTTGACATGCCAGCAGTTCCTACAAGGAAAGGCAACCCACAACCACGGGATTTAAAAGGGTGTAGAAAGAGAAAGAAAGAGACTAACCATTGCAGAACAATAAGAGTAGCATTATATAGCTCTTAGGCTGTTAGCCGTAAGTAAAATAGGAAGGACAGAGAAGTATTTCTTTTCAGAAGAACTCAGTTTTAAGCTATCACTGAAGTCAGTGCTTTTTATATAAGGCATTTAAATGTCACATTGAGCTTTTGAGATTTTTTTTTTATCTTCCATACCCATATCATTAGCATTAAGAGAATGGCAGAGCGACAACCTGCTATTTGTCTAGTACTTATAGTCCTCCAGCCAACAAACAGACCTCTGGTTTACTGCAAGAACAATGATAAAATCAGTCTATATATCAGGTTTTAATCTGATGAAATAAATTTAACACAATACACATGATTCTTTACTGAGTCAAATAAGCAGATTATATATTATTTGTGTTTCCTAAAATGTACATTTGAATTCCTAAGGATCACAAGCCATCAACCTCATTAATAAAACGGTGGACCTGAGATCCGAACCACAAAGGCAGCGATCCAGTGGGCCTGGGAGGACTTGAAATTGCCACATATTTGCAGGACGCAAAGCAATGGTGACTCACGGACCCTCCGGCTCTGATTCATAACCTGGCATTGTAATGATTTCTGCTGTTGGCAACATGGAAATTATCAGCCCAGCCCAAGGCAGGCAGGCATTTTCTGACTTGAAGCCACACCATTTGCCCTTCAACGTTCCTCAGCTGCTTTGGAAAAATATTTCAAACTGCTTGTTTGGATACCAGTTTCGGTAATGCAGATGTAAATATTAAGAGTAGGGATTCTGTTTTGTTTTGGCAAAACAGAAGGAGGACATACTTTTTCCTCCTGAAAATTTACTAGGTAAAAAGGTTAAAAAGATACTATTAAGTATTATTAATATGTATTATTATTAGAAATATTTTGATTGTGGAAGGATTCTTTGATGGCAATTTATAGCAATTCAGGAAGGTAAGAAATGGCACAATGACTCAAAATGAAAACTAATCTTTATCCAGTATGATGCGAACCCACTAGAATGAGGTTTAGTGGTATAATCATTATGGCTTTACTATCAATAACTATAACAATGAACTGCTACCAATTACAGAGTACCTACTATGTGCTATGGTGTGTCAGTCACATTATAGAATATCTAATATAACCTCCACAATAAGCTCTCAGTTTAGGTATTATTGTCTCCATTTTAAGGTAAGGAAAAAAAAGCTAATCAAGGCTTTGTCCTTGGCTGTATCAGACTAAGATCTGAGTACCTGTCTGACCCCCTTCAGATACTCTCTGCTCTTTCTGTTGAGTGGTGCTGCTTTCCTTCCATGAATCTATGTCAACTAATGCAGTGGCAGGCCTTTTGCCCATTAATTTCACCCTCTTTTGATGGATACGTTCATTTATAATAAGCCAACTAAGTCAGCCAGTTAAATGCAACACTCAGTAGGAGGCTGTTCTGCGTAAAGATCTACTTACTAAAAGTGAGACAAAGAAAAGTGATTAGCACACCAAACATATTTTCAGGATTTTATGGCTGTGTGAAAAGACCTAGTCCTACAGGCAAAGAAGAAATGTCATAAAACACAGATTATAGACACTAGATAAAAACAGAAGGTATTTATTTATATATATGCCTACATTTATAAAAATTGTATCTACACATTGAAAACAACTTTTATCTATAGTGGACAGGTTTTCATCTTTGGACAAGGCATGTATTTTTGATTTGAGTTTCCAATACTGTGCTAGAAAAGTGTTTCTTGTCCTAACTGAACTTCTGTCACCATGAGTGACGCCTCCATCTCATTATACATGCTTTAAAATAGCTGTCATGAAGGGGACTTGTCCTTACCTGATTTTTTTGTTTAAAAAGAGTGCTAGATTGTGCCTCACGCTCCAGAATGGTTAAAATTTCATTGATTTTCCCAAGTGAGTCATAAAAGAAGGTCATCTGCTTTTCTAATTCCTCCAAAGGTATCAACAGCTGCTGAGACTCACAAAGGAGTGGGGAGGAACATTCTTTGACCTTTAAAAATACAAAGACAAAAATTCCGTGAAAGGTCATTCATTACCACAAGCTCAGGGATCTGTGCACAGTGCTCAGGAACATTTTCTTGAGTGATTTCATCATTTGTTGCTTACAGATCTCCAAAGACATTTCTTTAATCATATTCCCTATGTATTGTTACATTTTGATGTAAAAAACTGTGCTATTATACCACTGAAACAACTCAATGCTACAGAGTTTTCTCATGAAAATTCATCTACACCGACCATCTGGAAAGCACTTTCCCATCTAAATGATGCTGTTAGTGAGCCAGATGGCATCAAAGCCTACTTCCTAGACCGTACACCCCATCTTTACTTTGGCCTCAAAATCAAACCCAAGAGAGTCATGAATTATGTTATCTAAACTAACCTATATTTTCCAACTTAATTTCCAAGAACTCCAGCCCTTGAATGCTTAGCTCTAGATAAACTCACAATCCTGTTGCGTCATTCTTCCCCGACAGAACTTGTGCATTCCTACCTCCCACTAACTCTGTGCCTATCAAAGACCTACTCATCCCAAGCCCGCATGTCATGTACCAACTTACTCACGTAGGTTCCCTCCCGCCCTAGGGGATGTCTTTCTAGTCTGAACTGTCCCAGCTATTCTTTAAAAAAAGAAAAAAGGTTGTTACTTCCTACTCCTGTATCATCTTTATCTTCAAGCTGAGGTCATAAGCTCCTGGAGATCAAGAGCTCCATTACCTGCCTTCTCATCTTTATGCTGGAACCCGGATATTTTACATCAAGTTTCTCTAAGAATTCTCTAAGAATTTCCTGCCCCTTCTCATTTTATATCAAGTTTCTCCCCAAGTATCATTAATACTTTTGGGATACAAGGAAAGGAAACTGAGTACCTGTTAGTAGACCATTCCTTTTTTTCCTTAAATTATGAACATTCCCATATTCATGGAGACATTACCTAAAGGACAGACTCATTAAAAGAACGTGGCTGACCTACAGTAGCAAGGCTCTGCTAAAATTATTCTCAACAAAATGAAGAGTATCTGCCAACATGTATAAAAATCAGTGTGCTCTATAAATCTCTCCTGGAGATGGTAGAAATTTTACCAAAATGCTACATCTGAAGCAGCAGTAAAAAAAAAAGCATAATGATTTAGATGTGGCTAACAATAGAATTTGCCTTCTCAAAAGATGCCCTCAATCACGAACCCCGGCCCAGCTAAGATGTGCAAACCCAAGATACGGCTCAGAAAGCTGCGTCAAGGTTACCGAGTTGATAGAGTTGACACCGAATTGTACCCAATCTTTATAAATAGCCTTACTCTGAATGTTAAAATAAAAGAGAAAAAATTAAGATTCCAATATATACCAGTTTGACAAATGAATTTTTCTTTTTTCATCACCATCATTTCCTGTTTTCACCTATTTCATTATTTCTCTTTCTTAATTCTCCACTGCTGATTTCACACAGACTTTTTCTCTTACTACTTTTTCTCTTCCAATTAATAGGTTTTTCTGCGTTCTTTTCTTGTTTTCCAATTAATTACAAAGCTTTTTATTCATTTATATAATCACTCCTTTCTTTAACCAGGAATTAATTACCCAACTTAAGTGGACTTTGCAAACAATACCTGTTCATAAAACTCAACTTGAGATAGATTAAAAATAAAAAAAATACCCAATGGAACTTTCAAAGCTCTCAAGGAAAATTCCTCAATAGGTTTAAAAAAGGTTTACAGCTAAAGTTTGATATTCATTGAATTCCCTGCACAGGAGTAACCTTACATCCAAGGTGAGCTGAAGAGAGCAGAATTTCCATTGCATTGTGGCTATGTGAACAGAAAATAAGTAATCTTAGAATAAAAGTATGTCAAATAAATCTCAATACAAGGGCATTTAAAAATTCTTTCTTATTCAAATGTATGATCTCTTCTTCCTCATTTCCCCTCCTTTTCTTCTTCTCTGTCCCTTTGTTTCATCACATTTGAACAACCCTCTAGACCACCAAGAGAAGGCCTTTTTATTAAAAGACAGCTACTAGTACTTTAAATTAACAGAGGTAATACTTGGCATTAGCTCATTGTTTCATTTTTTTAGGTGTTACTAAATAACAAAGTTCCTAAATCAGGAATCCCAATAAAAAACAAAACTATGATCTGTTAAGGGGTAAACAGTTTGCCTTTGGGTGACAGAGAAGGTATAAGCAAACTGAAGCTGTGGTCAGGCACCATGTGGGGTGCATTTAAGTGTTCTCCCACCTTGGTTAGCTGCTCTTTGAGCCCAGACATGGTTGCAAACATTTCATTAGCTTCTTCTTGGGAGCTCTCTTTGGTAATGAGGTGCGCTGTCTTTGTAATCATCTTGTATTGAGCGTCCATTACTGGCACCCTCTGCTCAATATCCTGCATGAATCATTGAAATGGCTAAATTAACACATGGTACATTTCCTTCTAATTTCAGGATTCCACAGAAGGCTGCACAAAAATCAACATGCACTGTATGAATTTCTATTACTTATAATAGACTTTTGCAGATTCTAGTTATTGTTTTCCTTCATTATGCATATATTACATATTGATAATATCAGAAATAAGTAAAATCTTTCCTTTAAAAGTAACCATAAATCCTTAAATTCACATAAAGATAAGTTGGAATAATCTTTACATTTCCATAATATATGTGTTAATGTAGTATGTAAACATTTTATCAGGTAAATTCATGTTAACCATTTGAGGCAATTTCTCTGATTTTAAAAATTGAACAATTTACTTTTTCTTTATAAAAATAACATGACATTGTAGAACATTTATGATACAGAGATAAGAAAAAGAAAACTTAAACTGCTTACAGTCTTCTCACATAGTGATAACCACAGCCAATAACCAATTACATCATTAATGTTTTTTTCCTGTGTGTGTTTATACCCATTTTTATTTTTACAAAAAAAAAAGGATATTTTTTTTGCTTTTCTCACTTAATAGTGATTAGAAAAGCTTTCCATGTCCTTAAATATTCTCCCACTGCTTCATTTTTGAGAGCTGCAGGGTATTCAGAATATACAAGTTGCACAAATCATTTAGTAAATCCCTTACAGTTGGCATTTATGTACATGTGTTATCTATAGATACATTTTCTTCTAGTACGTAATAATTTTGTTATAGAAAAAAATTCTGAATTAAAAAATTATTTTGAAGCTACTCCATGGTGAAAACATATCTTTAAAAAATTCAAATAGATTTAAAAAAAAATTTTAGGTGCAAATCAGGATATGCACACATATCAAAATGATGCCAAGATCTCAAAAAAGCTTTGCAATGATCTGAGAAACTTTACTGATCTTTCTTTTCACAATAGAACAGGTTTTTCACTTTATGGTCCAGAAACCCCTTACCTCCAAGTCTTGAATTAGTAACTTAACATTAAGAAAAGAGACTTCTAAGGGTTCAGAAAGTTTCCTATGGGCTTCAGTTGCAAAATCAGACAGGGTAGTAACACAATCTGTGTATTCTTTTTTCATTCTATCCATCTCATCAGCTCGAGCATACTGTCAAGAAAAGGGAGGAAGCAACATTGAAAATCATTGACCCAAGACTGTGGAAGTCAGTAGCCGTCACTTCCACATAACTCTCTGGATTTGTTCCATGGTAAGAAAAACTCTAATTTCCAATACACTTGGTATAAATCCAATTACTGTGAAAGGAAAAAGGGAGCCAGCATAAAGCAAAGAATTATGATTGGAAACATGAGTCATTCCATATTAGCAGGTCCCCATATGTCAATACCATCTTTAATCAAAGTATATTTCCATAATGTTCCTCTGTTATAAATGTGAAAGAATAATCAAACATAAACATAACAGTTCTAAAAATATCTGTACTCTGCCTGAATAAGCACTATAACAATAAAACTGTCCTTAAACAGACTGTTTATCACAACATTTATAACACATGTATGTTCTAAGCGTATATAGATTTGAAAGACATACTTGCTTGACTTCCATAAACAACTCCCTCCATCTCCCATTTAGCAACAGTAATTGCTGTTTAAGATCACGGGAAACAACCTCATCACATGTTTCAATTAGAAAATTGCCAGCATCATTCATGGCAGCGTGCTGCTGTATCCAATGAGGCAAATTGCGAAAAAAATCCTAAACGATAAACAGAACACATTATTGTAAACCATAAGCCCCAAATTAATAAATGATGTGAAAGTGACCAGACTAAGAGAAATATCTTTGTTCTAAAACTTGTGCAGATCTTGAGGTGAATCCTAAATCTCTTTCACAATGCAAAATTTTCAATAAAGCGGTTCTAAATTAGGAATTCGAAATGCTGAGTTCATCTTATAGGAACATCTATAGCAAAACTTTTCACTAAACTTCTTTTTAGGAAGCAAAACATGATGGTCATTTTCTGTTATTCCTTCTTTACAAAAGAAAAAGCTGAATTTCTAGTGAGTGAAAAGGACTTGTACCTAGTCTTCAGGGTAGTAAATGCCAGTGTCAGGGCCATATAGAAGATACAATATTTTAAGGAAATATATAGCTTTGCCCCAAATTTTTAAGCCAACTTTTGAACTGTTATTTTTAATTTTAAAATCTGAATATAGTATATCAAGATAATCTATAATCATGGAGATAAACCATTGAAGGAAAAATTTCAAAAATTTAATATCCAGGCCAAGAACACTTACAAAGCATCCTTCCTTACTTGTTTAAGATTATATACTCGGCAATGAAGCAGTTACACTTGATTTCAAGCTAAATGCATGTGCGTAAACAGTGAAGCCAAGGATACCAAAGATAATTCAAGAATCCACTTCATCATCCATGTGTGGGAGGACTTCCTACATAAATAGATGAGAATGCTTCTGTTTCTGGTGGGTATATTCCCTTGGGTGATGTTAACAGCGACTAGGGTACTGCTGGTCTAATCAGAAAATCCAAAATCTAGGTATATAATTCTTGTCAGCCTCAGCTACAGAAGAATATTTTATCTGTATGAAATACAGAATAGTGAAACATTTAAATATTATACATTTACTTATACAACCAATCTTGAGGGCAAGTCGTAGTTCTAATGTACACACTATATACTTCTTAATGAGAGCCTGGCATTTTAATATCGTATATAAATTGATTTTTCATGGGAAAACCCCAGGTTCCCATTAAGAAGTATATACACAGAAATCAGTCCATGAGTGATATTTTAATGCGAGTGATCTTAAAGCAAAATAGTACCACCTGGAAACACACATACATACCTGTAACCAGAGGAAAAACATCATTCCTAACCAGAATAAGACCCTTGACTGAGGGTTGATAAAATCCAAAAACGAATATCCAAAGAGACAAAAATGTGATGACTTGGTTGTTCGACTGGTCATCACATAGACTCGGTACTGTCCTAGCCAAAGCTGGTTTCACCCTCTTAAATTAGGAAATCCACAGAGGCAGGGCCATAGACCTGCTCTTTACGAGGACTGCATTGTGAGTATAGCGCCATCTGCTGCCCATTGGGCTTGGACGCCCCTCCATCAGTTACTAATCTGAATACAAAAGTGAAACCCTGAATTTGATAGGAAACTCTTGTAAAATAACTTCTACAAATCAGTGTATTTATTGGCCTAAAATAATTTATTACTAACCTGAAAATACAACTTTTCAGGCAAAGTCGGGATTCTTGAGTCATTTTTGCAAATATATGGCTCTCCGTAGAGAACTATGCTGTAAAAAGTCTCATGTCTAAATGTGCATGTACCTGTTTCCGTTGGTAAGAAGCAATCTTACCTTTTTGGCATGTTCTGATTGATTTAGCATTTTTTCAGCATCCTCTAGCCAGGCCTGAAGACTGGCCACAGTATTGCCGTATCGGTCCCAGTTAGCAATTACTTCTTCCAGCATGCTCCTCACACTCCTAACTTCTACTGAGAGGTTCCTCCATTGTGCGGTGGTTTCATTCATGAATTTCATCACATTCTCAGCCTCTTCCACTGAAACAGGTAAAACAAATTATAATCCTTATTTCATATTTTAACACCACCATATCATTTTCTCTATGGTCTATACACTGGTGTGCATTTATTATTCTTTAGATTATAAAGTTAACAGATGCAATGTTAGAATTTCATTTAGCAAATTCTGGAAATATGTTATATCTTATCCACAGGTAGTTATCAAGATTAAAGATGATAATATTTTAAAAATTCCTGCTAACTAGGTTACAATAAGGGACACATATATTTGTTGACATTTAATATGCACTCAAATAGATGGACACATGTATCAGTCACAAATGCTACAGTTCATTTTCAGTAAATATGACAGACATATTAACAAACTGAAACAAACATTTTACAACCTGTGTCTTGACACTAAAGTAAGGTTTCACTGACTTGATTATAATAATCTATTTAGTCCATTTCTTTTTACGCTTAAGCCTCATAATTGAAATAAATTAGAAAATTGCAGTTTAGAAAGTGAATGCTTATTTTGCTCTGCGTCAGATCACACACACATAGTATGATTATACAGGTAAGGCACTGTACAAAGTCAAGGGGGCTCAGTCTAACATGTGCTCTTCAGGCCAATGGCATGGTCACACAAAGAGTCTGCAGAGAAAAAATGATTCAATCACACAGAATCCTGTAGGTTCTAAATTATACTGAATTCAACAGTGCAAGAAATTCTGTCACATGTTTTACCTGAACCATCAGCTTTGACATACATCTCAGCCGTCTGTTTCAAGATCTGGTATGTCACTTCATACTGTTCAAAGAATTTGCTGTTTTCTATAAAAGACTAGGAAAGGGGGAACAATGAGAAGATGGCAAACTCTAGATTTCTGTAGAAATGCCAAAGTCAATTTTCTTCAGTAGAGGTGTATGGACATTTTCCCCAAGTGTACCCATCTTACTCTTCCTAAAAACATCAAATTAATTCAACTACCACAAGTAACCTGATTATTCTGAGAATATAAATTGATTCCACACTTTTAATTCTAACTTGGCATTATTGAGAAAATATTCTATTTCTTCTCCAAACAAGGACTGATTTGCAGAAGAAAAAGAAGTTTCTCCAGAGAACCTGGGACTAACATTTAGAAAGCACTACATTTGGAAGAACATTTTAAAGTGTCCCACCGTGTTTTAGCTGTGGGATTCTATTGCTGTTTGAACATTAATTCAGGTGAATGATGGCTCTGAGGGACTTTAGATTATAAATTAATGATACAGCACAGAAACACTTTCTTTAAAATAAAAAGTAAGCACAAAAATTTTAAATAATCACATATTCCATCCATGTTATCCATGGTCTCATATTTCTGTTACCAAGCATAAAATTACAGGTAAGAGATTATATTTATATCTGTATATAATTTACACTAGCAAAGGAAGACTATAAAATTTCACACACACAAGAAATCCTTAAGTAAGTTTTGTTATTGTTAACTCCAGGAAATATGAAATAAATCCTGTTTCAAAGAGTAATCCTATTTCTCTAAAGCAGAAAATTAATGCAATTATAATTAACAACATTATCACCAAAGGCTCTTTAATTTTTTTAATAGCATAATCAGTTGCTATGATTTGAACCCTCTAAAATACTTGAGAAGTGTCACTATGATAAAAATGCAAAATTAGCCTTTAGAAACCAGCTGAAGCCCTGTATAGTGCACTGATGAATGCCTAATACAGAAATGCAGAATTCCTGGGTGCAGATGCAAAGCTACCATACAGCAATTTCATAGACATTCCTACCTAGATTTTATCTACAAATGTCTACCATGTTTCAAGATAACATTTTAAAAATTATGTGTGTAATACATTTCATATCCTTTTATGCTTACAAAGCATTTTACTTATATGTTAACTGTTCTTCAGGGATATTGTAAATAGAGAAAGCTGTGAGTTGCCTGGAATCAGGGGTTCCATGATGAATACTTTATTCAACAACTTGAATGGGCTGTACTATTTTTGTTTGAGAATGAAGTAAGACAATAGTAGTTTGGTAAATTCATTATTTAGCCTTTGTTCTACTCCCTTAACCTTCCCTCTTCCCCAGTTGGGTAAAGAATAATTTACTGTAATTTAAATTTTGTATAATTTAACTAAATAAACAAGTCATGATTTGATCAAAAGAGGAATATCACACCTAAGTAAAAAACACTGTAGGAAATTGAAAAAGTGAATACATTTGGTAAAGTTTAAAAAAGTCTCCATTTAGTTTTGGCACAAATTAAAAGAAGCTAATAGGAAAACAATTGTTCTAGGGGTCAAAGAAATGGCAATAGAGCTCATACTGAATAGAAAGACTTAACTATGCTTTTACTAGAGTAGTTTACAAACTAATTAAAGATGAGCAAGAGAGAAAAGTTTATTTTCAGTTCAATGTTTGGTCCAAGGGGGGGGAGGGCGGGAAGATGTTTTAAGAGTATTATAAACATTGTAGGGATTCATTACTTTTGAGCTTTCCTATTAGGAAGATTAGGTAATTAATTTTTGCAGGAAGATACTTCATTTGTTATCTTTCAGTTGTTTCATTCATTCAGGTTTTTTCTTTCTGTGTAAAAACTAAATCCATTTAATAATATGAATTATTTTGTCTATTAGAATCCCTTTAGTGGGAGGAATGCTAAATCTTTTTACTGTGAGCTTTCTAGACACTGTCTCTCAGAAAGGTACAAAAGTAAGCACAAATGGGTTTTTAAAATAACAACAGGATTCATTTAGTTCTTTAAAAATAAGGCTTACTTTTGGAAATAAAGTTCCACAAATAAGCCCTGTTAGTGGAGGACTTTCAAAGTTGATGGCACTTCAAGAAAAATCAGATACCTCTTTATGCCACTAAATTCAAAGTGTTAGTGGAAGAGACTGAATTTCTATTCTCACAAAATAAATAAAAAGTTCATCAGTTTCACTTGAATGGAGTTAAACCGGACAATTCAAGATTTAAAAAGTACCTCTGAGGAGCAGTTACATTAGATTTAACTATTTACATTCATAAAATAACCACAAATAATAAAACAAATGTTCATATTACTTGTTTTTCATTCACATAGTCCACAGTTCCAAGAGCTCTTCTTTTCTTTATGAGAAAGAATGAAATGTCATCCTATGTCTTTCCTAGTAAAACTGGAGCCTCTATTGACAAACATGGTCATGTCAAGAACAGTTTCGACAACAAGAACCAGACCAATTATCCTGATTTAAGTTACTGTATAGAGTCTCTTGTCAGTAAGCATATGGCATAAGTATTAATCAACAGGCATTTGTGGAGCCTTTCCCAAGAATTCCTTAAGCATCTGGCAGTTGCAAACCTGAGTGCCCAGTAAATGAAGTAAGAAGGAAGCACAATCTCTAATTCTCTAACCCATTAAAAAATGAATCATTTGTTTTTTTGGAAAAGATGAATAGGACCAAATTGAGAATTCAGATGAAGAAAAAGATAATTATGGAACTTTTACATCCTGAACATTACTTTGGCTATTAGATGATATGGCAGCATATGGCTCATTACAATTAATTTTTTTAGAAACCAAGCAAAGGACTATATTTAAGAAACTGATTTATGATTCTATTTGAAAGTCTTCAGGCTCTTTGAAATAGTCTAATTCTAAAGAAAATGATTTCCCTCAAACTTGTAAAAGATGAGAGGAGTTCTATGGGGTGTAAGATAGAAGGAAAACAGTATGGACCCATCTTTGTCCTTTAGAAAAATCCCTATTATTCTTTTATTAGTATTAAAATTTTGGGAAAGACTAAGTCTTCAAGAAAAAGCGGTCATCAGTAGTACAACTAAGCCAAGATTCAACATCCTTTTACATGACTGGTGGGCAGGCTGCATCTCCCCCACCTCACCCCCACCCCTGGCCCCAGTGCTATGAAGTCAGTGACAAAAATAATAACACCTATCAGGCTAGAGTATGTAGCTATAAAATACTGTCAAATAATGGGCTGACAGTAAATGGAACTAATACGTATGCAAGCTATTGTTTAGTTCACTGATCTTCAAGAGATCATTTGAATGATATGGTTTTTCAAGTTAAGGAAGGAATTTTTTCACAGTCAGTTTTGTTGTATAGTAAAGTTCAATACTTAAGCACAAAGACTTTTTGGTTCAGAAAGCTGTGGATTCAAATCCGGATTATACTTCTTACCAAAGGGGCCATGGGGAGCATGTGACTTGAGCATTCAAAGGCTCCCTTTCCTCAGTGAAACAGTGTGAAAAACCCAGCCCACAGGCCCTCTTTGGGATGAAAGGGACACATGTACAACAGTTGGTGCATGGGAAACAATATATCACAGTTATTAAAACTATTAAACCAAAAATATCTTAAAGCTCTTTTTAGAAAAGAAGTATGAGCAATAAATATTTTTTACCAGAAATAAGAATATTAAGAAATATTTATTAAAACTTACTACTATATTTATAGAGTAATTAGCAATTTTAGAAATAATTTTGAAAATTATGAAGCAGGTTAAAATTAGCAGCTTTGTGAAATTCTCTTTATGGAGTAGGCAGAAAGTATCGTGTGTGTTTTTTTTAATTATTAATAACAACTCTCTACTTAGATATCCATTACTTGAGAAGTTCAAAGAGAATTACTAACATCATTGTGTTGGAACATTAACCTGGTGGAACAGTCCTATTAGGCATTTCAATCTGATTGGCTGTCCTTAAATAGCTGGAACAAAGACAGTTCCTGCATAATTACCTACTGTGCTCACATTGTATCATCTGACGTGACTAAACCCAAAAATATAAATGCAAATCTGTATTTAATATTTAAAGGACTAATATAATTGTTTGAACTTAGAAAATGACATTTTTCATTACTTTCCAAAATAATTAAAAATGATTAAGGGAATATATCACGACAGGATTTGCATATTTTGACAATTGTAGCCAACCGAGAGAAAGATTTTACTGTAAACCTGTTAAACCTTTTCAAAAATGCATGTTGTTCAGTAACCACTTAGAAAAAGTAATTAGAAAGTAGAAAAAGTAATTAAAATGTAGTAAAATATATTCCAGTTCTAGGATGCCCCAGTAAAGATATGGTTCCAATATGTGTTCATTCATATCAGTTACAGAGCCACTGTGAAGAGTCAGGTGATAGATGGACTTATATTTTAAATTTATTAATTTATCATTTAGAATTTGTGATCACACATAAATGGAACAGTACACAACTGAGTTGCTCTGTTAACTTTAATTTTGTGAGCGAATTTGTATTGCTAATAAATTTGGGGGGGGCATGTTTCACTTAGAAATAAACTTCCCTTATTAAATATAATTCTCTAATTACATGCAAATAGAAACTACTAGCTACAGAACAACCTAATTCATTTGAAGGGTTACTATTCTATGTAGATATAGGATTATCTATATGGCTAGTCCAAAATACGAGATAATCTTTAAAAATTAAGTTGGTACAGAGATGCAAAGACAAAATTTTACTTTTCCTGGGTGCACACAAGAAGCTCAAACTTAGGAAATGATCATAGAAAAGACATCCAGGACCTAAGCTAAAAAGAACATATCGTTCCCATGAGGAAAATTTATAATTGTTCCAAACTACTTGTGATTGGATTTTAGAGACACAAAGATAATCTTTCAGTAGTTTAATTCAGTTTCAATGGGGAGCTCACAGTCGAAGTTGTGGGTATAAAAATGCAGAAACTTTTTTTTTTAAACAATAAAGCCTATCACAGTGGTTCAATATGATCAATGCAGCCAAACCTTTCTATATTTCTAAAAACACAAGTGTCTATTTCAGATTGTTGTGAAAAATCACAAACTTCTATCAAATCCATTTAACACAGTGGTACTTTCATGTTTAAATTCAAGATAAAAATAACAGTGCTGGGTAAAACTGGCAGGTAGGTATTACATGCTCTGATCTCTGTGTCCGCGCACCGGGGAGACTTACAACGTAGTTTTGAAGCAGCAGCTCCACTGACTCTCTCCTCCCATACTTGATGATCCAACACTTCAGCTTTGACTCTGCAAGAACCAGCAGTGAGAGCAGACGGTACTTTAATTCTAGAAATTCCATTTTCATTAAGTGTAGCTCTGATGTGGAGGAAACAAAATGAAACCTAGAAATAAAACACGGAGAATTTACAGGTTGTAACTAATAGTAACAGAACGGGGCTTGCTTAACCTGTTACACGTCAGCGCTATATATAATGCAGGCACAAGGTCCTCCACACTCTGTTATGGTAGATCGACCATTATCAGATCTGATTCCTTTCCTAGCTCTAGGTTTACAGGCAAATCATAATTGATGAAAGTCTGATTTGGTTCTTTCCCCTGCCAAGATATCTCTCATCTGTTTCTTTTACAAGCTGTTTTTGCAATATTACATAATGTTCCTCACAGTACTGAATAAAAATACAGCCTCTGAAGAAACCATTTCTGTGATTTCCAGGCTGTGGGTACATGCAGGCTTACTTTTTTCAAGTAATAATATATTAGAATGTTGGCATTCTTAGCATATTCTATGGGAGCCCAGATTTTATGTACCAAATGTCTTTAGCATCTCTAAAAAAAATAAATAAATTCATTGAAAAGAAAAGAAATGGAGAAAGCATCAACCGAGTATTTTTAAAAACCAGTTCATTTTAAAGCCAGGCATTCTCTTACCTCTCAGCCATGTCCTCTAATTGATCAGGTGGCACTGGGATCCCGTTAACAGACCTGGTCCGGTAGATTTCATGGAATGCTCTTTTGTGGGCATCTGTGTTTTGAAGCAGATCCTAAGATACAATTTAAAAAAAAATAAAAAATGAGGAAACATGTTCACAGGAGGCTAAGAAGCATAATTTTCAGCCTGAACTGATGAGTCAATGTATTCAACAATTTGATCATACTACCACATCCATATGCGGCTTGGTGCCTCTCAGAGACTTGTACCTTGTACAGGAGTCTGGGTGCTTGTCTATAATGCCCTGTGCAAGAGCTGCATCTAATAATTATGGCACCTTTTACACACACATGACACTTGCACAGAAATGCATTCAGACATTTTAAAGGCACATGATCCGAAGGAAAATGTAGTTACTGCTATGAAAAATAACTTCTTAGTATTTTTCTCCTTCCTTGATTTTGGGTAGATTGGTTCTTAAAAGCTTAAAACCAAGCACAACTGGTTTAACCCTTTAATGGTTTAAAAAAAACCATTAAGTTCTTTATTGTTATTTTATTTTGAATGCATTCAGTTGATCACAAAGTGATGTTTGCTTGCTATGTAAAGCAACTCAAAATTATATTACAATAGATTATGAAATACCCTTATGCTTAAAAGATTTCAAATACCCACAGGGAATATGTCCCATAGGTACCACCATGGAAGATTACATGTGATGTTTAAAAATATACTTTCTGCAAATTTTTGTATTTTATTTAGATTTGTTTCCTGTTTTACAAAGCTGATAGACTTGTAATAAATACTTAAACGTATTTCACAATGCCTAGCCAATTTCTCACACAGAAGCAAAGAGAGGTGAAAGGAGATTCATGCCATATTTTCTAGAGTTTAGTTTGTTTCTTAATAGCAGAATAAACCCCAACAGTTGATCATTCACTCAGAAGTAAGGCACAGTAGACCACCAGAATGATACACTACAATTAACTTGTTGCTCTCACACCAAGATGTATCAGATTAGTTGGAGAAATCAGAAGCATAAAACGGCCTAAGAGGTTAGGAGAGAAGGAGAGACACTTGATAGAAGGGGAAAAAAGCCTCTTATATACAAATTAAAATGTTAAAATCATATGTATTTGTTTGTATAAGTAAAATTAATTTTCTTTTAATTTGGGGGACATTAGTTTTCACATTGTAGAAAACCCAGGGACGAACTATTTCTATCCTGATATATGTTGCTATTATCGCATATGGTGCTATTATCACCTGCTTTGACTTTGTAGGTAACTGTACACATAATCCCGAGTCACTTCTGCCCAGAGGGAGAGCAAGGGGTGCAGCTAAAAGGCCATCCCAGAGGACAGAGGACTGTCCTAAGGCAGCTATTGGCTGTGCGTACTGTAGTCACACTCAGCCTCCTTTACAACATCCAGATGCACTTCTGTGGCTTATGATCTCAGCTGAGAATCCTCCAAGTGACGGCAGGGCAAACCTGGAACTGGCACCATGCCCAGCTCCGATCTGTTATACATACGTGACTTTATGTCTACACGTTGATGTGTTGTCGGGGGTCTGGGCCTGTCTGGGAACACCCAAATGTCTAGGTTGCCTTCTATTGTGGTTTTCAGTATCCAGTTAGTTAGATATTGAAAATGTCTTGACAAGGTATCAAATTTAACTGAACTGACTTAGAGCTTTCATTTATTAAATTAAACAGCTTAACAGAAAAAAATCTCGACAAGGTATCCAAACAAAAACGTTTCAACCATATGATGGAGGTACTTTGGCTGGTGTGGTATCACAGAGATCTCTGAAAGGCCGTCTCATTATAAAACAACTAGACGCTGAGCACAGCATGTGACCTTAGTTCACTGGTGGGCTTGCAGGAAGTAAGTAAATCTTTTAGGTGTCCTACTTTCAGTAAAACACGATCCCAAACTGGATCACAGACCTGAGGGCAAAAACAAACTGAAAAAGCTGAATGTCCTGGGCAAATACTTACACCGTGGCTGTAGGAAACTGAGTCCTGGAACCCGACCAAGGTGAGAACAACGAAACTGAGGCTCCTACATTTAGCCAGAATCCTCAAACACGAATAAAAGAAAGCTGGTGTTGAGTTTAACAACATGAGACATACTGGATTTCAGAACCCGGTCACTTTCAGTAATCAACCGCTCAAGGATGAAACTTTCTGTTGATTAGAAGCTGTTAATTCCGAACTGAACATGTCTAGTAAGCCTCAACTACATAAAGTAAAAACTGATAGCAACAGGGGGAAACTGATGGTCCACAGTGTGGCTGTGGGAGTTGTCAACATCCTTTCTCAGTGGCTGAGACCGAACAAAGGGAACAATTGGGAGAGCAAGTTTCAGGGGAGGGAGGGAAGGGGAAGAAAAGGGTGCAGATCTGCGGACCTCATGGGACTTTGTAAGAACTTTCAGTGTTTAAGTAGATGCACTCGAGAGTAGGAGGGTGAAATGAACTGAGCTGCATTAAAAAAAAACTGTGGTGGCTGTTCTACCACAATACCCTATGCATGATGCGCCACCTCCCTGGCTTCTAAGGCAACGCTGGAGCTGGACTGCAGCCTACCTCGGTCATGGCTCTTTCTCACTCTTTTGCTGGTTCATCTTCTACTCTGAACTCTTAAGATTAGATTCCCTCAGGGCTTAGTTCTTGATTGTTTTCTCTTCTATGTTTACATTTCCTTAGTTGATTTCACTAGTTTCAGAGCTTTAAACGTCTCTTTAGAGGCCAATGATTCTGAATATTTATCTCCTGACTATACCTGTGTCCTGAGCTCTTGCATCTTACCTCCCACTGCTTATGCCACATGTGATGTCAGTGCAGAAAAAGTATCATACGTACCATGCCCCAACCCGAACTCCTGATCTTTTCCTTCCAAACCTGCTTCATCTCCACTGAAGGAAACTCCTTTTTCCCGGGGCTCAGTAGAAAAACCAGAGTGTCATGTACGCTCCCCTTCCTTCACAATCAATATCTAATGTTGAAGTTCTCTTTGCTCTGTCCTCAAAATATATTCAGAATTTGACCATTTCTCACCATCTCTACAATTACCACCCTAGCTCAAACCATTCTACCTGGATTATGGAAACTTGTTCCCTGGATCCTACCCTCTATCACTAACCCAGGCTATTCTCACACAACAACCAGGAGACACTGTCATTCTTCCAGTAAGAAAGCGGATGGGAACAGATGGTAAGAATATGACAGAAAAAATCAGCAGTACCAAAAGTACATTAAGCAAAGTAGGGTTACTATTCTATGTAGATATAGGATTATCTATATGGCTAGTCCAAAATACGAGATAATCTTTAAAAATTAAGTTGGTACAGAGATGCAAAGACAAAATTTTACTTTTCCTGGGTGCACACAAGAAGCTCAAACTTAGGAAATGATCATAGAAAAGACATCCAGGACCTAAGCTAAAAAGAACATATCGTTCCCATGAGGAAAATTTATAATTGTTCCAAACTACTTGTGATTGGATTTTAGAGACACAAAGATAATCTTTCAGTAGTTTAATTCAGTTTCAATGGGGAGCTCACAGTCGAAGTTGTGGGTATAAAAATGCAGAAACTTTTTTTTTTAAACAATAAAGCCTATCACAGTGGTTCAATATGATCAATGCAGCCAAACCTTTCTATATTTCTAAAAACACAAGTGTCTATTTCAGATTGTTGTGAAAAATCACAAACTTCTATCAAATCCATTTAACACAGTGGTACTTTCATGTTTAAATTCAAGATAAAAATAACAGTGCTGGGTAAAACTGGCAGGTAGGTATTACATGCTCTGATCTCTGTGTCCGCGCACCGGGGAGACTTACAACGTAGTTTTGAAGCAGCAGCTCCACTGACTCTCTCCTCCCATACTTGATGATCCAACACTTCAGCTTTGACTCTGCAAGAACCAGCAGTGAGAGCAGACGGTACTTTAATTCTAGAAATTCCATTTTCATTAAGTGTAGCTCTGATGTGGAGGAAACAAAATGAAACCTAGAAATAAAACACGGAGAATTTACAGGTTGTAACTAATAGTAACAGAACGGGGCTTGCTTAACCTGTTACACGTCAGCGCTATATATAATGCAGGCACAAGGTCCTCCACACTCTGTTATGGTAGATCGACCATTATCAGATCTGATTCCTTTCCTAGCTCTAGGTTTACAGGCAAATCATAATTGATGAAAGTCTGATTTGGTTCTTTCCCCTGCCAAGATATCTCTCATCTGTTTCTTTTACAAGCTGTTTTTGCAATATTACATAATGTTCCTCACAGTACTGAATAAAAATACAGCCTCTGAAGAAACCATTTCTGTGATTTCCAGGCTGTGGGTACATGCAGGCTTACTTTTTTCAAGTAATAATATATTAGAATGTTGGCATTCTTAGCATATTCTATGGGAGCCCAGATTTTATGTACCAAATGTCTTTAGCATCTCTAAAAAAAATAAATAAATTCATTGAAAAGAAAAGAAATGGAGAAAGCATCAACCGAGTATTTTTAAAAACCAGTTCATTTTAAAGCCAGGCATTCTCTTACCTCTCAGCCATGTCCTCTAATTGATCAGGTGGCACTGGGATCCCGTTAACAGACCTGGTCCGGTAGATTTCATGGAATGCTCTTTTGTGGGCATCTGTGTTTTGAAGCAGATCCTAAGATACAATTTAAAAAAAAATAAAAAATGAGGAAACATGTTCACAGGAGGCTAAGAAGCATAATTTTCAGCCTGAACTGATGAGTCAATGTATTCAACAATTTGATCATACTACCACATCCATATGCGGCTTGGTGCCTCTCAGAGACTTGTACCTTGTACAGGAGTCTGGGTGCTTGTCTATAATGCCCTGTGCAAGAGCTGCATCTAATAATTATGGCACCTTTTACACACACATGACACTTGCACAGAAATGCATTCAGACATTTTAAAGGCACATGATCCGAAGGAAAATGTAGTTACTGCTATGAAAAATAACTTCTTAGTATTTTTCTCCTTCCTTGATTTTGGGTAGATTGGTTCTTAAAAGCTTAAAACCAAGCACAACTGGTTTAACCCTTTAATGGTTTAAAAAAAACCATTAAGTTCTTTATTGTTATTTTATTTTGAATGCATTCAGTTGATCACAAAGTGATGTTTGCTTGCTATGTAAAGCAACTCAAAATTATATTACAATAGATTATGAAATACCCTTATGCTTAAAAGATTTCAAATACCCACAGGGAATATGTCCCATAGGTACCACCATGGAAGATTACATGTGATGTTTAAAAATATACTTTCTGCAAATTTTTGTATTTTATTTAGATTTGTTTCCTGTTTTACAAAGCTGATAGACTTGTAATAAATACTTAAACGTATTTCACAATGCCTAGCCAATTTCTCACACAGAAGCAAAGAGAGGTGAAAGGAGATTCATGCCATATTTTCTAGAGTTTAGTTTGTTTCTTAATAGCAGAATAAACCCCAACAGTTGATCATTCACTCAGAAGTAAGGCACAGTAGACCACCAGAATGATACACTACAATTAACTTGTTGCTCTCACACCAAGATGTATCAGATTAGTTGGAGAAATCAGAAGCATAAAACGGCCTAAGAGGTTAGGAGAGAAGGAGAGACACTTGATAGAAGGGGAAAAAAGCCTCTTATATACAAATTAAAATGTTAAAATCATATGTATTTGTTTGTATAAGTAAAATTAATTTTCTTTTAATTTGGGGGACATTAGTTTTCACATTGTAGAAAACCCAGGGACGAACTATTTCTATCCTGATATATGTTGCTATTATCGCATATGGTGCTATTATCACCTGCTTTGACTTTGTAGGTAACTGTACACATAATCCCGAGTCACTTCTGCCCAGAGGGAGAGCAAGGGGTGCAGCTAAAAGGCCATCCCAGAGGACAGAGGACTGTCCTAAGGCAGCTATTGGCTGTGCGTACTGTAGTCACACTCAGCCTCCTTTACAACATCCAGATGCACTTCTGTGGCTTATGATCTCAGCTGAGAATCCTCCAAGTGACGGCAGGGCAAACCTGGAACTGGCACCATGCCCAGCTCCGATCTGTTATACATACGTGACTTTATGTCTACACGTTGATGTGTTGTCGGGGGTCTGGGCCTGTCTGGGAACACCCAAATGTCTAGGTTGCCTTCTATTGTGGTTTTCAGTATCCAGTTAGTTAGATATTGAAAATGTCTTGACAAGGTATCAAATTTAACTGAACTGACTTAGAGCTTTCATTTATTAAATTAAACAGCTTAACAGAAAAAAATCTCGACAAGGTATCCAAACAAAAACGTTTCAACCATATGATGGAGGTACTTTGGCTGGTGTGGTATCACAGAGATCTCTGAAAGGCCGTCTCATTATAAAACAACTAGACGCTGAGCACAGCATGTGACCTTAGTTCACTGGTGGGCTTGCAGGAAGTAAGTAAATCTTTTAGGTGTCCTACTTTCAGTAAAACACGATCCCAAACTGGATCACAGACCTGAGGGCAAAAACAAACTGAAAAAGCTGAATGTCCTGGGCAAATACTTACACCGTGGCTGTAGGAAACTGAGTCCTGGAACCCGACCAAGGTGAGAACAACGAAACTGAGGCTCCTACATTTAGCCAGAATCCTCAAACACGAATAAAAGAAAGCTGGTGTTGAGTTTAACAACATGAGACATACTGGATTTCAGAACCCGGTCACTTTCAGTAATCAACCGCTCAAGGATGAAACTTTCTGTTGATTAGAAGCTGTTAATTCCGAACTGAACATGTCTAGTAAGCCTCAACTACATAAAGTAAAAACTGATAGCAACAGGGGGAAACTGATGGTCCACAGTGTGGCTGTGGGAGTTGTCAACATCCTTTCTCAGTGGCTGAGACCGAACAAAGGGAACAATTGGGAGAGCAAGTTTCAGGGGAGGGAGGGAAGGGGAAGAAAAGGGTGCAGATCTGCGGACCTCATGGGACTTTGTAAGAACTTTCAGTGTTTAAGTAGATGCACTCGAGAGTAGGAGGGTGAAATGAACTGAGCTGCATTAAAAAAAAACTGTGGTGGCTGTTCTACCACAATACCCTATGCATGATGCGCCACCTCCCTGGCTTCTAAGGCAACGCTGGAGCTGGACTGCAGCCTACCTCGGTCATGGCTCTTTCTCACTCTTTTGCTGGTTCATCTTCTACTCTGAACTCTTAAGATTAGATTCCCTCAGGGCTTAGTTCTTGATTGTTTTCTCTTCTATGTTTACATTTCCTTAGTTGATTTCACTAGTTTCAGAGCTTTAAACGTCTCTTTAGAGGCCAATGATTCTGAATATTTATCTCCTGACTATACCTGTGTCCTGAGCTCTTGCATCTTACCTCCCACTGCTTATGCCACATGTGATGTCAGTGCAGAAAAAGTATCATACGTACCATGCCCCAACCCGAACTCCTGATCTTTTCCTTCCAAACCTGCTTCATCTCCACTGAAGGAAACTCCTTTTTCCCGGGGCTCAGTAGAAAAACCAGAGTGTCATGTACGCTCCCCTTCCTTCACAATCAATATCTAATGTTGAAGTTCTCTTTGCTCTGTCCTCAAAATATATTCAGAATCTGACCATTTCTCACCATCTCTACAATTACCACCCTAGCTCAAACCATTCTACCTGGATTATGGAAACTTGTTCCCTGGATCCTACCCTCTATCACTAACCCAGGCTATTCTCACACAACAACCAGGAGACACTGTCATTCTTCCAGTAAGAAAGCGGATGGGAACAGATGGTAAGAATATGACAGAAAAAATCAGCAGTACCAAAAGTACATTAAGCAAAGTAAGAAGGTTCAAAGAAACAATATTAGGAAAAAATAGGGGCTTAACTACAGTCACAGAAAACATTGCCAAAAAATGTAAGAAAATATTTTGAGCCATTTTAGGCCAATAATTTTGAAAATAGACAAATGGAAAAATTCCCAGAAAGTATGCATTAGCTTTGTTGACCCAATTAAAATGCTGAAACCCTGAATATTTCTAAAACCATCTTTTAGGGGCTGGGGACACAACAGTGACTGAATAGTCCTTGCCTTTATGGAGCTGACATTACAGTATAGGAAAGCAAGCACCAAATAAGATATATAATGAAATGGCAGTTGAGCTAAAAATAAACACTAAAGAGGAAAATCAAACAGGGAAGAGGGAGAAAGAGTTGTAATTTCAAAGGGTGGCCAAGAAAGAGTTGACTGAGATACGCCTTTTCAGTAAGGGCTGAAAGGCTCAAAGAAGGATGTCACAGGAAAAAGTGGGAAAATGTTTCAGGCCAAGGGAGAGAACATTCCAGAATGATGGCAAGGACAAAGGCTCTGAGGTGGGATGGTGCTTGCCTGCTTGATGTCATGCTTTCAGGGAGGTTTCACTGAATACCCTGCTTAAAACTGTAACTCCACCTAATATTCCCTGTCCTTTTACCTTCTAATCTAACATAAAATCTATTTACTTACTATGTTTGTTATTTCTTATCTGGTTTCTCATATTAGAAGGCAAGTTACATGAGTGTAGGGATTTTTGTCTTTTTTGCCTATGGGTGTATCACAAAGGACTAGAACACCACTTTGCACATATAAAGTGAGCAATAAATCTCTGTAGAAAGACTAAGAGAGACTAAGGCATAGCCAGAGAAGTAGAAAGAAAACTAGGAAAGCACTAGAAGAAAGAGTTTGGAGGATGAAAGAATAACTGTGTAAAATGTTTCTGATGAATGACACAGGATGAGGACTGAGAAATGGCCACTGAGTGAGGAACAAAGAGAACCCTAATGAACCTGGTATGGATAGCATGGCAGGGGAAAACCTGATTAGAATGGGTTCTAGAAAGAATGGGAGAAATGATTTTAAAACCAAAATGAGAGCATAAACAACTCCAAAGAACTTTGATGTAAAAGGAAGGAGGAAAAATGGGCAGTAGCTGGAAAGGGTAATAGAGTTAAGAAATAGACTTTTTTAAGATGAGAGGAGTAACAGCATATTTTATAAGGCAGGGAAAAATAAAGCAGAGACGGAGAGGAGAGGAGAGGGGAGGGGAGGGGAGAGGGGGAAAGGGAAGGGAGAGGAGGGGTGGGGAGGGGAAAGGAGGGAAGGAGGAAGGAAGGAAGGAAGGACCAACTACAGGAATTGTTTTCTGGAGAAGAGCAGGGAGTATGGGACCTAGTGCACATCTGAAAGGGTTGGCCCAAGCTCAGAGCACAGATGGTCCCTTCCTACCCACAGAAGTGAAGATTGAGTATTCAGGCACAGATGTAGGTGGGTTGACGTGGTCGTGGGAGCTTGCGGAAATTCTTTTTTGATTGCTTCTATTTTCTGAGAAATAGGAAGCAGTGTCATCAGCTAAGAGTAAGGATGGGGGAGGAGGTGTGGAAGATCTGAGGAGACAAGGTATGGAATAGTTGTCTGAGAAACGGAGAGGGAACTGAGTTGGGGAATGCCTTCAGAGTATCAGGCAGCAGTAAGGACCTATGTGGGTGAGTCATCTCATCTGGGGGTGTGTTTTTCTCTATCCACAGGCAGCTGCATGTGCGTGGGTAGGGACTAGGCAGAGTGTGGACTTTAACCAGAGTTGTGTTATATCCAGGAGAGCAGGACAAAGGGGACATGGACAAGGAAATATGGGTGTGTAGAGGGGTG